TTGATCAGCTCGGACTCCACCCTGCCTCACCCGCAGGGTTTGCGTTCGCTTCCACACTGCGAGTCTGCGAGGCAGGCAAAGGGCAAGCGCTGCTGCGCTGCCGGTCTGGCGTGACAATGTTGCATTGATACTCGGGGAGGTGCTGGAGGTGTTGGCCAGTGTTGGCGTCCCCTCCCCCTCCCCTCCCCCCCACTGCGTCATGCTTGAGGACTGCGTCGAAGGCGAGTGCGCCGGCCGGGCTCCGGGCGTACACCACAAAACGACTGCAAGTGCGGCGACGCAGCGACACCGGCCCTGCTGGCTGCTGTCCCCCAGGCCCCAACCTTAACCTTGCCGGCCGTGCGTCTGTCTGTCTGTCTGTCCGTCTGTCCGCCGAGGGCCTTCCTCCGCCGGGACGCACTCCACCGTGGCCCTTAGAGTCGGCCCGCGCCACACTCCATTGAATCATGTTGATGTTGATTGGCTTGTGTCGCTGCTCGCGCCCTGTCCGAGGCACCCCGCCACGCCCCGCCACGCCCCGCCACGCCGCGGCGACACTCGCAAAGGAGCAGTTCCTGGAAGGCAGCACGACGACGCGAGCGGGCAACGCGACGGGGAAGGCGACGCGCGGCCTCGCAGCATGCACGCGACGTGGCTGGACCCGCCGCTTTCAAGGCTTTCAATCCTTTGAATCGAGCCTGTAGAGGAACGGTGCCCCCTAGGGAAGACAACTTCAGAAAAAAATGTGCGCTCCGAAATTTTAGAGATTTCGGATATTTTATGAGGCTAGCACTCCTTAACTCTTTGCGGTAAAGGCGTTTCCGCGGCGGAGTGCGAAAGAGTAGTGCCCTAAGAGTACCAGGGCGGTGCGGGTCGCTTTCACGACTGCTAGATTGGACGCAGTGGTCGCTCAAAGTCAGCAAAAGAAACTGCTTTCACAGAGTCGCTGGGCGTCAGCCCGGTGGGCAGCCCGTCCCGTCGAGCAGCGGTGTCGTGCGGCGTTGCCTACCCTCCGCGCTGCAGGCGCTAGCGGCGCAGCCCGACCGGCCTGGCAGACCGACAGGCCAGCAGGCCGGCACCCAGACGGACTTTTGCATGTTCTCCGGAAGCTGCGCCGCCACGCCGCGGACCCGCCCCGCCCCGCCCCGCCCCGCCCCGCCCCGCCCCGCCCCGCCCCCTGGGGAGTGCCGTGTGCAGGCCAGCCCGGCAGGCAGGCCCGCCAGGTTGCACGTGTTTGCACGCCTCTGCAAAATGACCACGACGAGTGTGTGAATATAACTTACGCCTCTCTGCCCCACCCCTCGCTGTCCGCTGCTCGATTCGATCCGTTTCGTTCCGCGGCCGAACGACTGCGGAACGACTGTGGAACGACTTCGGCGCGCGCGTTCCGAGCGTTTCGAGCTGGGAGCGCGCGGCGCGGCGTGGCGGCCCGCGGAGCCAGCCCACCCAAACCGCGAGTGATAATGAAGGGACCACCGCGGGGACCACGGCGGTCTTGGCGTTGTTGTCGTCCACGCAGCACCGCGGCGACCGAGGCACAAAAACAAACGTGCGTGCGACGCAGTGCGACGCCGATGTGTTGACGTCGATCGAGAGCCTTATTCGTTCCGCGCCCAAATCCATCCGCGCCGCGCCGTCTGTCACCTGGCAGGTCTGGCCGGGCCGAGCTGTGCGCGTCCAGGTCAGGTCAGCGGGTCAGCGTCTGCGTGCTTGATGGATGGCTCAGCCACGGCGGGCACCTAATGCTCCCCCTTCCCCCTTCCCCCGCCGGATCGTGTCCGATCGGGCCGGGAGCAGGCCGGCCGCAGCCTTCGATATTAATCGAATCATCGCCTCATCTGCATCGCGATGGCCTGCTGGCTCCGCTGGCGCGCGGGGCGAGGGCGAGACACACTGTGCGTGCGCGCGTAGTGTCCAATTCATGGCTAGCTCCAACTCGACCGGGCCGAGGGCCGGGCTGTGTCATGGCTGTGTCGGACAGGCCGCCTAGCTCGGACACGTGTTAGGGCAGGGCCCCGGCAGTCCTGGCCGGCCCGGCGGTTGCGCAGCGCGCGCAGCGCCCTGCCCTAACCCTGCCCCTGCCCTAACCCTGGCCGCCACACCGCCGCACCGCGGCCGATGGGGCCGCTCCGATGTGACCGGTTGGTCCCCGCGCGCCTTACATGGCCGGCCGATCCTGGATCCCGGATCGTGGTCTGCATTGCTCGTCCCCTTCGGCGGGCCGGGCCGGGCCGGGCCTCTGGGCCCGAGGCAGCGGGCAGCGCGACGCGGGGCGGGGCAGCGCGCCGGAAAGTCGTGTGTCCCGGGTGTGTTATTGTTGTCCTGAAAACGGTAACACGCTTTCCTGCGTCTCGCATGGGCACACCGCCTGCCCCGCGTGGAGCCCCCCCCCCCTTTTCCCCCTGTGCTTTTAATAGGTTGACGGAACAGCCATAAAGCAAAGAGGAGTCGTGCCGTTTGCGGCGCGCGGCGGAGTGCGCGCGTGGGGGAGATGCCGCCGCGCGCGGGCCACGGGTTCGAATCCCGGCGGCGCTGACAGTTTTGTTCCTCTATTTCGGGTGGCGCCTCTCGAGAAGGAAGGGCGAATTGGGAAAGGGGCGGGGGCGGGGCGGGGCGGGGCGTGCCCGATCGACGTTTCCATGAAGTGTCTTCGCCTCGTTCTCGGCCTGGCCCCTGAGGCCGCTCTATATTTACTCTGAATGCACCGTGCTTGTTGCAGGGACGGACGCGGCGGACGCGGCGCTGCAGGACGCGGCCCGCAATGACGAGCCCAACAGGTGAGGGACATCAAGCACTGCGCCGACCACGCCGACCACGCCGCCCGCCATAAGGCCCACGCCTTGCTCTAATTATGTTATTTTTATTGGGCCCGCCATAACAGTGACCCTCTCTTTTTCTCTCGGAGGAAGTGCAGAAAGGGGAAAGGGGGGGGGCTGCCCCGGCCACTCCGTGCAGCGCATTCGGCCGCGCGGCGTATGGCAAGGCGGCAAGGCGGCGGGGCGTGGACGAATTGGCTGGCGACGACGTCTGGCATCGCGTTTACGAGCAATCATAATCTCATTATTGGCACTCTGGCGGCGCGTCGCGGTCCGTGGCGGCGCGTTGGGTTGGCGGGTTGCGGGTTCGCGGGGCAACGACGCCGTCGACGCAGCATGCACAGCATGCGCAGCATGCATTCAATCTTCAAAGGCCCAGCCACCCGCGGGCGGCAATTGGCCGACACGACACGCCGCGCTGTTGTCACTGACCCGGCTGCAGCGCGGCCCGAGTGGGGCGGCGGGGCGGCCCCACTGCAAACACCGCGCAGAGGGGGCCGCACTTGACGCACTCGACGTTCTTTTGCAGTCTCCGCGAACAGCTGGACTCGCCGGCCGATGACTCGGCGCCGACGTCCCCGCGCCCCAAGAAGAGGAAGGGCGGCAAGAAGAAGAAGAAGCAGCAGGAAGAGGACGCCCGGCCGCCCCGCGCCCCGCCGCGCCGGAAGGGGGGAGGGGGCAAGGGTGGCGGCAAGGGCGGCGCCAACAAGAAGAAGGGCAAGCAGAAGCACGGTGAGCTGTCCGGTGGTCGGGCCTGCACCGCGAGTGCTGCCCGGTAGCCAGCGTATCGCGGTGCGGCATCGCCACGTCAATCATGCCCTTGGTGTGCAGGCCGCCAGCGCGCCGCGCACCTGGACTCGTCTTCCTCCGCCACCATCGGCGGCGGCGTCTTCGCGGAGGACGCGGCCGACCACGCGGCCGAGCAGTCCTCGCTGGTGCCAAGGGCCGCGGTGCGGGAGCAGGACGCCGACCTCAGCTGCCTGGTGGGCCTCGGCGGCCACGCCGCCTCCACCGGCGGCTTCCTGCGCGCGCCGGACCTGCCCCGCGCCAACGTCCTCAAGTACACGAAGTGAGTACACGTACCGCGTGCTGCGCCTCACTGCCGCGCCGCTTCCCGGACCCGCGGCCCTTCCGCGAAGGCCTCGGCGTGCCGGCCGGCCGACGGCCCGTCGTCGTCGTTAGCGGTATCATAATACGATGTGAACGCAGAACGCGATAGCCAAAGCAGCGAGCGGCGCCACGCCTTGACTCAGCAGTGCGTGTACACTGTACAGCGCACGGCGTGGCGCGGCCGGCGGGGCGCGATCCCTGCGATCATGCAGATAGGCTAGGCTAGTCCTAGGCGACCCAGGACCTCATCGAGATAGGGCTCTGCAGCTTGATTCCGAACAGTGCCCCGGTCGCTGTCTCTCTCGCTCCCATAGGGCGCCTCATCAGTGCGAGAGACAGAGCGACGAAGACACTGTCCGGAGTGCGGTGTGGGAGATGGTGGGAGCGAGGCGGGGCTAGGCAAGGACCCGGCGGGTCGCTGGCCGATGCCTTGCCGATGCGCCGCGCCGCTGCGGTCGTGGCCGTCGTGGCGTCGGTCCGGCGTCCATCACCTGTGCTCCCTGGACCGAGAGCGCATTGCGGCGGCCGGGGGAGGGGCAGGGCGGCAAGGCTCAAGATTGCACGGCCAAAAATGAGCGCTGCGCCCTTGGCTGCGCCTGCACTAGTGGGCCTGCAGCCTGCAGCCGCGTGGAGCTGATCGGGCTGCAGGAATGCCCAGGCCGGCTGGCGGGGCTATCGCCACATCGGCATGCACCGCATCGCGGTGGCGGCCACCAGGGCCTCCACCAGGGCCACGGCCTGCAGCACGGTTTTGGTTATGCGCAGGAAGCGCAACCCGGAGCCGCCCAAGAACCGCTACCTGGTGGTGCTGTACTCCTGCATCGCCGGCTTCACGCTCAAGGACCCCGCCGTGGACCGGCTGTACTGCAGCCGCGGCCGCTGGGTCGGCCCGCAGCCCGTCTGCATCTCCGCGGGGGGTGAGTCGCACCGTGCCTGCTGCATTGCACCTTGTTCCCAGGCGCCTCCTGGAAGGTCGTCTTTCAAGCCGCACACCTTGCAGGCGCGCCGACGCCCAGGCCCGGGGATGACGCCGAGGCCGAGGCCGGCGCCGAGGACGGCGAGCCCTGCGAGGACGGCGAGGACGCGACGCTGGGCTGCGAGCACGACTGCCGAGTGGTCCGGGGCCGGGCAGTGTGCCGCTGCTACCCTGGCTACCTCCTCGGCGCCTCCAACCGCTGCACTGGTCTGTATACTGTTTGGGGAGCACTCTTCTCGCGTCCTCGAACGCCCCGGAGAGCATTACCCCGCGCGGAGCGTCCCGTTCGTCCCCCGCCCTGCCCTTCCCGCGAGATGGCAATCTCCGGGGCCCACCTGTAGGCCCACCTGTAGGCCCACCTGTAGGCCGGCGCGTTGAGATGCTATCTGCGCGCAAAGTGTCGCTCGCGAGGCGCTCGACTGCGCTTGACGCCTTGCAGGGGCCTATCTTCATGGCGACTGTCGCGCAGCGAGACCGCGCCGGTTTTTCTCGCACGGGCGCAGCGGCCGTCTCACATGAACCAAAACACAATTTTTAGCCATCCGTCTACGTTCTGATCAAGTACCAAACGGGTGTTGCCAGTCGCAGGAAGGGGCGAGGCCTCGGCAGTGCCGCGGCCGACAGCGCCGAAGTGGAGGCAGCGCAGGATCGCCGAGGGAAACGTCCGATATTTGAAGTCCACATCCGCGGCCTCCCCTTCCCCCATTCCTTTCCGCCTGATCCTCGAGGGAGATGAGGGGAGTCCCAGCCTGCCCCGGCCCAGCCGACTCAGCTGGCACGTCGTGGCGCGGCGTGGCACGCACCGCAGCATGTGGCAAAACGATTGCCATAAATTCTGACACTGTTCGCACGCGCGGTCTGCCGGCCTGCCGGCCAGCCGCCCCAGCCTCAGCCGACCGCACCGCGTTTATGGCAGTTGGCGTAGCGGGGCGCTCCGGCTTTCATTAATTAAATTTACACGACGCGACAATGATTCACTGCGCGGCGGCCCAGGTTGGAGGTGCCGGCCGAGGCCGAGGTGCGGACCGAAAGGCCCTCCGGGGCGCCCGTCTGGGTAGGCAGTCCCGTAACACAGCCGTGTGCCGCGGCACGACCAAGGCCATTTCTGTAGTGATGATACCATTTCGCGAGTCAGTGAGGCCGTTTCGCGAGTCAGTGAAGCTATTTTGTGCCCGGCTGGATGTGTTTCTGAGCTCCCCGTTGTGCGGCAGACGTCGACGAGTGCTCCGTGGACAACGGCGGCTGCGCGGCGCTCTGCCACAACACCCCCGGCTCGTTCCGCTGCGCCTGCGAGGAGGGTCGCCGCCTGGAGGCCGACGGCGTCCACTGTCGGGGTCAGTGCAGACTCGCCGCTCGCATCACAGCATCACAGCCTTGGCACGGCGTGGGAGAGGAGAGGACCCCTTCTCTCTTTCTACCAGGGTCGCAGGGCGGCTTTTCGGCAGCTTCATGACTTAACCGCCTTTCAGGAGAGCTGGGGCCTGGGACTCGCTTGCAGTCCGCTGCGCCGCACGCGCCGCCGCACGCACGCACCCTGGCTGCACCCGCTTCCTCCACGACGCTGACTGCATGGCGTACAGCTCTCGCGGTGGAGGTCGAGGGCTAACGCTCGCACGGCTGCGGGACGCTCGGCCCTTTCCACTGTTGGCTTTCCGGTGCCTTCCCCCTGTGACGGTGAGGCGGCCGCTTGCTTGCAGACGTGGACGAGTGCCTGCTGCGCAACGGCCACGGCCCCTGCCAGGACACCTGCAGCAACACGGACGGCGGCTACCAGTGCTCGTGCGCGGGGCTGCCGGGCACACGGCTGGCCGCCGACAACCACACCTGCGAGGACGTGGACGAGTGCGCCGCGGACAACAACGGCTGCTCGCACACCTGCCTCAACACCATCGGCTCGGCCTTCTGCCTCTGCCCCGAGGGCATGGTGCTGCACTCGGACTGGAAGACGTGCGTCGGTGCGTAAGAAACCTGGGCACGGGTTCAACTACCAGTTCGGGCTGCTAATTTCTTCTTTTTTTTTGTGGCGGTTATGCAGACGTGGACGAATGCCAGGACGCGGCGATAGCGGCACGCTGCCCCAACGGCTGCACCAACACGCCGGGCTCGTTCGTGTGCAACGAGGGCGAAGCGCCTGCCGCCAAGGAGCCCGCGGACGGCGCGCCCCGCGACGAGGACGACGACGAGGACCGCGAGGACGAGCACTCGCCCAAGGACAAGGATGCGCGGCAGTGTGAGCCCGGATACCGCCGCGACGACGCGGGCGTCTGCAAAGGTGAGCCTCAACGTCTTGCCTCACGGTGGATCGCGGCGGAGGCGACCCCTCACACGGTGACTCTGCGCAGACGTGGACGAGTGCTCGGAGCAGGACACGCAGTGCTCGCACGAGTGCCTCAACGAGCCGGGCTCCTTCTCCTGCTCGTGCCCCAACGGCTACGACCTGGCCGAGGACGAGGCCACGTGCGAGGACGTGGACGAGTGCGCCGAGCCGGACCACGGCTGCTCGCACTCGTGTGTCAACCAGGTGGGCAGCTACCGCTGCGAGTGCCCGCCGTCGTGGGCCTTGTCCGGGGACCAGCGAACCTGCAGCAAGGAGGAGGGGTGCCAGGACGCGGGGTGAGTGGAGTCCTGCGGGAACTTTGTCGTCATCTTCCTGTCCCGCGGCCTCCACGAAACTTGACGTCCCTGTTGTTGGTTCAGCTGCTCCCACTCGTGCCTCGTGGTGGAGGGCCGACCAGCGTGCCAGTGCCCCGGGGGGCTGCACCTGTCCGACGAGGACCCCCGGCGCTGCGTGGACCTCGACGAGTGCGCGGCCGGCAACGGCGGCTGCTCCCACCAGTGCGTCAACGAGCAGGGCAGCTTCCGCTGCCAGTGCCCCGACGGCTACTGGCTGGACGACGACGAGCGCACGTGCGTGGACGTCAACGAGTGCGAGGAGGACAACGACGTGGATGGCGGCGGCGCGGCTGCGTGCAGCGACCACTGCGTCAACACGGAGGGTAGCTTCTTCTGCGGCTGCCCCGAGGGCTCTGTGCTGGCCGCCGACAAGAAGACGTGCGAGGTGGCGCACGGCGCCGACCGCTGCCCACAAGACCACGGCTGCTCTCACGCGTGCGTCAAGGCCGCGGACAGCGGGGCCGCCGTGTGCGAGTGTCCGGCTGGACTGTCGCTCGCGGCGGACCTCAAGACCTGCCAGGACGTGAACGAGTGCGAGGAGCTGCGGCCGTGTGAGCAGCACTGCGTCAACGAGCTGGGTAGCTTCAGGTGGGTGCGGCTCGAGCGGTCTTCAGCAAGGTCCTGTGTGATGCTCATCTCGTGTTGCTGCTGCTGGCTTGCAGGTGCTCCTGTTCCCCGGGCTTCGCGCTCGAGGCGGACGGCCGGCGCTGCCGCGACGTGGACGAGTGCATCGAGGCCGAGACGGAGGAGTCCCGGTGCTCGCACGAGTGCGTCAACACGCCGGGAGCGTACCACTGCGAGTGCCCCGCTGGCCATCGCCTCGGCCAGGACGGCCGCACGTGCGAGGACGTGGACGAGTGCACGTCGGTGACGGCCGAGGGGGATCCGACGTGCAGCCACGAGTGCGTCAACGAGCCCGGCTCGTTCCGCTGCAAGTGCCCCGCCGGGCTGCGGCTGCAGGGGGACGGCCGCTCGTGCGCGGACGTGGACGAGTGCCTCGAGCCCAACCACGGCTGCTCGCATGCCTGCGACAACTGGGTGGGCAGCTACCGGTGCACTTGTCCGGAGGGTCTTCAACTAGCGGCGGACGAGCGCACCTGCGAGGACGTGGACGAGTGCCTGGGCGTGGAGCACCGCTGCTCCCACGAGTGCGTCAACCAGCATGGCGGGTATCGGTGCGCGTGCCCGAAGGGCTTGGCCCTCGGCGCGGACAACCGCACCTGCGAGGACGTGGACGAGTGCGCACAGGCCAACGCCGTGCGCGAGGACCCCGTCGACGCGCCCTGCCAGCACCGCTGCTTCAACCTGCCGGGCTCCTACCGCTGCGAGTGCGAGGACGGCTACCGCGCGGACCCGGAAGACGCCACCAAGTGCCTGGACGTGGACGAGTGTGCCGTCGGCAACGGAGGCTGCTCCCACGAGTGCCGCAACCTGCCGGGCGGAGTGGAGTGTGTGTGTCCGACCGCCTTCGCCATGCAGCCCGACGACCGCACCTGCCTGCCCCACAACGGCTGCCTCGTGGACAACGGGGGCTGCGCGCACGAGTGCCACTTCAACGGCACGCTGTACTGCCTGTGCCGCGAGGGCTTCGCGCTGGACGCGGCTTCGGGCCGGCTCTGCGAGGACGTCGATGAGTGCGCCGCGGAGGACCACGGCTGCGCCCACCACTGCATCAACACGCAGGGGTCCTTCCGCTGCGAGTGTCGCCACGGCTTCGCCTCGCCGCCGGGCCGGCCCCACGACTGCACGCCCCTGACGACGACCGCGGCCCCTGGTGACCCCTGCGCGGACCGCGGCGGCTGTGCCCACAGCTGCACGGTGGTGTCGGGCGGCGCGCGCTGCGGCTGTCGGCCCGGCTTTCGCCTCAGCGAGGAGGACGGCCGCACCTGCGAGGACGTGGACGAGTGCTTGCAGAGCGACGACGAGGACGACGGCGACGCGGGCAGCGGCCGGCTGTGCGCGCACGCTTGCGTCAACACCCCTGGCAGCTACCACTGCACGTGCTCGCCGGGCCACGCCGCGCCACAGGACGACCCGCACGCCTGCGAGGACGTGGACGAGTGCGCCACGCCGGAGCGCGGTGGCTGCTCCTACGAGTGTGCCAACACGGTTGGCAGCTACCGCTGCACCTGCCCGTCGGACCACCGCCTGCTGGCCGATGGCCGGACCTGCGTGCCGCTGCTGCTGGACCACTGCCTGGACAACAACGGCGGATGCTCGCACCGCTGCCGCAGCACCCCGCACGGCGCGGCCTGCGAGTGTCCAGACGGCTTCCACCTGGACCCGGCCAACAACAGCACGTGCCTGGACGTGGACGAGTGCGCACTGGACAACTTCGCCTGCTCGGACGAGTGCGTCAACACGCAGGGCAGCGCGTACTGCCTCTGCCCGCGTGGCCTGCACCTCGCCGACGACAACAAGACCTGCGAGGAGGTGGATCCCTGTCGCCAGAACAACGGTGGATGCTCCCACAAGTGCGTTACCGACGACGAGAACAAGAGGTAATGTCAACGCAATCATTTTCTTCAATTTATTCCGCATATGGTGCAAATGATGTCGGGCCGAGAATTTTTTTAACGTCCCACAGAGTTTATACTTTTATACTTTGTCCCCGCAGCTTGGCGCGCTGCTCGTGCCCGCCGGGGTACCGCCTGCTGCCGGACAAGCTGGTCTGCGAGGAGGATCGCTGCTTCACCGACAATGGCGGCTGCTCCCATCACTGCGCCAGCTCGGCGGGGGCCGCGACGTGCTCGTGTCCGGAAGGCCTTGCGCTGCAAGACGACCGCAAGACCTGCCTGGCGACGGACGGCTGCACCGCGCACAACGGCGGCTGCTCGCACGCGTGCGTGCTCGTGGCGGGCGCGGCGCAGTGCCGCTGCCCGGAGGGCTGGCTGCTGGACGACGACGCCAGGACGTGCCGCCCCAAGGACCCGTGCGACATCGCGAACGGCGGCTGCTCCCACGCCTGCGTGCTCAGGGCGGGCTCGCGGGACGCGCAGTGCCGCTGTCCGGAGGGCTGGCTGCTCGACGACGGCGGCAAGACTTGCCGTGTGCGCGACCCCTGCGCCGCGGACAACGGCGGCTGCTCGCACAAGTGCGCGCACGCGGAGGGCGTCGTGTCGTGCTCGTGTCCGCGCGGCTGGGAGATGACCGGCGACAACAAGACGTGCGTCGCCAGCAAGGGCTGCGGCCTGGACAATGGCGGCTGCTCGCACACGTGCGTCGAAACCAAGGACGAGGTGGCGTGCAGCTGCCCCGAGGGCCTGGTCCTGGCCGACGACGGCCTGCTCTGTGAGGTGGAGTCGTCCCCGGACGACCCCTGCGCCGACGGCAAGGCCCGCTGCTCGCACAGCTGCGTGGTGGTCCTGGCGGCGGCGCAGTGTCGGTGTCCTCCCGGCCTGCGGCTGGCGGCGGACGCCAGGACTTGTGTCGAGCTGCGGCGCTGCGACGTGGACAACGGCGGCTGCTCGCACATCTGCCGCACGCCCTCCAGCGCCGACGGCAACGTGACGTGCGCGTGTCCGCCGGGGAAGCACCTCGGCGACGACGCCGCCACCTGCGTGTCTCAGCGCAGCTGTCTGGTGAGTAGCTCGGGGTGAATGTTTCTCGGGACGGTTCCACAGTGCAGGCACTGGGGCTGACCTTGTCACCTTGTGCGTCCCTTAGATGGACAACGGCGGCTGCTCGCACGACTGCGCCGACAGGGAGGACGGCGACGTGGAGTGCGCCTGCCCGGAGGGCTGGGACTTGGACGAAGACGAGCTGGGCTGCCACCGCTTGGAGGGCGTCGGCCAGTGTGGCGAGGACAACGGCGGCTGCTCGCACAACTGCTCCATCTCCTCGGCGGGCGAGCCCGTGTGCTCGTGCCCCCCAGGCTACGCGCTGGACCGGGAGGACGCCGCCACCTGCAAGGACGTGGACGAGTGCGCCGCCGAGGAGGCGGACTGCTCGCACATCTGCGAGAACACCCCCGGCAGCTACCGCTGCTCGTGCCCGGCCGGCTTCCGTCTCCAGGACGACGACGTGACGTGCAGGGACAGGTAGGTTGGCGGCCGAAGTGGCGGTTATTCGGATGCCGACGGCCTCGCTGACGGTGTTGTTCTCCAGGGACGAGTGCTCGGTGGGCAACGGCGGCTGCTCGCACTCGTGCACCAACACGCCGGGCAGCTTCTCGTGCGGCTGCCCCGCCGGCCTGGCGCTGGACGCGCAGCGGCGGTCCTGCGGCGACGTGGACGAGTGCAGCCGCGCCAACGGCAACTGCTCCCACCTGTGCATCAACATGCACGGCAGCTACCGCTGCAGCTGCCCCGTCGGCCTGCGCCTCGCGCCCTCCGGCAGGGACTGCGAGCGGCCCCAGCCCTGCCCGCGGGGGTGGCGGCCCGTCACCGCGGAGCGCCCCCTCGACGAGGACGAGCAGGACGACCAGGGCCCGAAGGGAGAACCGGGCTGTGAGGACATCAACGAGTGCGCGGCCGACCACGGATGCCAGCAGATTTGCATCAACACGCGGGGGTCGTACCGTTGCGAGTGCTTTGACGGGTACCTCCCCATGGGCAAGCGCTGCGTCGGCTTCGGCGTGACCATGCCCCCCTCGCCACCACCGCCCCCTCCGCGGACGACCGCGGAGCACGCCACCAGCACCATGACGGGCACTACTGAGCGCACAGCGCCATCAACTACATCTACCACCACCACACACTCCACGACAACCTCAACCACCACAACTACTCCGGGGACGCCAGTCAGCTCGGAGAGCACCACCCAGATGGTGCCCACCACCACCATGTCGACGATGGCCCCGTCGACGACCTCCGTCGCTACCATGGCGCCCCCCACCAGCCCATTCCCTCCGCCCGCACTGCCCCCATCCCCGTCCACGGAGGCGCCCCTAGACAGCACCGGGTTCCATATGACGTCGCCGAAGACGCCGCGCTTCGCAGTGCCCACGTCGTCCAGCACCGTGACGTACAGGGAGTCCGCCACGAGCGAGGACGAGCTGGTGGTGATCGAGTCGCGTGGCCACAAGGTGAGCTTTCGGCCGAGCGGTAGTTTGTTTGTGGCCCTTCGTGTGGTGCATCTTGACGAAGGTTTCTGTTCGGCAGGGCTGCCCCGCGCTGCCGGCTCCTCCCGGCGGAGAGGTGCGCTGCCCCGGGCTGGGTGCGGGGCCCGTGTACCCCTTGGGGGCGCAGTGCTCCTTGCGCTGCCCCAGAGGCTACCACTTGTCCGGACCTCTGACCAGAGTCTGCCTGCCCAGCGGCCAATGGAGCACGCCGTCAGCCGCGTGTGTCGGTGAGTAAACGACGTCCACGACAGAAAGCTTGTCTCAACCGAAACCTACTATAGGTCCAAATCGGTTGTCCACAGCCGCCCCGGCGCCCTGGATCCGCTGCCCGCCTGCCATCGACGTGGAGGTGCCGGCGTCGCGCGAGAGGGCCGTCGTCAACATCCCCCGGCCGGCCTCCAACGTGGACTGGTGGAGGTAACCCTGCCTCCTTGAACTGTACCACGGTCTGCATGTAGTGGCGGCACACTGACGACCTCCCTTTACAGGCACGTCGAGACCGTGCCGGTGTGGGGCAAGCGCCTGTCCGCCGAGCTGGGCCCGGGCTCCTACACGGTGTCCTTCATCGCCACCAGCCCCGTGAGCAACGCCACGGCGGCCTGCTCGCTGGCCATCCTTGTCCGAGGTAAGCGCCTGGCGGGGTGGTCGCCCTGCCCGCATGCTGCCTGACCCTGACGGCCTTGCTGTCCGCGCTGTCCACAGACTTGGAGAAGCCCCGCGTGTGGCGCTGCCCCCTGTCCTTCGAGGTGCACCTGTCCGCCGGCGAGCTGTCACGCGCCGTGTCCTGGGTGGAGCCTCACTTCACCGACAACGTCGGCGTGGAGGCCGTGTTCCGGACCAAGGTACCCTACCCACTCCACCTCATGCCACCGCACTGCAGTTCGCGCAAGTAATCGAAACGCTCTTTCGCCCCTCCGTGCGCAGGACCCCGGGACTCTCTTGGCGCCGGGCCTGCACTACGTCACCTACCTCGCGAGGGACGCGGCGGGCAACAGGGCCAGCTGTCACTTCAGCATCGGCGTCAGAGGTGAGGTTTGGGTTTAGACTGGACTCATTCAAGCCCTGGTGAGGCCGAAGGGCTTGTAAACACAAGAACACTCGTCACCGTGTCCTTCCGCAGAGTCCACGTTCCCCTTCACGAGGAGCGCCCAGCGGAGGGTGGGCTACCACAACTACCAGAGCTACCATGCGCACCACGCCTACCACGCGCGGCCGGCGGACAGGGAGCCGTGTCCCAGAGGGACGACGCTCAGGCGGCAGCCGGTAAGCCCCCGAGCAGCGTGCCGTGGCTCTGTCTCACGCCGCTCAAAGGACTGTTGCAGAACTGTGGCGCCCTGTTGCAGTCCGGGGCCGTGCGCTGCGTCGCCGCGTCCTCTTCGGCGTCCCCCGCGCAGGCGTGGCCGCCGGGTCGCCTCTGGGCCGGGGGGCCGGCCGTCAGGCACGTGTCTTCCAGGACGTCCTTCTCGTGGGACCTGCCGCGGGCGACGCCCAGCACGCCCTCGCCGCCACCCTCGCCGCCACCCTCGCCGCCGCCCACCGCGACGCCGCGCGACTCCGTGTTCGAGGAGAGCGTGGCGGGGGCGCAGGCCGTCACGACGCGGCGCCTCGAACGTGAGTCCCTAGGGCTGTTCGAGCTTGGCCTAGCTTGGCCCATCCGGATGGGGGCTGACGCCGCTGACGCCGTTGACGCCTGTTGCAGGACACCGCGTGCGGCACCACCACGGCATGGGCACGGCCTGGGAGGAGCGCCGCCGCCGCCTCGCGCAGTACCACCTGGACCAGCTGCGGAAGCTGGACGTGCGCGAGTGTCCTTGAAGGACCTGAAGGATGTGCAGCGAGTCGCAGTGCGAGCACCGTGTGATAGACTGTCAATGGCTGGAGTCTCATTTCTAACAGTGCTTCATTGCTCTGTCTCTCTCGCGCTTGAACGGGATGCTTCATGAGCGCGAGAGACACAACGACGAAAGTGCTGTTGGGAATCAGCCTTCAGGAACCAGCCCGTCAGCTCGGTACCCCCGGATGCCAGACGGGGTTTGATGTGGCTTTCTCGATGTTATAGTGCAAAGTGGAGCCAAAATGCCGCGGTTCAAAATGAAAGAATGAACATGAAAGTTACTGTGGGTTTGTGAGGAAAGGGGTGCCCCTTTTCATGGTAGATTTCAGAGAAGCATTCCAAGGCCCGCAAGTGCCTGCCACCGATTTGATTGATTGAAAATAAATGTTAAGCTCTTTAAACTTAGAGCTCTGTGCGTGCTGCGGTACATTCTGTATGTATCGTTAAATAATCTTGCTGTAATGAAAGTGTACAGGTGTGATGTGCCATACTACCTCCCACTGCCATAAATAGAATAGGGATATGACGATAGTGTATGTGTTGAGACAGCATTTTGTGTATTAAATGAATGAAACCGACTCCGAATAAAATTACTACTGCCATTCTTTCCAGTCATTGGTCGATATCTTACCACTTGTATCGCGCGGCAAGGCAAGCGTGACGCTTTAAATTGTGACGTGCTACCGCTCGCTTCTCTTTTGTTTCCGATTGAGTTTGTGTTGTTTATTTTGTTGGGATAGGTTAGGGTGCCTTTGGTCGTGGCGTCTGCTAGTGCCAGTCTGAGGGTTTGCTTTGCGTTTTGCAAGTAAGCGTTGTCAGGAATTCCCCATGAAATGAAAATATTGGTGCTCAAGGCACCAAAAGAAACTGCTGAAGATGGTGACCCCTATGTCAATGCATTACGGAATGTGGGATTGGATGCTGACGGGCTTGAGGTGTTGTCCTTTCAATATGTAAACCAAGATTTGTTAAGGGAGAAAGTTTTAGATCCAAAAAACTATGGGGGTAATTTTTTTTAAACAATTTAGTCATTTGTTTTAGTGTAAAAAAAAAGTTCTTTAATTGATGTCTCATATTTATAGGTTTTATTTTTACGAGTCCACGAGGTGTAGTTGCTGTTGAACAATGCCTTAAAGGTACTGAGCTCGGCAGGAATGAGTGGTCGTCTGTGCCTGCCTATGTTGTTGGTGAGGGAACAGGAAAAGTACTGTGGGAAAAGTTTGAAATTCCGAGTGTAGGTCAAGATTCTGGAAGTGCTCAAAAGCTGGCTCACTTCATAAGAAAAGGTTTGACGTATGTTTCAGTGTTCCTCTGTCCTTAAAACCCTTATGTCTGTTTGGTTGTACATGTCATGACAGCGTTGTGATATTTTCAGAACACACGGATGGAAACAGGAAACCACTCCTATTTCCCAGTGCAGATCTTAAACGAAATGCTTTGCAAGAAATGTTAACAGAAGCTGGAATTTCAGTAGATGTTGTAACATCATACAAAACTATTCCTCATCCTCATTTAGAAGCAATTTTGAAAGAAAAGTTTTCCAGTAATGAAGGAAGGCCTGACGTGCTGGTGTTTTTTAGTCCATCTGGAGTGAATGCTGTTCTTTCTCACCCGTCAGATTTGCAACAGTGCAAGGTAGGCATTTGTTCGCTTTCTACTACTCTTTTTAGAAGATGTTTGCTATGACTTTCTTTTTTTCCCTGGTAGGTGGTAGCCATAGGACCAACAACTGAAGCAGCATTAAAAGATAGGGGAATGGTCGTGTTTGCTACTGCAGAAAACCCTTCTCCTACTGGCCTTGTTGAAGCCATTCAAGCTGCCCTGAAGAAAACTGCACCAGAACTACCACATGCGACAGGAGAAGATCTTGGTTAACTTGGTTGAGTGCAGAGGGAAAAGGGGGAGGGACCAATAATGCTAAAGGACTGAAAAACAACAGACAATTGGAAGGTGTGAACAAGTCAATATATATTCTTTCTTTAGTAAAACAAGTCTATATCCTAGCCATAACATTGCTTTTCCTATAAATATTTTATTTTCTGGAACAATTGCAAGATATTGACTTTATGATAAATTTTTCTTAAATATATTTACACATTTTCACAACAAATGGAGCGTCATTCTCCTTTTTTAAAACCAGAACAACGCAAACTTTATCACACAGCGCAACACAAGGCAATTTCTTCCAGTAAGTCAGTTTGGTTTCCAAGTGCCTGTGTTAGCATAAAATCCTAGTACCCTATAATTATAGCATCTTGATATACATGAAGTAGTATAAACAGATGTTAGAAGTTCAATAAGCTACGTAAAATCCTCAAAATTCACACACATCTCATAAGACGGTACAGCGGTACTCAGAGAAGCGGTGCGGCCATGACTAAACCATAATGGGAAACAGGACAAAAACGAAAATTGTCTTGATATATAGTTGATTTGCTCTTTGTCATGTCATGCAGTCTTCTCCTTTGGTCCTGGAGCATGAGACTAGTGCTTACTAGTCTGGAGACTTGTCTGAAGTAAGTTGGACATCCACAAATTTGAGCAGCTTTGGAAAGTCAAGTGCTACCAATATCACCAGTAAAGAAAGCCAAGCCATGCATACAGCTGCTACAGAAAACAACCCTTGGGATAGATGTAATTAAAAAAATTATGAGACCCTCCACTTCTCCCTGCTTACTTTGGGTCAAATAGACAAAACTAGACAATAAATGTGCCTTTTTTAAGTTGTCCTTATTAGATAAATTGTAAGGACACATTATCAGTCCATTTCTTTTTGAAATTTTTGGTGGAAATAAACCATTACAGATTTTCATAAACTTGACATTTTCAGGTAAGAAAATATACCTGAAGCAATAATGATAAACAGCAGTACACTATAACAGGAAAAACGATCATCCCTAATATCATTTGATTGCACCATGTACCAAAGCCTACCCAAGCAGCAGATCTAGGAAATAATTGGCAGCCCTGCTGATTAATCTTAATTTAAAATAAATGTAATGAGTGTACTGAGGACTGCACTCATCAGATTTGGTTAATGTTCGTATCTCTCATTATCAAACTGTCAAGACTCAGGTTGGAAAATGATATTATGTTAAGATCTGTGCTACTTCTCACTTATACTGTATATGAATCACCTGAGAAGAACAATTGATCTTTCATTTATTATAGTGTCCCTTTAAGAACACTTACAAAGTCAGTACATTAAGTGATTAAAAAATAAACTGTACCTCAAACAGCATTCTAGTTTCATGAAATGTAACAGCACCACTCACCCAAACTAGCTAAGTCCCCTTCAAAACTAAGCATAGTTGCTACAATAAAAGAAGGAAATAACACAAGGGTAAAAGAAAAATGCAGTAACCTAATGGGAACTTCACCAAAATTGAGTTACTTCCTACTGAACTAATAGTACATTACAGTTCAAAATCGAAAGGCAGGGTGCACACAGTGACAAATACAAGTTGTTAGAAGGGTAAAAATTATATGATTTAAGGATTAGACTAGATTATTTTCAAGAAAACTTCCAAAATTAGGTGTCTGACTATGTAACCTTCTTCAAGGCACCAGAACAAACTGAAAACTAACACAGATATTGCAAAGGAAAATCTTATTTTCTTATGCAGAAAGACCTCTGCACACACAATAATGGTAAATGATTAACTGGGTTAGGAAAATTTTAATCAATACAATTAAATAAGATATAAATATAAACCAAAGATGAAAAGGTGATATTACCGTTTAGGGAACATACGAGCCTCAGGCAAAACACCAAAACCCAAAAGAAAATAACAATTGTTTCCAGCCCATACATCAGCACGTTTAACGGCTGAAAATATAGAATATGTATAGAATCATAAATAACTGAACTTGCAACTGAAGTAAGTGAGAGGAGGGAAAAACAAACGTAAAAAGGAGAAAACTAAGAGGATGTAGGATACAAATCCGATCAACTGGGAATTCAGTGCTACAGTAACAATGATGAAAACCAAGGGAAGAACTAGGAGGGATAGCAAAAAAGAAAAGAAAAAAAATCCTCTGACTAGACAAAAAAAGAACATACCTTATTAAACAGTGCAACAAGCAACAAAATCAAATTTCAAAACAAGCAATCGAAAAACAAACACTGTATGGGAAAGCAACCTTTGATTTAAAAGGCAGAGGAGAAAAATTCCCATGTAGATTCGATCAATCACAAAGTTACTCATTCAATACTCTCTGAGCATCCTAAAATAATATGCATTAGTACTCAAACAAGAACCGAGTAATCAGTAACAATAATAACCAGGTACATTTTCTAACAAGAATTAACTAGAATATGAATATGTCCTTAGAAAGCATACAACGACCAAAGCTTATTTTCTAAACTCAACACATGAGGAGTTTACAATCCATCACATATACACACACATCACAACACAGCAACAACACAATCACATTAAATGTACACACGAAATTTCGCACCACAATAAGATACTGTGATATAAGAAAAATGTTTTCCAAAGGTAGCACTGTCAACATACATAGGCCATATTTTACTTTCTGATGGTTTCACATTCAAAATGGAGACAAATAATTTTTGAATAACTTCAGAATAGATATTGCTCAAGAAGAGAAAAAATATTGGCAAAATTCCAATAGATATCTCAATAAATATCACACTAAAATTTAGAGTTTCACAAAACTCATTTCAGTAATGCATACCCTTAAGGCAGTGTTCTGGCTTGGCTGTTTCAGAAACAGGTACTTAAACCATGAAGTATGGAACATGAATATGATATAACCCACAGAAGGTCAAAATTTCTCAACTAAGATCCACATGCTCTACCAAGTTTGAGTTGCACAAGAGGATATTTCAAAACTGAAGGTTTATAATGTATTTGAAGTACCAATTGAATTTGTTGTCCTGGATGCCAGATTAAAACACTTCAGTTTGACTTGAGTTTTGCTTTAAATGTCTCTTCCGATTTGAAAATTTATTTTTGGTTTAGGTTTAAACGCATAAAATAGAAGTATTAAAAATGAACTCTTATAAGCTATTTTGACCATTATCTCTTTATATATGTATATTTTAAAAAAAGCTCGAATTCAGATGGTGTTATGTGCTGCTGATACATCACAATGTGATGCTGAATATTCTATTCTTCATCGGAGTCTCCCTCACTTGAATAGTCTTGAACTGGCACAGGTCGTGCAAAAGGTGCACTAGTCATTTGCCTGTTGAGAACAACAGTATTCAGTTTAAAAATGAAGCCAATACATAAGCATAAACATTTAGTAAATTTCAAAACTTACGCAAGTCGTCTGTAGTGATTTAGCCATTCTTCCACCATTTGACCAACTAATATGGGACGTTTACCAAGTGTTTGATGCGCCACTAAGAGACCACTTTCTGTACAGCTCACATCTAACCATTGACGCAGAAGTGCTTCCTCATCGCCCATCTGACAAATAATTTACATACTGATTAAAATGCGAAAAATTGTAGCTGTTATATGTTGTGGGATACTATGTTTTAACTTACCTCATTTTGAGTGAGGAAGTGTACAGGAAGTACTTTTCTTTCACGGTCCATTAAAGGAAGAAAGCTAATATCCCCACAGTCTGAGGCAATGGCTTGACCAACACTGCCAGTGTCAGGTTCCATTGACACCAAAGCACAAAAGTGCCCCCTCGTGTAACCTAAAGCAACTGGAGATCGTGAGCAAAATCCTGGCTCCCATAAGAGTGGTAGATATACCCCTGGAAACAAAAAAATGATTAGTACAGAATATTTGTCAGCAAGATCCCCGCATAAATAGAAAAAAAGGAAACACAAAAATTAATCACCTTCAAATCTAGCATAACCAATGTCCTCTCCTCGGAAACTCTTCACATATTTGACTCCATAAACAATAATAGGCCTTCTCAAAATATGTGCCAGGGTGAAAATATGCAGCTGTTCTAGGGAAGAACCAGGCTGTGAGGCTAATGACAGTAAACTAGCCCAATCATCTTGCCACTGCCCTTCCTCTAAGCTGAAGTGAAGAAGTCGTGCCTGCCCAGTTTCATACTCTTTCCAACGAGGATAGAACCTGCAAAACAGAAAATACAACATTTAAATCCAAAACAAAAAAGAAAGCTGTACAATATTAAAAAGACTGAGACATACACATGGCCACACTGATGTAAACTTTCAGCAAGTGCTCTTCGCAGAATATTGTCTCTATCAAAAACGCCCCATGTAGCTTGCATCAGTGAATCTAAAAGGCAGTCTCCAGCAGAGCGATTCCACAGGGCATACAGCCTTGAGCCCAAATGGACTGTTAACTCAAGGCTCCAGTTGATGACTCCAGGTTCAGCTTCAAGGGTAGCTTGTGCTTCATTGTCTAGCAATTCTTGTAAGAGCTGATCCTGTACTGGAGTGGGTAACTCATCTGTGTCTAAAATACATAAAAAAAAAACATATTTTGTTGATGAGACTTTGCATTTAATCTGAATTAGTTTTAAGCCATTCATCTAATAACAAACCTGGTAAGGTAAATGTAGTTATTTCAGTAACATAATTGCAAGGGAAGCTTCCTTTCCTCTGCCTTAAAGTAGTAGCAACATGCCTACGAATATCAGCGGCTAGGTCAGGAGCAACGTAAGATGGAACACGTTTCATTCCTGAGCCTCCTCCCTCAATTTGGGATAAAAGTTGAGCCAACAAGTCATCACGATGGAATCTAAAAAAAAATCGAAAAGATATTTATATTACAGAATAATCCAAAAGTCTAGGTTAAATACAAAGGCACTCATGAAGCAGTAGCTTACCTTATGGCAAGATGGACAAGAGTGTACCCTACATCAAAAGCTGAGGGGCGATTCAGCAAAGCAACTTCTGAAGCTGTGAGCTGCCTAGCAGGATCACCGCCAGCTGTAAGGTATGCTTCAACTGGACTTGGGTCACCATCAACTACACCCATACATGCAGCCAGCCAGCCCCAGCTGGCCTGACGTCTCAACTGACGAAGTCGCCGTTCATATTCACAATTGTTCAGTTGAGCTTGAATAACACTTTCATTGCTTCCTTCAACTCTTCTTGACACAGATAAACTGAAAACATTTTAAAAAAGAATAAAACCATCAAGTTGACAAGTGGAGCTACAATGAAGCTACAGTTATCATTTACTGAATTATATAAATAGTTGAGGAAGCACCATTACCTTCTTAAAGCGTTGGTGAGATCATCTTGAGGGGAATTTCGTCCATTATCAATGACACTGGGTGATGCCCTTGGGGAGTTTCTTGGAGATAGACGAGGAGAAGAACGACAGGGGTTTGAAGCATTGTTTGGTGCTGGATTATTACACATCACACATCGCTGAGCTTTAGGCCAATTCTCATAGGTACAAATAGAACACGGCCACTTGTATCCTTGCAGGAGAGAAACTAAAAGAAATAATTCAACCATAATTAGAGAAACAAGCATTACTACATGACAAAAATCAATAATTATATTTTTTCATAAACAACTTACTATCTCTATCACTTGGTGGTGGAGAGCTTGAACAAATGCGGACAGATGCAGCTTCACATTGTTCCTTTATTTGAGGAGGTGACTCTGCACGGCCTGCGACTGGTGCATCATTCTGAGCGCCAGCCCTTGCGGGTTTTGGACCATAGCACTGAATGCACCTTCCTGCCCTTTCCCAGTTTAAGTATGTGCAGGCATCACAGGACCATTTTCCATTATTAGTGTGAGAACTGAAAAAAAAAAAAAATCAAATAAAAGTGATTTTATACTCAATTGGACTACTATGTGATTTTGTAACAACCCAAAGGAAGTTATGAAAAATATTAGACAAAGATCCACACAAACCTTGAGTCTCGGAGTGGTCCCGATGCTAAACTTATGCTTCCACTGTTGGATAGAGTGTCCTCTTCATCTTGCAAACGGTAAATATCTTCTCCAAGAAGTGGCTTTGCACCACGACACATAGTGCATTTTAGGGTAGATGGCCAATTTTCGTAGGTACAATACTCGCATATCCACTTGGACGTGTTACTCATTGCTTACAGTAATGGAAAAGAAACAGGAAGCCCTCACTTGAGGAAGGTGACCTGATCTTACATAAATAACACTGCCTAATTTAATTAGACTGCACCATTAGCAAATATTAAGGAAATCTTACTCTCAAGATCCCTTCTAGGGAATATATTTAATGTCAACTATTGAGAGACCACATCAGAAATCAATCCTGCAGACTATAGATGATGGTTTGAAAACAGATTTTGGATTTTGCAGGGGTATAGCAAAAACATTTCTCCTTTGACACCCTGGTTACAACATGATCCATTTGGCCATTTTGGACAGAGTGACAAACACATTGAATGTTTGTTACGATGGTTGCACATACAATTTGGAATCTTGCATATTTCTTTGCGAAAATTAGTTGGCAGTGGCAGGTGTCTAGGTATATGTTTCAGTCCTGAAAACAAAAACCAAAATTATAGAATGTTACAAAAAATTATTTTAAAAAAAATTTATAAAAGAAACCGCATTTGTATCTCTTAGTTTGGAAAATTGTCAACAGACAAGTAAACATGAGAAACAGTGCAAAGAAACAAAATCAATTTGATGATTAGTTCTGGTAATGAGCAAAATTTAAGTGGTCACTGTAACTGAAGCTAGAGACAAAATATCCAGAGTTATTGGGAGATAATAACAGGGACCTACTTTCCTGTGGTTCATTAAGAGGTTAGATATTATGTCCTGACATGGCAAAAAAATAACTGGCACATGCTGTTACTGAATAATTTAAACAAGGCAAATAGACATGTTAAGTTTAACCTAAGTCCCAAGTTACGGATACGAAAATATTGAAACAAATATGGTCACCTAGCAGAAAAAGTACAGAAGGACGACTTCGCCCAGCGAGAATTCGTTATCATGTCAGCTTATTGAACGAGTAAAAACAGTGTTGCAAGACACCTACTTACATTAAATTTGACGCTTGAGATAGGAAGAAAATGACAATGTCAACACACTAATCCAATCCATTACCACAATAGAAACGAAATTTTAGGGATTTGGAAGAGTTCTTTGACGATTGTCCCCCTTTATTCGACACCCTCCCTAACAACTTTCACACGTATGACGAACTAACTGGTTCACGTATTTCAAACTATTTCTAGAAAAGTGCTATCAAGAGGCACGGACAACAAGGTGAAGGGGCCAGATCCTGCTTGAGCAACCAAAATACTTGGCTAGACAATATTTACGTCATACGGTGAAGACTGCCATTTTTAATTTTCACGGCTACCCAGACCCGTGTGTTTACTGGCACTGCAGACTGCACCGCGGGCTCCTGGCGGCCGTGCCTCGTGGGCGGGAAGTTCAAACCGCGTCGCCTGCCTGGCCAACACGGGCGCGCCACTGCGCGACTGCTCTCCGCCAACCAACTTGAAAGTGGCTTTGATGGCTCAACAGATTCATCTTTCGAAGAGCCGCTGATGAATGGGATCTATCTGTGCGACTGCACTTCCTTATTCCGAATGAGTTTTGGGGGTACTTAAGGTACTGAAAGCATTGAGGGTATCGCAGGACTGAGGCACGGACGTTAATCAGTGGCGGTGACGAGGATGGGGCCCTCCCTGGCTCGCCCGGGCTGGGCTCACCTTGGCGCGTTGGCAGCCTTGCAAGGGGGGCCGGCCAGCCTTTGGCCTGCCTTTGGCCCACCGTGGTGGGGGCCGATCAATAGCAGTCCTACCCCACAGCACGGCGCAGTCAGCGAGGCGCGCCCTGGCCAGGCCCTGGCCTCCTCCATGAAGCTCCTCGCCCCGGACTCCATCTGAACGCGGTGTCGGCCGTCGTCGGCCCGCTGCAGCGGCTGCAGTCATGGCCGAGGACAGTGGCAAGGACGGGGACAGCCTCGAGTACTACATCAAGTTCCCCACGCCCTCCTCGGAGCAGCCCTCGTCGCTGACCAGCGGCAGTGTGGTGGACGACTTCGTGCTGGTGCAGAACGAGGCCCTGTCCAAGCCGCCGGCCGTCATCCTGCTAGGCTGGGCGGGCTGCCAGGACAAGCACCTCGCCAAGTACGGCACCATCTACTCCGAGAAAGGGTGAGTGCTTGCACTGCCTGCACTGCAGTGCGAAGAGTGCCGTGTGCCGTGGGAACGTCGCGGGGTCCGGTGTGGGGCCGAGAGGTTGGCGCGCCGCCGGCACTGCGCATGCGTGCCTCGCGCTGCTTCGCCTGCCCTGGCCTGCCGCGTTGGGGACTACGTACTACGTAGACAGGACTACGACTACGGGACGAGGACGGGGCTAGGGCCGAGGGGGCCTCGTTATGCAGGCCTAGCGTCGCCTAGCGTCCCCGTCCACGCGCCGTTGACGTAACCGCAGAGACTGCCACCGCACATTGGCCGGGCGAAGCGCCACGTCCTGGCCGCCCTGGCCGTCATCGTCGTCCTGGCGCTGGTGGCGACGCCTCAGTGGCAGGCACCCCGGGCGGCAGGCACGGCTGGCGCGCTGCCTACGCCGCCCCTGCCGGCCGCCGAGCCCTGGCTGTACCCGGCTGCTGTCCTAGTGCTGCCTCGGCCCGGCCGACATCGATCTGGGGCTACCCCACGCCTAGAGACCCACGCGGATGCTGGTCGAGTGGTCGCGACGGCGCGCTAACAGTGCTAACGCCACCACGATGACGCTCTTGTTGCTGTGCAGGTGTGTGACGCTGCGATGCACGGCGCCGCTCGAGTGCCTGTTCCTGCGGCGCGGCAAGATGCGCGACCTGGGCAAGCGGCTGCTGGATGAGCTCATGGACCTCAACCTCAACGAGCACCCCATCTTCTTCCACGTGTTCAGCAACGGCGGCGCCTACCTGTTCAAGCACGTGGCCATGGCCATGCAGGAGAGGGCCTCGCCGATCAAGGTGAGGAAGGGGACGGGGTGGTGCCGTGGGACTTCCCCAACGCGCCGAACGCTTTGGACGAGGCTTCGCAACTGCCTGACTGACTGTCTGTCTTTGCCGCAGGTGCTGGGCGTGATCTGGGACTCGGCGCCCGGCGAGCGCCGCTTCCGCTCCATGTACCTGGCCCTGAAGGCCATCCTGGAGGCGCGCTGGCCGTGCCTGGGGCCGGGCCCCGGGCTGTGCATCGGCTCGTGGCCGCTGCTGTGGCCGGGGCTGGGCGCGCCGCTGGCCGTGGCGCTGGCCCTGGTCATGACGGCCTGGTGGCTGGCCGAGGTGCTGGTGCAGGCGCTGGCGTCGCTGCGGCCGCAGCCCCTGGACCCGCTGGCCGAGCTGGACAGCATCCCCACCGCCTACACCGGGGCGCACCTGTTCCTCTACTCCCCGGCGGACAAGCTGATCCTCGCCAAGGTGCGTCGCCGGCGGTCACCGCGGCCTCGGCATTGTCTCCGCATTCTAACGTGCGTGTTTGTATTTTTGTTCCGGCAGGATGTGGAGCGCTTCGCCAGCCACCGGCGCGCGCTCGGGGAGCTGGTGACGGCCGTGCGCTTCGAGGACTCGGCCCACGTGCAGCACTACCCCGCGCACCGGGAGGCCTACGCCGAGGCCATCTACGCCTTCATGAGGGACGCGCTCAGCGGACGCAGGCCGTCGCCCACCTAGCCGAGCATGCCGGGGGCGAGCAGCGCGCAGAGCGTGCAGCCTTGCGAGTCGGCCGACATCGTGACGTGGCTTGCGGACGGCCCCCGGGTTGGGCTCTGGCCCTGGGAGGGAAGACCGTCTGGGGACGCGCCTCGGGAAGTGCCTCCCCTCGCCTCGCCGTGCCGGTCCCTGCCGCCCTGCCCTTCTCTGCCCTACCGTGGACCCTTGCCCGAACCTCGTCCGACGCTCCTGCCCTGCTCCGGCTCGGCTCCTGCCCCCCACTGAAAAATCATTGTGTCCTTCGGAACCAGCAATTTCTGCGTTTGCCAAAGTAGCTTAGGACTTTTCGTCATTTTCCTTATCCCCCTGATTTATTGGTTGTGAAATTTTCCCTTTTTTGGACTATCTCCGAGAGTTTTTTCCTTTTTTTTCTGACAATCATTTTCCACATTTTATACATTTTTGAATGCATCAATCCGTGCAGTCGACCCTCTCCCAAACCCACCCCTGGAAATTAAAAATTCCTTCTGTCCGGATCGCTATTTTGTCCTTAGCTTCCATCTTCCTTAAATCCATGCGAGCACTTAATGCCCTCAATCACTAGATTTTGAGATACTGAGCAATGAGATATGAGCAATCTTTTTAATGTCTGGGCATTTACTTTTTGTTTTGATTTGGAAAACGGAAGGAGAGAGTAGCATTAGCAGGAATGTTTGACTCACTTGACATTTTTTTAGCCCCCCAAGGGTATTGTTCTTGGTATCTTAAGTTGACGGGAGTTTTGTGATATTTATTTTGTAGAACACTAGAATACGTGAAACGAGTGTATTGAATAGTTCACGAAAGTTCTTATTTTTCTGTGATTCTTTTTGAGTCGTCCGAGTCCGAGATGCTTGAGTGTGTTTCCTGATTTTATTTCGCCTTTTGTGGTAGATTCAGGAAGGTTAAAAGTTAACACTGTGATACCTGTTGTTGGAAAAAATGAAAGCACAAAGCCAGCCTAACACAGAAAGGCCAAATGTTACGTTATCTTCCCTTATGGTGTGGTAAACTCTTTCCATGCAATTCATTTATAGGAAGTTGCAACCAATCGTTATTAAACCAGTCTCCATTTTAGCTTCCGACTGTTTCATGTTTAGAGACTAAATATTTTTTTCCTATCATAGATAGTGGCACTTGCAGTGAGTTACAATGATTTACCGAGGTCACGCGGTCGACTTGAGCCTTTTCCCAGATCGGGCGTTGAAGAGATTTTAGGTTGCATTGTACAGTCACGAAAATGTATTTAGGCGTGAATAAAGCAAGTTGATGTTGTCCGTTCATTTTCCTCGTATTTTACCTGTTACCTGACAGCCTTTTCGGACATGTTATTGTTATTGTTTTCGTAATCGCATCGCTTCACCGATAGGTGTTGGCAGGCGGTATCTTTTTGATAAAGGGGCAGCAAGCCGGTAGCCACGGCAGCAGCATGGCCTGGCATGGCGCACCCACTGGCGGAACACGCACAAACACACCCCTGTGGAGCCACCCCACGCCCACCAGCGCACCAGCGCGCGCACACACAGACACACACACACTGGCCATGCGCGCACTCACACACGGGCACGCGCACTGGCCGCGGTCGGGCCGCGTTGCTGCGCGTTGCGCTGGTCCGGCTGGTCCAGTAGCCGCTGTCCCCGCCTGCCGCGATGACCGTCGTGGTGCCCGAGGTCCGCCGCCCGTCCTTCATCATGCGCCCCCCGGAGGACCCCTCGGCGGGGCCGGCCGCGGGCTGCGGGGGCTTCAGCCGCGTGGGCGTGGCGCTCACCCTGGTGGGCGCCACCGCGGGGCTGCTGTTCGGCTACGACACGGGGGTCGTGTCCGGCGCCATGCTGCTCATCAGGTGGGTGAGGCTGCGCGTCGACGACTGACGACACGCCGACACGCCCGTCGCGGAAGACCCGCCAACTCACCGCGGCGTGCTGCGTGCTTCTTGCAGGCCGGAGATGCAGCTGGAGAACGCGTGGCACGAGTACATCGTGTCCGGGACGGTGCTGGCGGCCTGGGTCTTCTCGTACGTCGGCGGGTACGCCGTAGGTAAGCGCGCTGCTCTCGTGCTGGAGCAGGCTGGACAGGCTGGACAGGCTAGACAGGCTAGCTGGAACGCCGTGCGGGGTGGGCCGGCCCGTCGCGCACGCGTGTGTCGCTTGCAGGGATTGCCTACCTCGCAGGCGGCCCCGCCCCGCGCCGCAGCCGCCACGCGCCGGGTTTTGTTTCCAGTGATTATTCCGCCCCGCCCGCTGCCCGCCCTCCCCGCTCCCCCGGCCGGTGAGGGCCCTTGACGTCCTGACAGGTCGGCCAACGAGGTCTCGCCCATTCCGCTTTTTCGCATTTTCGCCGCTAAACGCGGAACGCTCGGCGCTAAACGGTCGACGCCAAGGTGCGGGAATTGTCGCCGTCCGGTTGCCACTCATCGTCCGAACCAAAACACACAAGCGCGCCGTGTTTTCGTTTTTTTTTTTTTTGGCGCGCCGTTTAATGGAAACGTGATGAGTATCGACGCCGATGTTTGCCGCAGACCGCTTCGGCCGACGGCGCTCCATCGTGGTGGCGGCGCTGGTGTTCACCACGGGCTCGCTGGGCATGGCGTTCTCGCCCAACAAGGAGCTGCTTCTGGTGGGCCGCATCGTGGTGGGCATGGGCGTGGGGCTGGCCAGCATGAGCACGCCCGTGTACCTGGCCGAGACGTCGGCGCCCGCCGTGCGCGGCAAGGCGGTCACCACCTTCAACGTGGGCGTCACGTTCGGCCAGTTCGTCGCCAGCCTCGTGTGTGGCCTGTTCTCCAGCGTCGAAGGCGGCTGGAGGTAAACTTAACTCGAGTCCTAGGTTCAGGGTGGCCTGGGGGTCGAGTGACGCCCCGTCTCGTCTGCCCGCCAGGTGGATGCTGGGGCTGGCCGGGCTGCCGTCCGCCGGGCTGCTGGTGGGCGCGCTGGTGCTGCCGGAGAGCCCCCGCTGGCTGGTGATGCAGGGCCGCGTCGACGAGGCCGAGGCCGTGTTGCTGGTGCTGCGTGGCGGGGCGAGCAGCGCGGACAAGCACGCCGGCGTGCTGCGCGAGCTGCAGGAGATCAAGGACTCGAGCGAAGAGGGCGGCAAGGCCGGCGGCAAGGTGCCGGAGGGCCAGAGCGTCGTGCTGCGGGTGCTGAGGACGCCGTCCGCGCGCAGGCCCCTGATCATCGGCTGCATGCTGGCCTCCGTGCAGCAGCTGGCTGGCGTCAACACCGTCATGTAAGGCCTACGCCTGCACCGTGCAGCCTAAGTTTTTCTTTCTCATTCGCTTTGTTTCGTTCCCCCCGCAGGTACTACAGCGCCAGCATCATCCAGATGGCGGGCATCGGCGACTCCGCCGCGGCCATCTGGCTGTCCGTGGTGGTGGCGTTGGCCAACTTCACCTTCGCCGTGGTGGGCGTGTTCCTCATCGAGCGCTGCGGCCGGCGCCCCCTGCTGCTCGGGTCGCTCATGGGTACGACACGCGATCTGCGATTCAAACACTGCGAACGCCGAACGCAACCGGCTTGCCCGTTATCTAACGCCGTGCCCGCAGGAGTGGTGGTGGCGCTTTGCCTGCTGGCCACCGGCTTCCTCGCCATGGACATCACGTCGCCTAAGATCCACAAACACGACCTCCTGGACGACGACCCGTGCGTCGTGGCCACGTGAGTGTCTCCATCGCCGAACTCCACAGAAGGCGAGTGTAAGAGCCACGGTTTTGAACTCGGCCTGCCTGCCGCAGCCGCTGCTCGGAGTGCGTGTCGTCGTCGCTGGGCTGCGGCTTCTGCTTCGCGACCGACGGCAACATGTCGGTGCAGTCCTCGTGCCACAAGCTGGGCAGCGGCAACGTGCCCATGGCGGACGTCTGCCACACGGACGACGTGTCGTGGGCCGTGGGCTGGTGTCCGTCCGCCTACTCGTGGATCGCCATCACCGCCCTCGTGCTCTACCTCGTCATGTTCTCCCCAGGTGCGCAGGCCAGTGGACACCCCCTCGTCTCTCTCACGCTGGCGCCGTTTCTGACCGTCTCTCTCTGTCGCACTCGCAGGCCTCGGCCCCGTGCCCTGGACCGTCAACTCCGAGATCCACCCGCTGTGGGCGCGCGGCGTGTCGAGCAGCATGTCCACCAGCTGCCACTGGGCCTTCAACCTGCTGGTGTCGCTCACCTTCCTCACGCTCGTCGAGAACCTCACGGCCAAAGGCACGCCGACGCCCTGCTCGCGCCGCCCCACCCCCGCAACGCTATTCTAACGTTTGCCGTTCGCCCGCAGGCACGTTCCTGGTGTACGCCATCCTCGGCGTGATCGGCGCCGTCCTCATCTGGGCGCTGCTGCCCGAGACGCGCGGCGTCCGCCTCGAGGACATGGAGGCCGTCTTCAGGACGCCGGCGGCGCGGCCCGCCCGGGGGCTCGACCTCGTCGGCGAGGGCGGGCTGCACCAGGTGGCACCGAGGGTGGCACCCAGGTGAAGGGGGACGACGCCAACGGCCGTGGCCGTGAACAAGGTGCCCGAACAAGGGACGTCGTCGGCGACCCGGCGCGGCGCCCGGCAGCCAGGCCACCCAACGCACGCGTCGCGCCCCGCGGCGCCACGTCCACTTATCGTCTGGTCAGGAAGATAGAGGGCCCGAGCTTTTTCTAAACTTTATTTTTGGACGGCCACATCCATACAGCGGCAGATGTGAACGGGGCGCGCCGAGTGTTTTGTAAATAAATAAATAAATATATTAATTTAGTGATGTCTTGCCGCCGATTTGCTGTTCAACGAAGCGCCGCCGCCAGAACGACAGAGGGCAGCACCAGTAGCGGGAGCGGGAGGAGTGAGGGCGTTAGACTCGTCGAGGCGCCAGCCGTGCTCCTGTACACATTTACACATCATCATGCTCTGGTTAATGGTCATTCCCCAAAGCGCGAAACCCTGGCATGGAGCGACAGTCTGCAAATGGTTATGGAAAACAGAGCGACCCCGCAGCATACACCCAGAAGGCCCCATTTCGCCATGCAAATCACCTAGGAGGAGTCAGTTCACAGGTTATCGGGAACGGCATGCAAAGTGGTCCGGTATCGGAGACGTTAAAATAAAAAGAAAGCAGGAGACATACGATAAAAGAACCTACAGCGCCTTCATCGACGCTGTATCATTTATTGGGTAAAGTAAAAAAAATAAATTAGGTGCGAAAAAGACTATACGTAACAACACATGATGCGACAAGGATGATGGCACGATGGGATGACTAGGTACAATATAGGCATAGAAGTATTCCTACTATCACAGGAATTAGCAAAAATAAATTAGATTTTGTTCTTTGCGGGAATGGTTTTGGTCCCGTTCACCACGACCGTTGGCTTGAGCAGCTGCGGCCTCTTCTTTTCATCCCTGCGTTGCCAACAAAGAAATTAGTAAAGAACAGACAGAAACTGGCCAGGCTGGCGGGGCTGCCGCGGCACCTACCCGAGCTGGCACTCCTTCCTCCAGTCGCCGGGGATGACGTCCTTGGTGAGGTCGTGGAACTTGTCGAGCGGGCACGGCGACGCGCAGCCCTCCACGGCCACCACGTGCGCGTCGATGCCGTGGCGCTCGCGCAGCAGCACCTGCACGGCGTACTCGCCGGTGTCGGCCTTCTTGAGCAGCTCCAGCACCAGCATGGCGTTGAAGTCCGGGTACACGGCGCCCCACACGCGGATGGCCAGGGCAAGACCGGACACGGTGTCGTCGTGGCCGGAGTAGATCCAGAGGCGAGGCTTCTTGGTGCCCTCGCGCGTCTCGCGCATCGTGTTCACCAAGTGCTTCACCAAGGGGCCTGGGCCGCGCCGGGCCGGACAGAATCCACAAGGTTAATCTAATCCCAGCATGAACCGCCCGCTCCTGGGCTTGGCCTCGTTGGGCTGGGCGCACTCACCGACTTTGAGGCGCTGCATGGACCGCGTGAGCACGCGCGCGTGGAAGTGCCACAGCGCCACCTTCTGCAGGCGGTCCGGGTAGAACGGCAGCACCCAGTCGGGCACGATGCGGCCCTCGTCCGTCTGCACCAAGACGCGGCAAAATGACCAAAATGCGACTCAGTGCTGCAGCGTGCTGCGGTTGCATTTCGCGGCCGCGGCGCAGGCTGGGGCCCATCATATCGTGCTCGGACGGCTCGGCCACTTATCGCGCCGCCCTGTCCCTGTCCCCGTCCTCCGCGCTCCGGTTACCACTGGATGGGTCCGGCTTGGCGGCGCTTGGCGCTTGGCGGTCCGGGCGAGACGACTCAAGTACGTGTCGCCTGCCGTCAGTCACCGCCAGCAGCCCGTCATTTGGGGCGTTTGGGGGACGGGCCGCAGTCATTTGGCGGGACGGGTGGCACTGCGCAGCACTGGCCGGCTCTGCGCGGCACGCCAAGCTGGCGGTCGACGGGACTGCCCTGCCGCCCTGCCCTGCCCTCGCCGCCCTCGCGCGTCAGCAACGCGGCCGCGGCGTTGATCCCCGTGTTGGTGGCCGCTATCGGCTCGCTGATTAACGGGTGGATTACAGCGCACCTTGCACACGCCGTCTCTCTCGCCCTCGCGGGGCGTGCCGTAGGGGAGCGAGAGAGACAGCGCGAAGAAGCTCGTTCGGAACCACCAGCACCAACAACAAGAGCTCCAGGAACGCGAACGCGACCTTGGCCGCGGCCCGGCCCGGTCCATACGCACCTCGATGGAGACGGTGCAGAAGAAGACGGAGATTCCAGCGATCGGGTTGGTGGGGTGGAGGACGCCCTTCTCCCGGAGGACCTTCATCATCTCGGGGTCCGAGTTCAGGAACTGCTTGACGCGGTCGCCGCGCAGCGCCTCGGAGTACTCCCTGGCGTAGCGCGGGCACTCGACGCCGTTCATGTAGAGGTACTGCAACACGTGCAACGCGGTGCGTGAATGGCTTCGAGTCCGCCTGGTGCGGCGGGCCCTCTTCGGCGAGGGGTGTACTCACGTCGTCCAGGTGCCTGGGCATGTAGTGGAACACGAAGGGCTGCCACTGCGCGCCCAGCGAGGCCGTCGCAGAGTCCCACTGCTGGACGCCTCTGGACGGGAAGAGCCCCGCCATGAAGGCCTGCAGGCTGAGCTTGGTGCGGGGGATGTCCGTGCTGGTGGCGTTCACCTCGGTCTGGTAGTACGTCTCGCCCAGGAAGCCGCCGTACATTTGACGGAACAGCGCCCCCAGTCGGTACGTGGACTCGATGCCCGCCTGGAGTGGAGGGACGGGGCAGCACAGCGTTAGAGAGGGAGACCTTCGCCTTCGCCCCCGCGGCCTCGCGGCCTCGGCCTGGTTGCGCCACCGCCGCTACCGCCAGGGCCGCGGCCTCGGCCACGCCGCGCCCTGCTCACCTTGGACAGCTGGTCCCACCCCGTCGGCGGCCACGCGTAGTCCTTGTTGGGGTCATTGGCGTACGGTGCCTCCGGGGTGCGGTTGCCGTGCCGGAAAACCTGCGCCAAAAAGAGTCATTGCACCATTGCACTTTGGCCGCTCGCCGTATCCGCCTCGCCGCCTCGTTCCTTGTCGCAGCAGGCTGCAGTGTGTGCTCCATTTGAGGACCATGGCGCGGCGGCGCGCAGGGCAAGGCGAGGCAAGGCGGAAAGGCAGTGGCCATTGTGACCGAAATAGACCCCGCTGGATGGGAAAGTATTTTCGCTGCGGACCCGACTGAGGTCAGCACGGTCAGCACGTCATGCAGCCTCTCGCTCTTGTTCGTGTTGCCTAACGTCTGCGGCTTATCACTGGCGCAACGCCCCGGCAACGTATCACGACGTATCACACTTCATTCACAACTCGTGGACACTATCAACTGTCCAATTTACTGGCCGGGCCGACGGGGCGGCGAGGGCGGTCGGCCGACGCTCCGACTGAACACAGCACACCCCACCGCCGCGGACGGGGCGGGGCGGGACGGGTTACACCAACACCCGCGAGGCCGAACATCAGACAAAGAGAATCGATTTGGCTTCGGAACACTGAGAAGAGGTGTTTGATTGGTTTCGCCATGACAGGGGGTGGCCTACGCTTGAGTTTGGGTTGATTTCTACCATGCTTTTTTATAACCAGGGCAACTCTAACCGATCCAAACACACCAACGTCATCAAGGTCCAAAGTTCAACCCTCCATTTTGTTTTCTTCAAGCTCAAATTTGACTAACAATATTTTTGATGCTTGAAATTTTAACTCTGCGAACAGGAATGATGAAACGAAACCAGCTTCACTGTCTATTCACGCGCACTGAGAGTCGACCATAAGTGTTTACTCGATTGCTGCAGGCCTTGAGTCGGCTGCATCACGACTGCAGGGCGTTTATGACTGCAGCTAGCCTGGCACTCGAGGCCGATAATTTTGCTATAAAACCCGTTGCCATACACACTCGACTTTTTCAGTGAATTAACGCGAGGAAGGTGACACACGGTGCGGCTCCAAGGCTGCTCCGATAGCGTATCAGGGGGGTGGCATTGACGAGGACCGGACGGGCTGAGGGAACAGCTGCCCGGCCGCGTCGCGGTGCACCTGCACTGCTCTGCGCTGCACTACACTGTCCTCCGGGGTGCGCCCTCGAGGCGCCAATGCCTCCACGTTACTCACGACGTGCAGCTGCTCCAGGGTGTACCCGGGCGGGGGCGCGGCCCCGGCGGGGGACGGCGCCAGGCACAGGGCCAGCGGCAGCAGGGCGGCCAGGCTGCGGACCAGCATGGCGAGGACCGCGAGGGCCGCGAGTACCGCGAAGTGGACTGGAGAGGAGTGCGCGGCGCGCGGTGCGGACGCGGAGCGGGTGGCGCGGTCGGTCTGTGTGTTGACTGTGTTGCCGCCGCCCGCAGCCAATCCACTTTATACGGCGACACTGCTGGGCCGTCGCGGTGGTCGCGGTGTCGAGGCGGCCGTCTTCGAGAGCCGCGGGGCTCGGCCCTGCCCCCGCCCCCGCCCGGCCCCGCGCGCCCCGCCGACAACTCGCGCTGCCCCTTCAAGGATGAGATGCCGCTCGCTCGGTGCGTGTCCACACTCGCAGTGGCTGTGTATGTGCACATGGCTTCCAGCGTCGCGGTTCGGTGTCGTCAGGGTGCCGTTGCCATTTTGCCATTTTTTTCGGCAGGAGGTGCGATGCTCTTCTTCAGGCGTGGACCGGCCGGGTGAATGGGCCAGTGACCCGAGACAACAGCAGGAAGTTCTAGGCAGAGCGAAGGAGTCCTTGGTGACGGCGGCGGTGGAGGTCGAGGCCGTCGGAGGCGCCAAGAGTCATCGATCAACGCGCCGCCGTCATCGCGCGCCTATTGGCGAGTTGGCGGGACGCGGCCAGGTTGCCGATAGGTAATGGGTCCGCCGACCCGCTGCCGCGGTGGGACTCCGGCCGCGGCGTCGTCGAGGTGCTCGACTCGGATTCGCCCCAAAATCGAGACGAGCGCCAATGCGTGGCCCAAGGCCAATCTGCTGCTTGTGCTTCGCCTGGCCACGGCAATTGCTGTCGGCGTGCAGGCCAGCCAGATGCACTCCATGAGGAAGCGGCCCCGCCCCGCCCCGCCCTGGCTGCCCTTGGCCACGACGTGCACGCCAACGCCAGCCCCAGCCACGCCGGGCGGATAAGCTGCCTGCATTGTTTGACTAGGGATGAGCCGGGCGAGTTTGCCGCGGATCTAGCTTCGCGCTTCGCGCCGCCGGTTTCACCATGGTTTCACCATGGTTTCACCATGGTTTCACCACCACGCACTCGGGGGAGGCGAGTAAGCGGGGAGTAAAAGTCGCCAAGAAAGGTGAGAAACCATCCCTTTTGTCCTGTCTCCGCTTCTCGGCGGTGTTGTGAACAATAAATTGTCAAATCAAGCATTCCAAATGAAAAATAAATTGACAGTTCAAGCCTTATGAAAAATATACTTTTTACTCGATTTGCGACATTTTTTCTCCCCCCCCCCCCAACTGTACTCGCCTTTCGCGGCTCTAATGCAACCTCTGATCCCCTCGCCGGTACATACCCCCGCGCAAGTGCATCTCTAAGCCTTCGGATTAGTGATTCCTGGCGCAAAACGCATACGCCCGTTGTGGTGACATGGTGGCACGGCACGACGCAGCGGGCCTTCGCCTAGTGTAAAGTCGCCTCGTCGTTGTCAAAGTCCCGGCCTTCCACCAGACCACGAGGGCTCGTCTCGAACAGTGGGTCATCGCTCTGCCCGGCCGGTATGTGACCCACGGGGCGCCGCAGTGCGAGGGGCTGCCTGCCGCCACGGCGAAGCAGCCAGGCGGCGTGTGGGTTGCCTGCCTGCCGGGCGGAGCGGCCCGCCAAACGGGGGCCACCGCCAGCCGAAGCCAATCGGCCGAACAGCCAAACGGGACGAGCGGACGCCTTATCCGCCGTTCGCACGAGTCGGCAAACAGCGCCGCTTTTCGCCCTTTGACTTTTGAATGAGCGGAATGTGTACCCGCCTCTGAACCGGGGCGGGTCGCACGAGCGGAGAAGTCAACGGCCGCGTGGTCGTCGTCGACCGTCGTCGACGTGGTGCTGGACGGCAGGACGATGGCGGCGTCCGCGGCTCCCCGTCGGCCTGCCCCCGCGCCTCGACTCGCTGCGGTGATTATGCGCGGGAAAGTGGCGAGCGAAAGGCTCCGCTGCTCCTGGCTCCGCTCCGACGCCGCACCGCCCCCTGCCGCCCCCTGCCGCCCCCTGCCCTGGACGCTGGACGGTGGACACGCACTGCCGCCGCGACCAGGACGACGCGACGCCCCGCCCCGCCGCCTTATCGCGCTGATCCGACTCGGACTGCGCGCCGTCGGGGATCAAGGCATTCATTAGGCAAGCCGTCAGCGCGGCCCCAGCATCCAGCACCGCTGCAACACCGCCACTGCCCTGCTCGCCCTGTTCCAGTTAGATCACCGTTGTTGCAGCGGCACGCAGAGAAACGCAGTGGCACGTGGGGTCAAAGGTGGCGGCGCCGCTGGAGTCCGGAGTGGGAGACAGCTGCGATTACCGCTTTCCTGCGTGGCGCCGCCGCGGCGTCGCTCTGTCTCTCTCGCACCCCCGCGGAACGCCCCACGAGTGCGAGAGAGACGGACAGACGGCCCGCGTCCGGCACGCCGTCCACCGTAATTGCGGCTAGGCCGGGATGGGCGGTCTGTCATTTTCGTCGCTCTGTCTCCCTCGCACTCGTGGGGCGTCCCGCACGGGCGCGAGAGAGGCGGAGCGACGAAAACGACTCGGAATCAGTCAGCTGACTCGCCGTCTCCTGCAATTAGCTCTACGTGAGCCGGGCCCCGTCCAGGTGCCGCCCGCCGCGCCGCCGCCACCATGGCCGAGACAATCTTGCGACACTCCGCGGGTTCAAATTCAAACGGACAGGACAGGGCATGACAGCACGACGGTCTCACGGTCCCGGGCCGCGCGGGAACACGAAAACGAAAAGGACTCCGGCTCTAGAACACTGGAAACGGCTAAGCGGTCAAGTGCGGTGGGGTCGGGCCTCGCTCCTCGCTCTTTGGCGTTCTTTCGTGACAACGGCGCCGTGCGGACACCGACATTGCAGGTCGCGAGTCCACCGCCCGCCGCTCCACGCCACGCGGATCTGTGTCAGGCATGGCCGTCAGGCCGCGGGCGCGCCTTCCTTCTACGTGACGGCCTGGGCGTCCGGAGCGGAGTGACGTCAGCGCCTCTTGGCCCGGCTCCAGCGCGTCCAGGATCGCGCCTCCAGGACGCCCGGAGTCCGGAGCGGTCGCCCGTTTTTGACTTTGACCCCCGCGACCGCCAAATCCACGAAGCTGATTAAAAACTGGATGCCGATTGATCGGCGACTGGCCAATGGCGTCACGGCGCCCATGACGTAGGCGGCGGCCTGGCGGCCAGGCGCGTGGATGGCGCGCGTTGACCGCCCTGTCCTGCGCCGGGCCACGGCCGACGCGCCCGGCATGGCCTACATGGCCACGGGCGAGGCGGAAATCCATGCGGCCAGTTCCTCGTACTGCTCGTTATGAGAAAGTCGTATTGACCGTGTCGGACTGGCGATATCGCCGGCGACATGACGGCCGCGAGGTCGGGGGTCCGCGCGCACACCAAGCACGCCATGCACGCCATGCACCGCGCACCGCATGCACACAACCCCCGCGGCCATCATCGGCTGCCGATAAAGAACAAGAACGCCCCGTGCGGAGAGCGGCCACAGAGTGCCACACAATGCCGGGCTGTCTCTGTCTCTCTCGCTCCCTTGCGGGGCGCGCGGGACGCCCCATAAGTGCGAGAGAGACAGAGCAGTGCCTGGAATCAGCCCGCAGGGCCCAGGGGCCCAGGGCGCGGGGATTGCCTCTAAAGACGTCACATAACACCTTCCTCCACCCGTTGTGCGACGTCAGCCTGATGTAACGGCGCGCGACGGCGGCGGCGCTTTCCACCAGGCCCGACGCCCGACCCGGCCGGGCCGCACTATCCCGGGGCTGTGACCCCGCGCCGCGGCCGCGCGAGGGCCGAGGGACCGATGGGCAGGCAGGGGCAGGCCGCCGGGGCCGCGCACCGGGACGGCAAGTCAGGTTAGGTTAGGTTAGGCAAGTCTGAGCCTCGAGGCCTGGATGCTGGATGTCTGGAAGCCTGGAGGTCCTGAGGCCTCTGGGAGCCTGCCTGGAAGCCTGCAGAGATGGAGGGCTGAACTGAACCACGATGACTGTATACCGGGGTGCAGGCATCGCGCGATGAATGTACCCCTCTGGCAACCTGTCGCGGTGGGTTCAGCTATCACGCGATTCTTGTACTGGCCGACCAACTGGCCGCCGCCTGCCTGCTGCCCGCTCACGGCGTTGCATGACTTTAGGTAACGGGTAACGGGAGTGCTGCGGGCTTCGCGGGGGTGGGGGATGGGGGATCTAGTCGGGGAGCGCGACGACAGGAGAAAGCACACGTCCCTGCTGCAAAGGACAGTGCAGGCGGCACCGGCCTGGGCCCCGCCTCGCCCCGCCAGGACAGCCGCAACAAAGTCTGCAGTTACAAAGGGCTACCCGCACCGGAAGTCCGAACGGCGGGGAAGGCCCTCCCCCTCCTCCGCCCCCAGCGCACGCGACGCCGAAATTCGGCGCCAATGTCGATGACGTTGAAGGGAACGACGGCTGGCTGCTGGCGCTGCTGGCTCGCTTCGTCGTAGACTCCGGGTTGTTGTCAACTGGAATCAAACTCGCCGGGCACCAAGAGCCTGGAAATTTCCAGGCGTCCACGCAGGCTATGTTTTTAATGGGAACCGGCCGGCTGCGTCTGTCTGCCGAACCGGCAGCCTCTGCTTTGCCGACGCTACCCTCTCGGATCCCGGAGCAAAAATAACCTGGTCGTGTGCCTGGTTTGCAGACTTAAGGCATGGGGCTGCAAGCACCGGTCAGTGGCGCGCCGCGCCGATCCATGAAGATGGAGCCCTCTAGCGAGCGGCAGGTGCGGCAATCCACCGAGCATCTGACTTCTCCACGACTGTTCGCTCAGGCCGTTCGCTTCGCGGTTCGCGGGGCGTTGGGCGTTCGCGGGGCATCGCGGGGCGGGACGGGGCGGGTCGGACTCGCCTCGCGTGGTCTGGTCTCGCGGTCCGCGGTCCGCGCTCGCGCTGCTGCTGCTACTCGCTCGCGGCTCGCGGCTCGGCTCGCGGCGGAGCGGAGCGGGAGCGGAGCGGGTGCGGTGCGGTAGTCAGTCGCAGACAAGACGGCGGTCGGGACGGACGGACGGGAACGTGCAGCTCTCTAAGCCCCGCCACGCTCCGCCACGCTCCGGAAGGCATTAGTTGGCTAGAGGCTCACGGCTCACGCTCCACGGGGCAGTGGGCAGGCAGGCTGGCGTGAGGGGTACCGCGAGTGTCAAGAGTGTGAGGCTGACTCCGTCAAGTCAGGCCGTCAGCGACCTGCCAGTGACTCTCACGGCAAGTCATGTGAAGTGCGCGCGCGTGTTTGTGTGGCTGTGCGTCGCAGCGCCCCGCAGCGCGTTCTGCTGCCGCCCTGCGTAACCTCCGCTTTGAGGTTAGGTTCGTCTGTTTGTTATCGTCGGACAAGTCGCCAAGTCGCAAGCAGCCAAGATGCCCAACATAATGTCCAGGTACCTGGACAGCACGGCTGCCAAGTACAACATCCCCAAGGAGTACCTGTCCAGGACTGTCCTGGGCACAGCAGTGTGTTTGTATGGCATCAAGCTGGGCTACCCCCTGATCCAGCAGCTCTGCACAAAGACTGGGAAGCCTACTGAGAACGGTGTGAAAAATGCCAAGGGGAAGCCACCTCGCAACGGCACGGTGGTCGTGGCCAATGGAGAAGACGTTTCAACGAATAACAATGATCTCGTTGTGCCCAATGGCAAAGCTGTCAAGAGAGAAACTGCTTCATCGAAAAATGGTCGCTCTTCTCCGGCTGTCAACCAGGAGTTTCTGCTGCAACTGGAGAAGTTAATACGCATCATGATTCCTCGATTCTGGTGCACTGAGACTGGCTTATTGTCAGTTCACACATTAGCACTGTTTACTCGTACATTCTTGTCAATATATGTGGCCTCTATGGAAGGACAAATTGTCAAGTTCATTGTGCGACGGGACATCTGGAATTTCTCCATCATGCTGTTAAAATGGCTTGGAGTCGCCGTTCCTGCCACATTCATCAACTCCATGATCCGTTACTTGGAGAACAAGCTGGCTCTTGCCTTCAGGTCAGTGCTCTACTTCTAATACCGTATCAATTATTCAATTACTTGGTACTTAGGTCTCATTACTCATCGCCTGAGTGGAGTCGTGTACATTTGAAAGTCCGATTGTCATTAGTGGCAGCTCTGGTCCTCATTTCATTTTGTACACACTGAGACCGACTGACTAGTCAGGTCATGAATTTTCAGTGCCATTGTCCTCTCGATATTTGCATACATTAACCTCTGACAATCACGGTGGACACCACACAGTCCACCACGATTTCCTCCTGCTTCATTTGTTCCGACTTGATCACATGTGACATTTTCTTTGAAACCGTAACCACTTTCACTTATTCAAGGCTGATACTGCATTGACATGCAGTGTCCTTTGGCCCCACCTTAAGACTGATGTCGGGAAGCCTTAACAAAGCCAATACAGGGACAGGGGAGGGGTTGGGATGGGGCTACCTGTGTGGGATTCTCACCAGGACAGACTCACTGAGCATGAGTAAGAAAACCATGGGCTGCCTGGGAGCCTGCTCAAGTCAATGACTGACAATAGCTCACATCGTCAGGTACATGGACAAGACGCAATGTGGCCATGCACTGTGAATTCCTAGAGGCTGCTCGCAACTTTTAATCTCTAGATTGTGTACCTGTAACTATTGATATGCAGTATTTGCTATCAAAGTGGAGTGGTCTCTGTGGTTGACTCGATGGCCGGCGAGCGCGCGGCGCAGGGAAGCCCCCCTCTCCCCTCCCCCCTCCCCCTGCCCCCACGGTGGAGCCGGCTCGGCGGACCCTGGGACCCGGGGTACCCGTTGGCCATCAGCAGCAGCCGTCAGACAGGTGTCCGCCGTGTCTGTCCTGTCCTGCCGTGTCGGCGGTCGGGGTGTGGATGGGCCTGGTCGCCATGCAAGATGTGAGATGCAAGCACAAAGCGCCGCAAGCGCTGGGCTGCCAGCAGCTGCCGGCTGACTCGCCGTCTCTGTCTCGCACTTGTGGGGCGTCCCGTGGGGGTGCGCGGTGCGGTGCGAGCGAGACAGAGTGTGTCGATGCGATGGCCCGCCCGATGGCCCGCGCCATGGCCGGGTCGTTGAATCCGCATCAAGCCACTCAGCGAAAATAGCAGCCTCGCCCCACATCGCCCGTGGCGTCGTGGAGAAGTGCTGGGAAACCAGTCTAGCCGGGCGGTGGCGCGGTGGCGCGGCCTCCCTGGTCTTCCCCGCCACGTCCGCTCCGCTCCACTACGGCACTACGGCCGCGGGGCGCTGCAGCGCAGCGAGCGCACCCAGGCCGGCTAGGCTAATGCACTGCAGGAAGGAAGGGACGCGCTGCGCTGCGCTCCCCGATGGTTCAAGGCCCCCGTCGTGGAGGCCGCCCCCGAGACCGCCGCGCCGCCTTGCGTCTGTGTGTGCCTATGGCCGCCGTTGCCGCCGTGGCAGTGTGTGGGAATCGGTAATACCCCGTATGATTCTGGTAGGCGTATTTTTGGCGTATTTTAGTCGTACTTTGTACGTCATATTTACTTCAAAAGAACGCCAAAAATACGTCAAAAGATTACGGCAAAACTACGCCAAAATTACGCCAAATGCGTGAGGCATAAATTTGGCGTACCGAAGGCGTATTCTAGTCTGGAAAACGTTCTGTTTTACGACTAAAATACGCCAAATTTACGGTCATCTGCTGGATGACGGTGGAGCAAAAAGCAAAAGGTACGCGTAGACAGGTGTCGATCCATAGATCTACGTGTTCGCAGACGCATGCGGAACCACTTGGCCAGAGTGGATCTGGAGACTGAGCTGGGCAGCAAATAGACAAAGATCTGTCCACGACTGGTCGGATCCAGGCGGGGGATGGGCCTTTTCACCATGGCGCGGCGTGCGGATAAATCGGTTATCAAGGACCAGGTTATCGTTCAAAATGAACAGGTTCGAACCACCGCACACCCGCGTCATGTGTTGTGAAAATGGCCCATCCCAGTCCGACGTCCGGAGGGACAGATCTTGTCTATGTGGGTGCCTGCCCATCAGGTCTCCAGATCCACTCTGGCCAAGTGGTTCCGCATGCGTCTGCGAACACGAAGATCTTGGATCGACACCTGTCTACGCGTACCTTTTGCTTTGCTCCACGTCATCCAGCAGATGACCGTAAATTGGCGTATTTTAGTCGTAAAACAGAACGTTTTCCAGACTAGAATACGCCTTCGGTACGCCAAATTTATGCCTCACGCATTCGGCGTAATTTGGCGTAGTTTTGCCGTAACCTTTTGCCGTATTTTTGCGTTCTTTTGAGTACATATGACGTACAAGTACGACTAAAATACGTCAAAAATACGCCTACCAGAATCATACGGGACGACGCGCAGCTCGCAGCCTGGCGCAGCCTGGCGCACCCCGGCGCAGCAATGCCCAGCCCGCGGACACGCTCCTCGTGACGCGCGCACGCACACACGCACAGCGACACGGACACTTACACTTCACACACACACGTGCGCAAACAGGCTTCTCGATTAGACATTCCCGCCGCATGACATCGGTCAGACAACTCCTCTTAGACTGTAATCTCCTTTCGGCCTTTTCTCTGCTGCCCGCCGTCGCTGTCCTTTTCTGGTCAGAGTGCACGGCATAGACGCGCCGCGCCGCTGCGCGCTGGCTGCTCTGACGCAAGCCCGTTGTTGAGGGCAGGCTCCAGGCAGCTCCAGGCACCAGGCCGGCAGGCCCCAGCCAGGCCTTCTGTTGGTCAAGCGCCGTGAATGTCAGCAGAATGGTGGACCAGCCGCGGCTACCCGGCCGCGCTGCAGCCAGACTCCGAGCAGTCCTGTCGCTCTGTCTCTCTCGCTCCCGTACGGCACGCCCCGTGCGCTCGAGAGGCAGAGCGACGATGACTGCGACTGCTCGGAATCGGTCTGCAGTGCCGGCCGGCCGGGCTGGCCGGGCCGGGCACTTGGCGGCGGCGCGGACTGATGTCGACACGTCGACGAGAAACCCTCCCTGCAGCTGCACTGCGTTGCACCGCGCTGCTTTGCGTCGCTCCGTCTGCGTCGTGCTCTACCCTGCTGCAGGGGCGCGTCCCCGGGGGGCGTGTCCGGCCGGCCGGCGTGCCCACGGAAGGCAAGGCGCCGCTCGCCCTGACGCCGTGACGCCGTGACACTGTCTGACGCACGCGTCGCGCACGCGTGCGGTGGGAATGCGGCCGGGCAGGCGGCACACCGTTTCCGAAAGTCGCCTCCATCGCGCCCGTCTCTCTCGCACGCACGGGGTGTCCCCTGTAGGTGCGAGAGAGACAGAGCGGCCGCAGCGGCCCTTGGAATCAGTCTGCAGAGCAAGCAAGACACGGCGGCTAGCGCGCGTCTCTGGATGCACTTTGCTGACACGACTGCCACGCTTGGCTGGACGAGAACCCGCGTCTAATTTCCCAACGTTTTTATGTTTTCGGCGGCGGGCTGCGGCGGCCCGGCCGGGGCCCGGCCTTCGCCATGACACTCTGCCGGTGCTTGTGTAAACGCCGCCGCGTCCTGCCTGCCTGCCTGCCTGCCGGCCGTTGCAGTAACACTTGACCCGCGTGAGGTGAGGTTCTCGAGGCGCGCCGGCGGCACAGCGGCACGCCAGAGTCCTCTGGTCGTGGCGGTCGTGGCCGCTCCGCTCGCTGCTCGAGGCTTCCACGCGGCGTGTCGTTGTGCCCTGCAGGCCGATTGCGAGAGTCGTTTTCGTCGCTCTGTCTCTCTCGCACCTACACGGGGCGCCCCATGAGTGCGAGAGAGACAGAGCGACGAAAACGACTCTCGGAATCGGGCTGCTGGCCCTGTCGGCCCTGCCGCCGTGGGCCTCGGAAAGCGCTTTGCCCAACCAAACATCCAATTTCAGGATCGTCACGAGCGTTGTGGTGAACTCCGTGAGGACATGTAATTTAGAAATGAGGTTGTCCTGCGCATGGCGACGTCCCGAAAGCTCCCACTTCACCACGAGACGTGGACGCACTTGGAGTTTGGATTTTGGATCCAGCGGTTGGGAAACGGGGAGGTGCCTGCATGGTGCGCAAAGGGCAGACCAGCCGCCTGGTCGATGGTCACTATTTCAGCTGATTTGCGCCGTGCTGCGCCCCGCCCTGCCCCGCCCCGCCCGCCCCGCCCCGCCCCGCCCCGCCCCGCCCCCGCCTCGCCCGCTGGCTCGTGCCGCCACTCCACGGCTCCACGGCTTGGCACTTGACCAGCGCACTGGGAGGTGCTGCCGCGTGCTGCCGCGCTGCCTGCATGGCGACAGGCGCGACAGGCGGCCTATCTCTCGGACCCTTGGCCATTGCCTCTCTCAAGTGGCGGACCTTAGTTCGCTCGGTCCGGCCGCACCTGCCCACCTTTGATTTGAGATGTACCTTTACACCGCCGTGTCATCGAGATCGAGCCTCGAGGGCCTTCGAGATTGAAGCGCAGCACGCCTGACGTGCGTGGGAGTTTCCTCACGTGTGATGCGTCTGATTGTGGGAATGGGCACTCATGTTTTCCTTTCCCTTCCAGGACGCGGCTGGTGCGGCACGCGTACTCGCTGTACTTCAAGGGACAGACGTACTACCGCGTGGCCAACCTGGACGGGCGCATCGAGAATGCGGACCACCGGCTGACGGACGACATCACGGCCTTCACGTCCTCCGTGGCGCACCTCTACTCGCACCTCACCAAGCCGCTGTTCGACTGCGCGCTCATCGGCCTGGCCCTGGCGCAGTCCAGCAGACGCATGGGCGCCAACATCATCCCCGGTGAGGACGGCAACGACGGCGACGTCGTCTTCCTGGGGCGCGGACTTTGTCCCCGGTAGCTGCAATCAGCACGATAAGCACGTATCGCGCGTGTGCTTGGCGGGCCAGCTCATAGCCCGCCCCGCCCCGCCCCGATGGCTTGTTGCTCCATGGGGCACGTGCCCGGCGTGTGACACGTGTGCCGCCGTCCTGCCCGCCGCACTGCCGGTTCACTCGTTGCGTTCGATCCGGACGACGCGAGAAAGGCGTTGTTGTTGTGCGTCTGACGGGCTGACCTCCGAAGCGGGGCGATAGCGGCGAGGACGCCGTCGTGGCTCGCGCCTCGCGCCGCCGCCCGGTAGTCCCAGCGGCCTGGCGGTGGTCCTGACGGCCGTAGACGGCCGCTGACGGCGGTCTAGGGAGAGAGAGGGGGCCCCTGGGCCCCTTGCCCCTTCCCGCCGGTGCAAGTGCACGGTGCAGGCCCTGCAGGGGCGGGCCGGCCGGGCCGTCGACCCAAGTGAGTTTCACCTCCCGGACTGCCTGGACTGCCTGGACTGCATGTCCGGCCGAGTCTTCTGGAATCCTGGAGATGCCCCCACCACGCCACTCGAACGGTCGCAGATGAGGATAGATTTATTTTTCTCCTTGAAAAATCTTTCCGTCGCCCGCTCGTGTGTGTGCGTGCGTGTGTGTGCGTCGCGTCCTAGCTCCCGGACAAAAGGACGAAAACGGAAGCGGAAACGGGTGGCCGCCGCCGTGGCGACGGGGCGGGACGGCCGGCCGGCCGAACCCGTTGTTAAATTAAGGGGCCCCGGTCGTGTCGAGAATCGAGATTTTTTTTTGTTTTTTTTTTTTGCCGTGCCTTGTTGATTCCCGCGAGTGACGCGCATTTCCCTCGCTCCGCTCCGCGCCGTCCGCGCCGCACATGGCCGGCCGGTCGGCCGTCTCGCCGGACTGGACGCGTCTACTAGTCGCTGCCGTCCACGCCGTCGTCCGCGCACTGCGTCACCGCCGCACCGCCACCGCGTCTCGCTGCAACCGTGGCCGAGGCTGACGGGGAACCGGCGGCAAGCACCGGCGAGGAAACGCCGTCGCCGCCCAGGCCGCCTCTGTCTCTCTCGCACCCCCGCGGGACGCCGCCGGACGCCCCGCGGTTGCGAGAGGGACGTAGCGACGGAGACTCGGAGGGCCGCACTACACTGCATGGCGCTGAATCGAATCGGAACGCAAGGCGCTCGGCGCGGCGCGGGGCGGGGCGCGGACTTTCACCGCGTTTTCGATTGAATCGACTTTGCCGCCGAATGGGCGAGGAACCGCAGCGCCCAGGGCCGCCCAGGGCCGAGGGACGACGCTGACCCCGCAGTAAAGCCATCCTAGTGCAACGCGGACAAGGCGCGCGCCCTCTAGGCCGTTGCTGTTGGGAAAGGTGTGAACGTGTGTGTGTGTGTGTGTGTGTAGCGGAGGCTCCGGCCAGGTGGGCGTTATAAAAGGCACTGGCCACGCGCTGACTCGCTGACGTCACTGCATACTCGCTGCGCCGCACCATACCGGCCGAGCCAACGGCCAAGCCGCACTTTGCCGAGCCGCGCGAAAAACGTTGTGGCGTCAGCGCATCGGCTCGACCCGGCGGACCTCGCTCATTCCCAACAGTGGTCTCGTCGCTCTATCTCCCCCGCACTTGTGGGACGCCGGGCCGGGCCGGGCCGCAGGGGTGCGAGAGAGACGGGGCGACGAAAGCACCGTTCGCAGTCAGTGCGGTTTGACGGGGCGGGGCGGCTGCCCGTCGGAGTGCCCAGACTATCGGTGACGGGGCCCGTGATGGCTGTCTGGCCCCCGCTTTGCCCCAAATCGATGGCGGGTGAGATTAATTGATGGACTTGAAAAGAAAACGTTTTTCCCGTCGCGCGACCGCTCGGCACCCAGTACACTGCCGACCGTTCACTGCTTGGTGCACTTCGAGGCGCAATTTGCAATTTGACATCATATCCGGGTGCCGGTCCGCCGCGGCCCGCGCGCAGGGGCCCCGCCGAGCCCCGCTGAGCCTCACCGAGCCAGACAGAAAAAGAATGTGTTATTCAACTCGGCCCAACTCGCAATATCATTACAAGTTTGGTGAGGTGCACCCAGCGCACAGGCCCGGCCGGCCGATTCCAAACGGCGTGCTCTGTCTCTCTCCCTCCCTCGCGGTCAGGGGGGCCGCCGCGCCTGGGTCCGCGCGGGTGCGAGAGAGACACGGCGAATCAACCTAACCTGCAGCGCCACCGCAGCGTCCTCGATCTGGCTAATGTGCGGGCGTGGCGCTGGAGGTAAGGCGGCCTGGAGGCTGCAGCATGCTGACGGCGCGGTGCAGAGGGCCGGTCCGTGCGCGTGTGTGCGTGTGTGTGTGTGTGTGTGTGTGTTTGTGTCTGTGTGAGTGGCGCGGACGCCCTGCTTTCCGCCTGTATTTCCACCGCGCGGCTCTTGGCAACGCATCTCGTTGCTACACCGGCTCGGCTCGGCTCGGCTCGGCCCGGCCTGGAGCCCGGAGCCTGGACAACGCGGCTGGAGCGGCCGGAGCGGGTGGCCGGCCGTGGACCCGGTCTCTTTCTCTTTCTCACACTCGTGAAGCGTCCCCGGCGTCGCGTGTCGGAGCGAGAAAGACAGGCCTGCAGGCTGAGGCGGAGGCTGCGCGCTGCGCGCTCTGCAACGAGTGATATGCAAATCTGTCTCCGCGATGTCGAGGACCGCGCTGCTTTCGTCGGGAGGGACGCTTACTGTCTCGGTAGCGTGCGTAGTCTCGGAGAGACGCTCGGGACGGGACGGCTCTGCGATTGCGACGATTGCGAGGCCCGGGGCCTCGCGACCGGCGCGGCCCGCGACTCTGCTTTGTGTGTGTGTGTTGTGTTGCTCGGAGGGAATTCTGCTGCAGCTCAGCGCGCCGCGGCTGGCTGGTCCTAACTGGGTTACGGCGTGCGGGGCGGGGCGGGGCGGGGCGGGGCGGGGCGCCCGGTCACCGCGTTGCCTAGGCGACCTTGAGCGCGCACCGTGGCGTGGCGCCTGCCGAGCACCGCCGAGGCAGCAGCTGGAGCCGTCGATGCAGGTGGCGATGCAGGTGGGGATGCAGTGCAGGCGACACCACACGCCAGCCTCGTGTCGCTGTCGCGTCCGCCGCGTCCGCGAGGGTTGCCTGGTCTTTTTGGGCCGCTTGCCCGCCGCTCGACACTTCCCGGTGGGGCGGCCAGCCGGCACGCCGCCACTTCCTGCTGGGGTGGCTGGTGGCTAGCCGCTCGCCCGGTGTCTGGGGCAGGCCGGCGGTACCGGCGGGGCTCGCAAGGACGCGGGGTGTTTGTTTTGGCGGGCGTGGGTGGGGCAGCCCCGCGGGCCCCACGGGCCGCACCGGTCCCACTGGGGCTCGGTCCGCTCGGGGCGTGGCCTCGGAGCCGCGGCGCGTCATGTTGCCGCGGAGCGCGCGGAACTTCCCAAGGCTGACACACCCATCCCATCCTCGAATCCGCGAATCCTCTATCATCGGCTGCTTGCTCGGTGACTGACGAGCTGCCGCTGGGCCTCTGCCGGGCCTCCTGGATCCCACCGGACCCTCTTTGTTTAGCTGCTTGGCCGGGACCGGCTGGGACCGACCGGGACACGCGCAGACTAGCTTCGCTGGAAAGGAGTCGAAAAAAGCAACGCCGCCTGATGGAGCCACTGAGGATGACGGCGACGGTCTGGGCGTGCGCTAGCCTTAATGTCAAGCGCCCATGTCCGCTTGTCGGTGCGCGCGCCGCACCAGCCAACTCGTTAAGTAGCTGTCGCGATTTTTCTCCCCACCCCACTCCCCCTTTTTTTTCGCCCGAAGGCCTCTTCATTTGCGTCATGTACACGCGTGGCGGCGCTGCGTCGGCGGGTCCTGGTCATTTTGTTTGTTTGCTCTCGGTGTTTCTGGTGGGGTTTCGGCTTGGCCGCCAAGCCCGCCGCAGTCGCCCGGCCGGCCGGCCGCTCGGCCAGCCTGCCAGGTAGGCCATCTGAGCGCCCGAGCGCTCGGCTGTGTTCCGGTTGCCTACCTGCCGGGCGCCCGGCCCGACCCGGCCGCCTCCTTGGAGGCCCAATCACATTGATTGGTGCTGGCCTGCTGGTTTTTCGGCTTCGTTTTTTCGCCTCGTTGTTTGCCTGCGCCGGGCCTTTCCGAGCCCACCGGCTCCGCTTCCTCAATCTCGTCAGTGATTGATAGCGCTCAAATTGCACGCGAAGGCAAAGCGGCGTGTGCTACACTGTGTGGCTGCGGCGCTGCGGCTTTGCGAGGCGTTGTTGCGCAGCGAGCGTGTTGCGGCGCCGGCGTCTCGCCGCCCTGTCTCTCTCGCACCGCCACGGGGCGCCCCGTGAGTGCGACGGAGACGGCGCGACGAACCCGCTGTTGAGCCTGCTTTGGTATTCACGCTGGCGCCGCGCGCGGCGCGGCCCGGAAGGCCCGGAAGGCTCGGAACCGCGCGCGGGAGGCGGGAGTTGCGGGAAGAAGGCAACGACCGGACGCCAGAACGAAAAAAATAATTGATGCAAATATGTGTGGTGGCTGCGGCATGGCTGCTGCATGGCTGCGGAGGTCGGCCGTCCGGCGCGCCCGTTGTCCGTGGTTCCGGCCGGATGGTGGCTGGACCAGGCTTGGCCCGCCCGCTCTTCATAGTTTGACCGAGTCGGCTGCTGCCTGATTCGACGTGCACCCACGCCCGGTCCGCTCGGGAGGCTCAATTTCAGCGCGCGGCAATCATCATCAAAAGCCGCTTGAATCCGGAATGCGGGCTGATGCCATTTCGACGCGTATGTGTTCGGCGGTGCGGCGGCGCGTCCGAGGACGTGGTGTCCCGGTGTCCGCGGCGTCCGCGGCGGCCTTGGCTCCACGCTGGCGGCGCCAGACGCGCTAGACGAGGCGCTGACTGCCTTTTTCTGTCGGTTCCAGGCCCCCTGCTGGCGTGCATCGTGATCGGCGCCACGGGACAGATCCTCAAGGCGGTGTCGCCCAAGTTCGGGCTGCTGGTGGCCGAGGAGGCCAACAAGAAGGGCTACCTGCGCTCCATCCACTCGCGCGTCATCACCAACGCCGAGGAGATCGCCTTCTACGGCGGCCACAAGGTACGAACCGAACCGCCGGCCCAGACACTGTACTGGAGGGAAGTCCAGGGCGCGTTCTCAAGCCGCTGTGTGTGTGGGTTTTCAGGTGGAGCTGAACCACCTGCAGAAGGCCTACTACATGCTGGTGCGCCAGAAGAACCACATCTTCCAGCAGAGGCTGTGGTACGTCATGGTGGAGCAGTTCCTCATGAAGTACGTCTGGAGCGGCACGGGCATGGTCATGGTGGCCCTGCCCATCGTCATGGGCACGCGGCAATGTGAGTTTGGGGACCGTCAGGGAGGCAAGGACGACACCAACATAAACATTTTTCTTATCTATTTATTTTATGTTTCCAGCTTCTGATGGCACACCTGACAGCGGTGTCAGTGAACGCACTCAGTACTTCACCACAGCCCGCAACCTGCTGGTATCAGGAGCTGATGCAGTTGAAAGACTTATGTCATCTTATAAGGTATCATGTCTACCAATTTTTATATCTTAGTTTGAAGGTTTTTGCCATTATGCTTATTTATTCGAATTTCAACTTCCAGGAAGTTGTGGAGTTGGCCGGCTACACGTCTCGTGTCGGAGAGATGTTGGATGTGTTTGGAGACGTTAGCGAGGGCCGGTACAGGCGGACAGCCACTTCGGCCACCAAGCAGAGCAGCAAAGGATACGACAGACTGGAGTTTAAGGATGGCCTTCCAGTTGCTAAAGGTGAGTTGTTCGAATCAACCCATCTGTGTTTTACTTGAAACCCAATTTTGCCGTAAGGTAACTAATTTGTTGTGTTCTTCTCTTTCAGGAAAAATTATTGAGTCTACAGATGGCAGCATTTCTCTCATTGATGTGCCTGTAGTAACACCAAACTGTGACGTTGTTGTGCCATCGTTGACTTTAGTTGTACACCCTGGTATGCACCTTCTTATAACTGGACCAAACGGTTGTGGTAAATCATCCATGTTCCGAATTCTCAGTGGCCTGTGGCCTGTGTATGCTGGAGAATTGCATAGGCCAAAGGACTGCCCTATGTTCTACATTCCTCAGAGGTAATGCATTTCTGCGATTCAACCAATCTATCTTTTTTACCATGAGTGCTTTACAAACTTACCAACTCTCTGTCTACAGGCCTTACATGTCTCTGGGATCTCTGCGAGATCAAATTATTTACCCAGACACTGTAGAAGATATGAGAAAGAAGGGTCTGACTGACGATGACTTGGAACGCAGTCTGTCCCTGGTTCACTTAGCACAGTTGGTTTCTCGCGAAGGTGGCTGGGATTCTCAGGCAGACTGGAAGGATGTTTTGTCTGGCGGTGAAAAGCAAAGAGTCGCAGTTGCTCGACTTTTCTATCACAGGTACAGTAAATGACATTCCCCTTGGACAGAGGAAAAGAAAACATGTTCAAGAATAACAAATAATAATTCTTTTTACAGGCCCAAGTTTGCCTTGCTAGATGAATGCACCAGTGCTGTTAGCATTGACGTTGAAAGTAATATCTATCAAGCTGCTAAGGATGCTGGTATCACCCTGCTCACAATAACTCACCGTCCATCCCTATGGTATTATGAGTTTCTATGTCCACCTGAACCAATATTGTTCTTCCTTTATAATGTAAGAGACTAATTTTTTGTACCCAATTTTTTTTTTCCGCTTTCTAGGAAGTTCCATAGTCATATTCTTCAGTTTGATGGAGAAGGAGGTTGGGATCTGTCCCCACTGGATGCTAAGACAGCTATGACTCTACGACAAGAGAAGGCGCACTTAGAAGCACAGCTTGCCGACATCCCTGTGACACAACAACGACTTCAGGTAAAATACTGATAATGTTGTAATTTCCTTTCCTTATCGAAAATCCATTTTTAAAATTCTAATGAATGGATAAAAACTAATTTGTTTTTTGCAGGTGGTATGCAAAGAACTAGCAGACGAGGAAAATCGTTTGTCTTCCTCTACACTCAACTAAGCTAAAGTTGTAAGTTTCATCGAATGTTCACTGCAAGATTCTGCGCGTCTTGCACACTATGCTAACTAATTCTGTCTGTGAATGTAGGTATTCATATTCGTTACTTTCACTAGACAAGTTAAAATTGCCATGTTTATTACTAAGTAATAGTAAGTGGAAGTTGTTTGGTCATTGTCATATTAACTTAAGAGATTTGTGATTTTTACCTCATAGGTAAGGTTTGATACACTCTTAGTGTCTGTCAGAAGTTGGGAAACGAAATAATGTAGTCCATTAGGAAACAGAGCATTTCTATCTTTGTTGTATATCAAACTTATTTTGACTTGTGCTCCATCTATCAGTTGAATGATCAGGAAATTGACTGTTCCTGAAAGCTGTTTGATGTGATTAACTGTTACCATACTAGTCGGTGAATGTGTGCTCTCTTATCACATGCACCAAATTCTTTTTTCATTATCATAAACTTTTGCTCAGAATAGAAATTTTGATTAACACACAATATGACCACATCAAACCATTAAATGCTCAGAAAATTCTTTGCTTAGAAATTTGTGTTATTTTTTCTCTCTCTTGTACTTCTATTTCCTGATTAGAACAAACAGTTTTCTTATTATGAGTATGAATTTCTGACCATGAATATGCTTGATGCGTATCCTTGATTTTAATATTTGTACTGTGAATTGTTGTAGTACGAAGGACTATCAACAGGGTAGAACTGATTAATCTGAATGTTTCCTGTCGAGTGGAATGTATATATTTCCAAGAAGAAGGAACTTCTATTGTTGGAAGACATGCTAAGACAACAAAATTCAGTAAACTTTGTCTTGTGAATTTGAATGCATTGCTGCTGTCTTTAGGAATTTCCTGGTGTGGAAATATGCACCTTTGGTGCATTGTTTCAGGGTTTAGATTAAGATGGAGAATAGCTGGTCTTTCTCTTCTGTCATTAATATTAGTTTTATAGAAGTTTTATTGGATTAACTTAATTGTGTGTATTCAATCAGAATTGTATAAATTTTTGTAATATTTTGGGCTTTGCTGTAATTCTTCTCTACCTGTAACTGTTTTGTTACACCTCTTTTTTACTGCTATGTGTTTTTCCTCCTTTTCTTTCTAGAGTGTGTGCTTAATTTCAATCCTTATGAGTAAGCCTTGTTCCGTAAATGGATCCTAGCAATTTTCTACACCAGTTATTTTTTTTCTATTGTATAGTCTTATAAAGATATGTTCCTATTTGTAACTTCCTTTCCCATGAAACGAGAAATATGCATTTGCATAGTTTTATTGATACTGCTGGGATAAGTTTTACCCCAAACTTGTTTCATTTGCCATGAATTTGAAATTTATATTATGTGTGCATGTGTGTGTGTGTGAGAGAGAGAATGAGAGAGAGAGAGAGAGAGTGAGTACTTGTGCGTGTGTTTAGACTGCCTGCTGACCATTTGTATTTGTGACTTGGATAAGCAAGTTGATGTGCTTGCCTGTTAATTTCCTACTGAGATTCCCATTTGTTGCACTGTTTTTCTGATTTAGTCTCTAGCCGCATTTAAAATCACTTCTTGCCGATTTTCAATTTGTCTAGCCAACATTTTCCTTCATCTTTCATTAAAATTTGAATGTTTGCAGTTGTCAGTTTGTAAACAAACTGGAAAGTAAATTTGCCAGTAAAGCAGTGCAGCTAATTAAATTGTACTATAGGAGTACTGTATTACGTGATATTATCAGTTTTCTAATTGGGTTTAATGTTATTTTTGCAACGGATGTTGATGTGATATTATTGACGAGTAAGTTTTAAACCAATTCACAGTGAGTTGAAGCTTTAACTGTTTGTAAATGTTTAATTTATGTATGGTAGTATCATTTTGGGTATTATTACTCCAGAAAAATGTGTGATGGTTGTGCTCAATTTCAAATATGCATTCATTCAAGAGGTACAGATAATAAATGTCCTTTGTACATTTTAGCCCGTGTCTTTATTTCTCTGCCCTGTGGTTACCTGAGACGCACCTACATGTACAAGTCGAACGGGTCCTGCACTGGCCTCCTGGTCGGGAAGGCGTAGGCCTTCCTGGGCAGATTGGCGCTGACCAGGCCGGCGAGGGTGGGCTGCATGGCGGGCTGCACCTGTCGCACGGTGGCCGTGGCCCTGGCCGTGGCGCGGTGGTCTTCCCTGAGTCGGCTCCAACCGCGCCCCTCGACCGCCTCCACGCTCTTGGCCTGCCTGGCCTCCTGCAGCGCGCGCTTGCGCTGCTGCGCCTCCCGCTCCTTCATGAGCTTGTAGGAGGGCGTGCGGCACGCGTAGTACACCAGCTCGACGAAGGTGAGCAGCGAGGCGCCCAGGAACAGGCCCGCCGTGCCGCCCATGGACACTGCCAAGCGGAGGGCAGCCGAGAGAGTCAGAGTTACAGTGCGCCCGCAGAGTCGAGCATCGGCAACCCGCTCGCTTCGCTTTGGGCTTGGCGGCTTGGCGGCTTGGCTCACTTACCCACGAGGTCCAGCCGCGTCCGCACCACGTTCCTCCTGAACCTGGTGGTGGGCAGCGAGTCCAGCATGAGCCTCACCCTGGTGCCCTGCTCGTGCTCCCCCTCGCCCTCCACGTCGTTGCTGCCGCAGAGAAAACGACACGCCGGTCACCCTCCAGGCCTCCAGGACGAGACGCCCGACAGAGAGGCTGCTCTCTCGCTCACCCCTGGCTCGACTTCCACACGACGCTGTACTCGGGCTCGGTGCAGCTAGAGACGCAGTCGCACGCCAGGCCGGGCTTGGAGCTCCAGGACGTCTTGAGACTCCTGAGTTCCTCTGGAAGATCCAGCATGCGTTTGCAGTTTGCGTGGCCGTTATGTCCGAACCGAACGCACTTATTCGACATTTGAAAAAGAAAATTACCTACCGGAGTGTGAGTTGAGGCAGGCCAGCCCCTCCACACCGCACGTCTGGACCTTCATGTTGCCTGCAACAGAAATGAGTCGAGCGAGTGCTTGGCTGCGAGTCCCAAGAGGGCCGGACTGCCAGGCACACTGCACACTCACGCATGTTGGGCATGTAGTGGTGCGTGCAGTTGCAGAACTGCATCTGGAAGCGCGCGTGGCACTCCACGATGCACGTCGAGTACGAGTACTTGTTGTGCAGGTTGAGGGGGTTCTCGTGCGGGAAGCGGCAGTTCCGCTGCTCCACCGACACGTCCGTGAGCTGGGGGTCGTTCTCGATCTCCGTCACCTGGGAGGTGGTTGGTTCAGCATCACCCGAAACGGCCGAAACTCAAAGCGCGCCGCTGAAAGTCCTCACCGAGAAGCGCATGTGGAAGTTCAGCCCCCAGAACAGGGACTCCTTCTCGTCCTGGGGGTGGTTGAAGTTCGGAACGTCCTCTGGCGCGTGGATGAAAATCTAGAACATTGTCGGTTTGATTGATCAGCGTCGTCGCGTTCAAAGGCCATCGAGTGATTGGTCTTGGTGTACCTTGATGGACTCCTTGGCCATGAACTCGAGAGTGCCAGGCCCGGTCATGCGGTTCGAGATCAGCTCCACGAGGTCCTTGTTCACCGGGGTCCCGTTCCTGGGAAACAAGCCAACCTCGGGCACGGTAAATAATTTGAAACACTGGAACCGTGTCCGGTCCGCCCGGCCAGCAGCACTCACGGCTTGTAGCGGTTGTGCAGGGAGTTGATGGTGTAGCAGAGCCCGGTCTCCGTCTGCAGCGGCAGGAAGTTCTTGCAGCAGTCGAAGGGCTGGCCATTCCAGCGGCACTTGATGAGCAGCCCCGGACACGTGGAGCGCACCTGTCCGTCAACACACGTCACAGTGGCGTGGCGGCGCGGCGGGAAAGGGCGTTCGACGACTCACCAAGTCGATGATGGTCATGAAGTCGTCGCGGCACTTCATGCCGCCGTCGTCGGGCCTGGAGCTGCACTGCGTGCTGCAGGACCGGCAGGTGCCGTCGAAGAACACGATGTCCCTCAGGAAGAAGTCCAGGTTGCGGTTGCGGTCCGTGCCGAACACCCTGCGCAGCGCGCCGCGCAAACCATGACGTCATGACACACGCTCGCCACCCCCACCCCCAGCCGCCACGCCACCCCACTCACTTGGTGGCGCTCTCGTAGAGCTTGTCGGGGCTCTCCGTCTCGCAGACGGACACCGCCGGGAAGGTGGTGTTCCAGTCCAGGTAGGCCGTCTCGCTGACGAAGCTGACGGCGTGGTCCCGGAAGGCGGTGTAGGACGCGATGAGCAGGTAGTACGTGGAGATGAAGGCCGCCACGCACACCGACATCCAGAACACCCTGCAGGCCGAACACCCCGTCGCCCTGTCTCTCTCGCACCTCCACGGATCGCCGCATCGCCGGACGAGTGCGACAGAGACAGAGCGACTCGACCGACCTCTCCGACCAGTGGCGCCCGGGGTCTGCGAGGTAGCGCACGCCGTGCAGGGAGCTCTCCTGCATGTACTCCTTGACGCCGGCGGCCAGGCTCTGCGAGGAGCAGCGCAGGCGGGTGGCGCTGGACGGCATGGTGCTGGTGGCGGCGGCCGCGCGCACACTGGCGGTCACGGCGGTCACGTCGTGACTGTCACGGCGTCACGCTGAGACCGGCGCGCTGACCGGGCATTGATCAGTGCGCGGGGCTGTGTCCCATTCCGGACAGGGCTTTCGTCGCCCGGTCTCTCTCGCACTCATGGGCCGTCCCGTGAGGGTGCGAGAGAGACAGAGCGCTGGCCAAAGGTATCGGCCTTCGGCTGTCTAATGCATGCACGCACGCTGTCTGACCGTCGCAGTAAAACGGCGGCAATGGGCACCAAGAAGGGGAACGCTAGTCCAGCCCCGTTTTGTCATTTTTCGGCTAAAATACACGAGTGTCGGTTTTGTGGGGTGGTTTTCAACGGATACATTTTAGTCCTTTTATTGCTGCTCCTCGGCGGTACAGACTTTCAGTGCAGGTACACGTTGGAGAAGCTCCTCGGCGCGAAGGGCATGCCGGGCCGCGGCACCATGGCCTCCTCGCTGTCCGCGGACTCGGCGCGCTCCTCGTCCTCCTCGTCCGGCTTGCCGCGGTAGTGCTCCAGCACGTAGAAGAAGGCCTTGAGCGTGAAGAAGTAGAAGATCTCGATGAGGCTGAGCACGGAGCAGCCCAGGAACAGGCCGGCAGTGCCGCCCACGGACACTGTTATGGTTGGAACAAATGTTGGAGTTAATTTGAGAGCAAAACGTGTGGGAGGCCGAACGACTAGCCAGGCGGCGGCGGTCCACCCTACCCAGGACGTCGATGAAGCCGAAGATGACGTCACGCTTGAGCCGCATGCGCGGGTACTTGGTCATCCCCCACTTGAGGTTGGTGCCCAGGAACCTGCATCAACGAGAAGAGTGAGAAGGGTGCATCAGCCAGGAGAGGGTGTCGTCGGCGGGGCTCGGGGCACTCGGAACTCGCCAGGGCATGGTGTGGTCGTTCTCGATGATGTAGTTGACGTCGTCGCACGGGGGCAGGCACTTGCAGTTGACCTTCTTCTTGGTGACGGGATCCCTCAGCGTCGACATCAAATCTGTAAAGGATCAGACGCGAACAAATAAACTGCCCACCGGACGCAACGCGACAACGCTAGCAAAATGGAAACTCACCCTGGTACTTGGCGAGGCAGTGCATGCCCTTCACGTCGCAGATCTTGAAGGGGTCTGAAAGCATCGAGGGTTACAGTTGCCCGCCAAAGTTTTTCAGTGTGCCGACGGCAATTGTCCTTAAGGACACGCGATACGCACGCACGGGGCGGTAGAAGTGCGGCACGCAGCCGCAGCGCTCCTGGGCCAGCTTCATGCGGCACTCGTTCCTGCACAAGTTGTACGAGTACACGGGGCTGAGGATGAGGTTGGTCTCCTTGAGGAAGCGGCACCGCCGCTGCTCCACCTTGAGGTTGGCGGCCGAGCCGGACGTGTAGATGCTGAGGGCCGAGATGTCCAGCGTCTTGTAGGAGCCGGCGGGCGACTCGAGGCGCTGCGAGGCGAAGTCGGCCGTCTCGTTGGAGCTGTGCAGGTACACCTGGCGGGGAAAAGAACAAAAGTGCGCGAAAAACTTAAACAAAGAGACGACGGCGCGACCGCGATCGCCTTACCAGATACCCGGAGTTCATGTCCATGACCTGCGCGAACACGTCGCCGTCCAGCGGGCTGCCGAAAAACGACCAGCCCCTGTCCATGATGGTGAGGTTCTTGGCCTTGAAGTACCTGGCGGAAAATTTGAATCTCTCAGGGAAGAGGACTCGGCCATCACGTCTGCGCTGCCCTGAGTGTCCAGTGTACCCACTCGGGCGAGTTGTAGATGGCGATGTCCGAGTTGAAGGCGTAGCAGAGGCCGTGCTCCGTGATGGTGGTCTGCAGCTGGCCGATGTTGTTGGCCTCGGTGTTGCTGCCGCTTACCGTGTAGTAGAACTCCAGCTTCACCTAGAAGCCCACCCCACCGTGAACGTGTTTAGGAACGCAAACCCTCCCTCACGCCGTGCACTTGCATGCTGCGTACCGCCAACACGAGGTCCATGTACTCCGAGGGCCTGATGACGTCGTTGAAGTCATCGGGCACGTCGCCGAAGGTGTCGTACGTGGCGTTGGCCAGCTTCATGAGGAACAGCTTGAGGCGCTCCTTGTCCTCGATTTTGGTCATTCTGCAGCAGGGGGCGCGCGGTCAGACAAATCGGGGTTGGCTTGGCTCCCGCGTACTCCATGAAGTGCGCTACTCACGATTCCGCGACCGCCTCCACGTTCTTCTCCTCGTACTTGACGGTGGGGCAGATGGTGACGGAGGGGAAGGACGTGTTCCACTCCTTGTAGTCGCGCTCCATGGAGATGACGGTGGGGTTCTCCTGGTAGTGGTTCCAGGTGGACATCGACACCACCACGGCGCCGCACAGCCCGAACAACACGAAGGCCGTCCACACGATGCTGTTTTCGGGAATTCGGTCAAAAGGTGGAACCGCCTTCTTCCCTGCTACTCTCCCCACCGCCACCTACCGCTCGCAGAAGTGGCGCTTCTCGTCGGTCAGGTGGTTGAAGCCGTGGATGGACGAGGTCTGCATCACCAGGAACAAGAAGTCCCACACCGACTTGAGCGTGAACCTCTTCTTCTTCTCGTCGTTGTCCGCGTTGGAGTACATCCCGGAGCCCTCGCGGATCATGGTGGGCGTGACCGCGGGCGCGAACCCCGAGACCGGCGGCGACCCCTGGAGGAGGCCCCTGCCGCGGTGGACCACCCCCGAGGGCAGGCCCTCCACGTCGAGCGGGGAGAGCCCCGGCCCCGGGGGGCCCGCGGGCTCGAGGGTGGGGCCGTGGCGCAGCAGCTTGGGGCTGGGCTCGGGGTTGGCGCCGTTGCGCAGCTTGGGGCTGACGGCGTCCAGCCTGGCGGGCATCATGCCGGCCAGCAGCATCGTGGCGGCCGAGGGTGCGGCACACACTGCGTGCCTCTGCGCTTGACATTGGCGTGGCAGGCCTGGCGGGCCACTCGAATCGACGAAACCACGCAGCACGTCCAGATTGCTCCCGATAAAGCAAAACGCGCAAAACGGCAGGGGCGGTGCGGCCCGGAGCCAGGCAGCCAAAGCGGGAGCCAGGGCCGCAATTGGCAGGGCATCTATTATTCAGACCACGAGTGGGTTCGTTTCCAGCAGCAGGACGACATGGCGTCGCGCTATCGCGATGCACTCACGCTCGCTCCGTCCGCGCGGTCCGCGCCCACGTGGAGGACGCCCTCCACTCGGCGGCGAGGCGTCGCGGGAGCAGCGCGTCGAAAGTGCGGCTGGCGGACAGGCCAGCGGGTGCGAGCGGTGCTAGTGAGTGAGTATTCGAAAAACGTGCCTCGGTGCAAGGATGGCCCGTCCGACGCCGTGCTCTACACGGCCACGGCACCGGGGCCCGCGCTGGCCCCCTTCCACCCGCCGGCAGGGTCCTTAGGGTCCTGCGCCAGCAGCGTGGCGCGCGCGTGCCAGTACATGCGCAGCGTGAGGAAGTACACCAGCTCGACGATGCACAGCACGGAGCCGCCGAGGAACAGACCGTAGAGGCTGCCCACGTGGACTGCGACAGCGGAGCACTCGTCAACCCGCGTCAGCCACGGCAGTGAGACCACCCGCAACCCCCTTGCAGCACCCCATCCCACACCCACCGAGAAGGTCCTGCACACCGAAGGTCAGGTGCCTCTTGAGTCGCATCCGCGGGTACTTGTTCAAGCTCCACTTCAAGTCCGTCCCCAAAAACCTGAATCAAATCGGGCGCATCCGACTGAAAAAATTCTTTCAAAAACTGAATAAAACGAATGCAGGCGGCGGGCTTGGATTGAGCTATCGTACCACTCGTTGTTGTTCGTGTCGCTCTCGATGACGTACTGGTCCTCGTCGCAGTTGACCAGGCAGTGGCAGGGGAACGGCTCCCCCGTGTCGGGGTTCACCATGGTGGAGGCGAAGCCTGGGAACGAACGGCTGAACTCGTTAAAAGGTTCGAATGGCCACGCAGTAATAAAGGAGCCGGCAATCCCCGCCCCGCCCCAATCACAGCAGGATGTGGCAATAATTGAAGCTCACCAAGGTTGGCCGTGACGCAGCCGAAGTCTCGCACCTCGCACATCGGCACTTGGACGCCGTGCTTGTTGTCTAGCAGCGACGAGCAGCCAAAACAAAAGACAAGAGAAAAAGAACGAGCTAATTTTGCTTTTAGCGCCGTGATGCCGCTGTTTTGAAGGACGTCCCTTCCGATGGCCCTCCGGCCGCTCCGGCCACCGCAGCGCCTCCTGCTGGCCCTGTACGTCGTGGACGTCTTGGACCACGTGCTGCAGCGGCCGCTGCTGCCGTGGCTGCTGCCTTGGCTGCTGCTCAGCGCCCTGGTCGCCTCCGCGGACCCCGTCCCCATCACCGTCACCACCGGCTACGTCGGCCGCCGGCTGTCGAATGTAGCGGTAAGTCCGCGGTTCGAGTACCTCCACCGACAGTGTGTATACAGCTCGCGTTCCAGGGCCGCTTCCACACGGTGGTGGAGCGCTTCGAGCAGTGCCCCGGGCCGGCGGGGGGCGTCGGCGCCGTGGTCGTGAACGTGACCCGCGTGTCCCGCGAGTGGGGGCCGCGGCCGCAGCCGCAGCGCATCACGGGCAACATCGCGCTGCTGCACGGCCTGGACGACTCGACCGCGGTGAGTGACGGAGACAGAGACAGAGTGACTGTCGGCGGGGAAAAACCGCCCGGTCCTGAATGCCTGCCTGCCTGCCTGCATGCCGCAGACGCTGCTCACCATCGACAAGTGGAGCAACAACGAGTGGAAGCACAACGCCTTCGTCATGCGCCTGCCCGCGCTCTGCTCCGCCCTGCGCGGCCTGGGCGGCCTGGGCGGCCTCGCCGGGGAATGCCCCGCCAAAAAGGTAGTCCCAAGTTTAAAAAATTGCAAACAAGCGCTGAGGCTGGCGCCGTGACTCACGCCCCTACACTGGCAGGGCGTGTACCCCGTCCAGGACATGCCCGTGGACTGGCGCTTCCCGTCCATGCCGGAGTTCTTCTACGGCACCTGGCGGGCGCAGGCCGTGTTCGAGCGGGGCGGCGCGCGGCGGGGCTGCGTGCGCGTGCTCTTCAAGACGACGCCCGCCTTCCCCGAGGACTGGCCCGACGAGGTGGAGCTGGACCTGGTCCTGTAGTGCTTGGAAGTCAATAAAACTTGCTAAGAGAGTCTGGGGTTTCTCACTCGCACTCACGCATGGGGCCGTACAGGTGCGGCACGCACCTGCACGCGCGCAGCAGCAGGGCGGCGCGGCAGCTGCGGCGGCACAGGTTGTACGAGTACACGGGCACGCGCGGCGCCAGCTCCGTGTCCGTCGTGGCCGTCATGGGCTCGTCCGTGAAGCGGCACCGGCGCTGCTGCGGCGTGACGTCGCGGACTTCCCTCGCCGTGAGCACCGCCAGCGTGGACAGCTCGAGCCGCTTCAAGCTGCCCGCCGGCGCGGTGAGGAAGGGCGACTGCAGGGCCGGCACCTCCCCCGGGCCGTGCACGAACAGCTGCGGGCCGGACAGGACGGGGTGACACGCGTTACTCGGCATCGGCGCCACTCGGACTCAGCTCGAGCCGCAACGCGCCTACCTGGTACTGGCCGGGCAGCCCCGACAGCTGCGCGATCACCGAACCGTCCAGCGGGTTCAGCTCCAGCAGCCCCCCTCGGCCCTTGACGGCGTCCTCGCCCAGCCGCCAGTACCTGCCGACAGAGCGACTGCAACTCCCGCACCGCCGGACCGCCTCGCCGAGGGGTCGCCGACGAAGGGCTCACCGCGGAGACACGTAGGGCGCCACCAGCGAGTTGAAGGAGTAGCAGACGCCCTGCTCGGTGAGGGTCGGCGCCAGCGTGGGGTCGTGGGAGGCCGCGTCCGTGGCGCCCGTCACCACCGTCATGTTCATCGGGAGCGACACCTGCACAGAGCGCCGCGCCGGTAGGCAACCCATCCACCGCTGAGCGGCGGAGCGGAGCCGCGGAGCGGTCGGCAGAGCCGGGCAGAGCCCGCATCGGGGAGCGGGGCGAGGGGGCGAGGGGGCACACGCGAAACGCGGACATGCGGGCAGCATGACAGCATGGCAGCATGCGGTACAAAGGCACGTTTACCTTTTCAATGATCCGCAGGAAGGCGTGGCTCGGGATGTGCTGGTGGGTGTCGGGCACGACGGGCACGTCGGGCAGGGACATGAGCGTGGCGCCGGCCAGGCCTTCCACGAACGCGCGCAGGGCGGTCTCGTTCTTCGCGCCGAACCTGCGCAAAGGTCGGCGGGAAGGAAGTTGAGGTTCCAGGCGCGTTAGTGGAACGTCCCTGTTTGCGGTCGCGACTGTCTCCTATGCAGAAAATGGATACGGAATGCTCTTGGCGGGAGCTTAAAATTGTGGCCAAAAACAGGGACGCGTTCACGAGGCCCCAGTCGCAGGACGCCGACGACGCTCACTCCTCGGCCAACTCGCTGACGGCCTGCGTCACCAGGTCCGGGTCGAACTTGCTCTCGGGGCAGATGGTGATGGGCGGGAAGCTGGTGTTCCAGGCCATGTAGTCGCGCTCCATGGAGATGACGGTGGGGGCGCTGAGGTAGCGGTACCACGTCGACACCGAGAGGGTTACGGTGCCGCACACCGCCGACATCACCAGCATCATCCAGAGCACGCTGCAGGACAGAGCCTTGGCTGAGCGTCTGACCGGGCGGAGCGCCTGTCATCGGCGGGGTAGGCAGCCCTGCAGCGCAGTGGCGTCCGCCACCGGCCGCGGCGGCCTGCCTTCCGGGCGGCAGTCACGCTCCTCACCGCTCGGAGGGATGGCGTCGGCTGGGGGTCACGATGTGCTGCATGCCGTGCACGGAGGACTGCTTCACGCAGTCCACGACGTACTCGAAAGTCCAGCGCACCAAGCGCCGGGCCAGGCCAGGCCTGGGGGCCGCGTTGTCCTGGACGCGGCCGTCCGGCGTGGGCTGTGCGGGCGGGGCGATTCTGGCCGTGGCCCGCGGCGGCAGCACCCTGGAGGCGCGAGCAGGCGACATCGCGGCCCTCGCGCCAGTGGCCGACAACGCGCTGACAAGCCGCCCCGTCGTTGCTCGACAGCTCCGGGCGGCGCGTGGCGTTGACGGCGACGTTGACGACCCCCCGGGGAAGTCATTTTCGTCACTCCGCCGCCACGCCCTCCTAGATACATCTTCACAGAAACCGTAAACCGGACAACACACTCCCGATTCGCGCAAGTCACGCGCCGGGGCGCGGCGTGACGACACAGCTCCAAGTACTGGCGGCCTGGCGGGCCTGGCCGCCGCTCTTCTTGAACTTGGCCGCGACGGCGTCGAAAACAGCAAGAATAATGGTGGTGACGGAGAGTGGCGTGTGTGCGTCACGGAGCCTCGGCCGCTCGCAGCGCCGCAGCCTACCGCAGCGACGCGTCTCAAATCCAGTTTCCCCCTCCCAGCGCAATTTGCAGATGTTGGCGCTCCGTGGCTCCGTGCGGCGGGCCTACGGTGTGCCGGCCCGCGGCGGCTGAAGGCACCGGGACGGGCTGGACGAGCAGGACGTCGTGGACGCCCGCCGCCAGCACAGCCAGCAGCGCCAGCACGGCCTGTACAAATACGCAGTGCCCCAAGGACGTCGAAACGGGCAGCGCCAAAAGGATTCCATGACACTTGGGTCCCTTTATTTCATTTTCATTTTCCCTGGATCTCGTTCCAACAGCCTGGCCAGTGAGTCGTCGAGCTTTCGTCGATGCCCCCCCCCCCCTTCCCCGTCCTTGGCATTGGCACAAAACCCGCGTTTCCAAACAAAGGGGCCTTCCCTCCCCCTCCCCCAGCGACATGACTATCTGCAGCCGTGTCGCCATTAGCCGCCCGCATCGAGATAGCAGGACATCCCCATGACGGCCATGACGGCCTGCTGCCGTGACGGCCGGCAGGGCGCACGCCATGCACCCCACTACGCCGTCCTGGAAACCAAAAAAACCGATAACAGTTCTTTGATTTTCACCGAGATCGTCATCGCTTGGCGAGCGCGAGGCAATGAGTGAGGAGCGGGGAACCAATCAAGACGGAATGTTTAAAATGGGAATTAATTTATTACTCTTCAACAAAGTCAACCGACCTTTAGGCTATTTCGCAAAAGTCGTAATCAAACTACTTAAAGAAGACAGTAACGATCGTAAAAACAAAGAATTACCATATTGCACATACACTTAGATAACTATAAAAAAGATCACAAATTCGAGGCACCATGTCTGCCTGTCGTTAACAGTCAGATGCCTGCTGGAAGAACAATAAAAAGCGTCGTAGACACGATTTGGCAGTGGGGCGGGCGGACTCGTCATCGTACTTCGACCGAGCCTCCTCTGCCTACACAACACCAGAGATTCTCCCGCCTGCCTTCATTTACAGTCGGACGTGGCGAGGCGGAGAATCGACACTCGGAAATTAAAATTAGGAAGAAAGTACAGCCAGGGCACCCCGCAGGCTGCAGGTTCCCGTTTTCAGTTGGCGGGCGTGTTCTTTCCTTGTGGCTGGCGAACTGGCGTTGGCGTGCCGCCGAGGCCGTCAACCCCTGCGTCTGCGTGGGGCCCACGGGTGCCCCGGCTCGCCTCCCCGACTGGCAGCAGGGCAGGGCGCAGGACGCACTTCACTCCACATTCGTCCCAGCCGCCTTAGCGGGGCGGGGGCGGACACTGCGCGGGCGGGGCGGACGCTGCGCGGACATAAGGCCTTGCGCCGCGGCGAACCGGCGTCACCGCGGCCTCACAGAGCCACTCACAGCCTTTGCGATTTGTCGGTCTTGGTCTCAGTTCACATCGGGTAGTCCGGAAACACTATCGCGTCCTCGTCCACGTCCGCGCCCCCGTCCTACCCGTTGGCGCCGGCCCGCGGCGTCGTGGCGTCGACGGGGTGCCTGGCGGGGGCGGGCCGCCGGCCCTGCGAGCCCTGCTGCGCGCCCTGCGACGACGAGGACGCGGCGGGCGGCGGGGGACGGCGGTTGTTGCCGCCCTGGGCGGTGCTGGGCCGCTGGGGCGGCAGCTTGCTCACGTCCACGCCGGGGACGATCCAGTCGGGCATGGGCCGCACCACGCTGCCGTAGAACAGCACCAGCTTGGTGGCGTTGTGGCGGATGAAGAAGAGGAAGGGCCGGTTGAAGCGCATCACGTGGTTCGAGCCGTCGCGCGAGATGGTGATGGCCGTGGCCGCCGAGGCCACCGTGCCCGTCTCCGTCACCTCCACCTCCACCTGCGAAGACACGCACATTTAGAGAACGCTCCGAGCGCGCTACTCCTTCCTCGCGCACTGCCACGCCACGGCACTCACCTTGTGCAGGACGTCGTCGGCGTAGAGGCGCGCGGCCAGCTGCTGCTGCGGGGCTCCCCACCGGTCCACGATGGGCTGCCCGTCGGGGTGCCCCTCGGGCTGCACCGAGTTGTTGGCGGCCAGCTCGCTGAGCCTGCTCGAGAAGTACAGGTTCTCGCCGTTCGACGTTCCGATGCTGTTCTCGCCGGCCGGCCTCCTGGTCGTGGGCTTGGGCGGCTTGGCCTGCGCGGCCGGTGCGGCTACGGACGGGGTGCTAGCGGCTGGTGGTGGTGCCGGGCCCGCGGCGTGGCCGGCCCCCCCGGCAGCACCACCAGCGGCGGGGGCTGCATGGCTCGCCTGGCTCGCCGGTGCGGCCGCGGGGACGGGACTCCGCTGCACCACGGAGTCGCTGAGGAGCGTCAGGTCGGCCAGGTTCTCGTCGAACAGCGAGCGCACGCCGAGCGTCTCGAGGGCCGTGCGCAGGCTGATGGACCGCTCCAGCTTCATCCTGGGCACGGAGTAGATGACGGGCGCGTCCTTGCGCGAGGCGATGAGCTGCTCCAGGACGTCCGAGTTGAGGCGCCGCTCCAGGGCGCGCAGCTCGTCCACGCCCTGCGCGTCGGGCAGCACCAGGAACATGGACACGTCGCGGCCCTTGTACGGCAGCTCCAGCAGCCGGCAGCCCAGTGCGCGGTCGGCGGCGTACGGCAGGTCCATGTTGTTGGTCATCATGCGCACGGCGAAGGCCTCCAGGCTGCCGTTGGGGCTCGCGCCGTAGAACGGCCGACTGCAACGGGAGCGGTAAGTACAGGTTGCGGCCTGGGGGCGACGAAGCACACCAACACAACGCACGACACTCACGTCATGGTGGCCTCGGACGGGAAGGGAGCCTCCCACGCGCCGTTGAAGAAGAGCGCGCTGGCGATCATGAGCTTGGTGTCGGTGGGCGGCGCCTCGGACAGCACGGAGCGGATGCGGCCCATGGTGTGCTCGGAGAACCAGCTGCAACCACAGTGTCGTGAACCTCAACGAGTCGATGTACAACAAAGCCATCGGCGTCGGTGGCGGCAGGCCGCACTCACTTGTTGATCCTGTCCTTGGTGCGGCCGGGCTCGCGCGCGAACTCGACGGGGATGACCTGGGAACGGTAGGCCTGCGCGATGCCGGCAAACTGCTGCTGGATGTTGTACTCGTTTTGCACGAACAGGCCGTTGGCGAAGATCACCTGGTTGCCGCCAGACGAGGTGTTGCCCGCCTTCACGAGGGCGGAGTTCGTCTCCAGCTGGTTCAGGAATCGGCCAAACTCCTGGAGCAACGTTCACAAATTCAGCATTACGATAAACATAAACAACAGCAAGCCGACAGGACTTGAGGTGGCGCCGCTTTGCAAGCCCGGCCTCTACTCACCCGGTGCACGCGCTCCCTGTTGGAGAGCACGTTGACGCCCGTCGCGATGCCCAGCACCTTGGCGATCTCCGAGAACGTGGTGCCGTTGGAGCCGGCCAGCACGAGGGCGAGCGCGGACGCCACGTTGACGGGGGAGAAGACGACGTTGGACACCTGGCCGGCCAGGTCGCCGTCCTCCTCCACGGCCTTGGCGAGGCTCAGCGAGAGCTCCAGCACGCCGCGGGCGATGATGTTGTCCACGGTCTGCGTCCATTCCTGCTGCGTCTGCGCCTCCCGCAGCGCCACCTGCTCCGGCGTCAAGGGCTGCTGGCCCGGCACGGCCGGCGGCAAGGGCTGCAGCTGCACCGCCTGCTGCCCCTGCTGCGCTGGCGCCGGCCCCGCGGAGCGCTCCAGCGCCAGCGCCACCGGCTGCTGCGGCTGGTAGTACTGCTCATAGTACTGCTGCTGCTGCTGCGGGGTGTACGCCTGCTGCAGACAGACACAGTCGGTGAGCCGCGGTGACGTGGGTGAGGGACAGCGGGACAGAGAGGACACCGGAAGTGCGCCGCACTGCGTGCCCATCGCTTCCGCTCCACTTGTCGCCCCAAATCCCCGTTCGCGTCGCTCGCACTGGCGGCGGTGGCACTGACCTGCTCGCTGGGCCTCCAGGCGCCCGAGTAGCCCGAGTAGCCCGTGACCTGCGGCGGCAGCGCGGCCTGCGGGGGCGGCTGCGTGTGCGCGTAGTAGATGGGGTACTGCGTGGCGGGGTAGCGCTGCGCGGAGGCGGCGGCCATGGAGGCCATGGCGGCCAGGCACAGCCACAGCGTGCAGAGTCGGGCCATCCTGCGGACAAGCAAGCCGTTGAATGTTTCGGCCGACGCAACGGGGCAGGGCCCCGGGGAAGTACACGGGCAGCCGACTGGGCTGGGCACTGCTGGCACTGCTGGTGCTGGTGGTACTGATGGTTCTGCTGGTACTGCCTGCCGCCCCGGGGGCTTGAGCCAAGGTGGGCTTGAGCTGCTCGCGCTGCTTGCGCTGCGTCAGGGCTATTGGGAGGGGGCAGGGCAGGGCATCCACCTCACGCTCACGCCTCGCAAGGAGGCGAAGCAGGCGAAGGCGGCAGTGAGATGCGTTTTGCATTCGAGCGTCGAGGGCGGCACAATCAAGCCGTGCATGCGGGCGCGCCTCGAAAAAACGCAGCCGTCATGCACGTTGCCTCGTCGCTCTGTCTCCCTCACACCTCTGCGAGACACCCTGCGAGTGCGAGAGGGACAGAGCGACGGACGCACTGCTGGGGGCGGAAGACGCGGCCCGGCGAAGGGCGGGGGCCGCGGGGGCCGCGGGGGCGTCGGGCGGGGGAAAGCCAATCGAAGAGGATTTCTGAGGCTTGTCCGCGACGCCATCGCCGTTCCCCGCCTTGCCCGCTTTGCCGCGGCGCAGCGCCTGCTCCGCGCTGTACTCTACACCGCACGTGCACTGACGTCACCGGGAAAATCAACGCGACTGGGGACTTCCAGGCTGGAGCGGGCAGCGGCAGCAGCGGAGGCAGACAGACCAGACAGACATCCACTGCCGCGACGGCCGCGACCACGGAGAGGCGGCTCGGTGGCCGGCATGCTGCCTGCGGCCTGCCTGCGGCCAGGGCCCCGGTCCACCGGGCAGCCCCGCGCACCGCACGCCGCGTGCTTAGAAACCAGCTGGAAACGAAAACGTGACGGCCATTCCGATACTCTACTCGCCTCGCCGCCCACGCCCGTGACCCGTGGCGACAGTGGCGGTAGCGCTGGCCGTGAACTCGCCGCCATTTCTTCGATCCTCCTTGCAGAGCATCGCCAGGGAAGTCCCCGTCCCCCCTCCGGCCGGTTCGGGTTTCCAGCCTTGGCGAAGTGAGCACGGCAGCACGCCGGTGCAGGCCAGGCTCTGCCCGGGCACTGCGAGCAGGCGAAGCCGCCGGCCGGACCTTTTTCTCGCCCGACCGGTTTGCATCATTTGCTCCTCCGCGTTCTGCTGTTCCGCGCCTGATTGGCGCCCGCTTCGGCGCTTTGGTGACGACCAAGACGGCCGAGCAGAGCAGCAGGGCGGTGTCGAGAGGCGCGCGGCGAGCCTCTCGCCGGCCCAGAACGCAGCGAGAAGATCCACAACCGGGAGTCCCCACATGAACACGGCCAACGATATCGCAGAGTTCATGGCTTCGCGCCGCTTCGCGCGCTGGCCCGATAAGCAACGCTTTAATGCGAACCGATAAATACGATTATTTCTTTTGGCACACGAACCATCGTTTTGCCCGAAGCAGTGGCCAAAGAATACGAAAACGTACTGACTCGGGAAAACAAAACCAGTCCGAACGAAAGACGGGGGCACGTCGTCATTCAACTTACGCGATTCGTGTCGGCGGGGGCGAAAGCAGACGGCGCGTTGTTGACAAGGGCCTAGCGCCCTAGCGCCTCACTACCGGCACCGGCTGCTGCAGTGCGAGTGGAGTGACCGGCGCTAAGCTGCGGACCGGACCACCGGGCCGACCAGACGGACGCCGAGCGTGACTGAGGTTCGGAGGCAGAAAACCGCCCCTCACTTGTGGCTAGCGCTCCGAGACAGCATCGCGCCGACGGCGTGCCGGGGCAGAAGGGGCGGGGAGGGCCCGCGACGGACTCCCCCAAGAAGGCTGTCGCCGTCACCCGGGGAGGGACCGGCGGCTTAGGGACCAGGACGACCCCAACACTCCCCCGAGTCACTCACATGCGCGGCACATACACGTTGGGGCACACGTACAGACAGACTGGCCGGCGTCCGACAGTCCGGCGGGCACCGCGGGCACCGCCACGGACCGCGGAGGCTTCCCCCTCTCCCAGCCGTGGAGTCAGCAAGCACACTCATTCCGCACGGCATTACGTCGCTCGGCCTCTCTCGCCCCGTGAGTGCGAGAGAGACAGCGACGGCGGCGGTCTTGACTGGCTTGACCAGGCTTGGCGCGCTCGCCGGATTCACGCGGATGGCGTCCACTCCACTGGATGGACCATGGATGGACCGGGACCACGGAGCTCACCATCCACTTGGACTCCACTCCGCAGCCCCGCTGCTTCCTTTGTTCGCCATCCCGTACGTTCCAGGTCCAACAAGCTGGTGCTATTCCTCAGTACCACTGAGCAAACATGAAAAGACATGGAAAAAGCCATAGCAAAAAAAGTAAAATTAAAACATGTCAGTAAAGAAAGAAGAAGATGCAGGGAAGGCCAAACAATAATACCACGAAGAAATAAATAAATAATGAGTTTATTTTCACATCTGGACTGGGACTTCAAAATGTTACTCTCCATTACACAATACAAATTGAATTAGATATAAAAGGCAGTACCATTGAAAGATTTTCATTAACCACCGTGAAGTGTTGAGATAAATAAAATTGTATCTTTTGATTCTATTTTATAATCAAGTTCGCCCTGTAAAAGCAAAGAAGGGAATTTCAAATTAAGTACATCTTACAAAAATGTGAAGCAGAGTTAATTTAACCAAAGCCATCATTTCTGTATGAACTCACAAGCAATTCCCAATCAGCATCATTTACAAGCACTAGAATACCCGGCCTCCTGCAAAAGAAAAGAGACATTTCATTTGATGGAAAGGGTGGAGTGCGACATATCAGTGAACAAGTCAGAAACTAGCAATGACAGACTCTGACCAAGATAAGCTTACATACACTGTGTCTCCTTGGATGAACAGTTCAGGTCTTTCTTTCAGCAGATTATCTTTCATCCACGTAAGAAGTGATCGAATGGTCCCTGAAATCAATTCAATAACTTTGTCACATCTGATAATGACGATGATTTTTTATGGCGATTCAGGACAATAGCAACTTACATGGTGTGTCATCCACGGGAAGAGTAACTTCGTGCTTCTTAATGTTACCAAAAAGCAATTCTGCTCCTCCGCTAAAAGTTGTTGATAGAAAAACGCATATTTAAGGTAAATATAACCTTTTCAACGGCATGGAGAGGTAGCTTAGTCGTCACACATACACATTGATATAATTCTCAGCAACGAAATAGTAGAAATTATACGTACCCAAACTCAAGAGTCACTTGTAAACCGTCTGTCATTTTAGAAAAACTAGCGGAAATTCTTGCTAAAAAAGCGAGAGTTGAGAACTGACACTGCCACTACACTATATACACCCAACCCACACCCTCCCTCTCCCTCGCCTCACCCCACCTCCCTCCCTCACCCCACTCTGCGAATAGTTGGTATGTCAGATCTGAGAAATGTAAACACCTAAACACCGTTGGAACGGATCGAAATTGAATTTATTTTTCTTGACAAGGCAGATGACACTGTCGCAGCATTGCAGATGTCCTATGAATGAAAACAAATGTTGAAACAAAACTAGTTATAGTGTGTCATGCATCAAACCTAAATAAAGTCTGCTGGGGATGTCTTCAAGAATGGCAACAACAAAGAAATCCACATCTAGACGTGGAAAGGGTTTACCAAGGCGAGCTCAAGACTTGAGGTAATTTATTTTCACTTAATTAAACTATTATTCATCAGTTGTCTTTCTATCGAACATAGTTTTGCAGCCGCATAACCTCTCATGAAATAGTCTGTTTCCTCTTTCTGCTTTTTAGTAAAGAGGAACTCCTTCTCACTCTTCAGAAGAAAAGAGAATGCAATGCCAAAGCTTTGAAGATTGTGGAGGGGATGCTGGAACCTGATGTCAAGGAAGATTGGTTCCTAGATGTCGTGAGTTACGCCACAACCTTACAGCCTGATTGACTGTGGACATGTTTCATCTCATAAATATTTTTCTCGATCCAGCTGCAGCACATCAACCAAAGCCATTTACTAGATATAATTGAAGAACGAGCTATCACCAAGCTTTGTGGATATCCACTGTGCTCTAATGAGCTTAAGGATATTCCCTCTCAGCAGTACCGCATATCGACCAAATTAAACAAAGTTTATGACATTAAAGAAAGAAAGGTTAAGACTACTCTTATGTGATTTTAAGATACCAAATGTTCATAATTTTTTGTGATAATGTTCTACTCTTACTCTGCTCATAGAACTTTTGCAGCAATAATTGCTTCAAGGCTTATAAGTTCATCAGAGATCAAATGCATACCAGTCCGTTGTGGCTCCGAGATATTGAACCGGTTATCAAGTTTTCATTGATGCCTTCGTCTGAATCAGGGTGAGTTCATGCACACGCAGACTCATCTGGAAAAGGGTTATTCACCCTGGGGAAAATTGTCTATGTTCCAGCACAAGGTTTATTCTATTCAACCATTTTCTTTGTTCTGTGATATAGGGAAGGAGCAGGAGATGAGGTAAATGTCCAGGTTGAGAGAGTCACCAAGGAAGAAATCAAACAACTGTCTGGGGAGGAGCTCAAAACGTCCTCGTCGACATCTCAAAAATCACTTGCAGACGTCCTTCATGATTTACATACAGTTACTGCACTTAGAGCAGAGAAAACATCAAAGCTACAGGAACTTTTTGTCAATGATAAACAAAATGTGGATAATGAAGAAGAGACTGCTTGTGTTGCAATTGAAAAACCCATCTCTAAGGTAAAAGAAAACACAAAATCTTCATCAAAATATGCCGAAAAAATACGAGTAAAAGAAGAAGAAACCTGTACCATAACTCAAGATACCACAAATAGCATCTGTCCAGATGTAAACTTAAATACAATGAAAAGTGGTGAAATTTTGTCAGGAGTTGAAGAAATTAGCATCAATGAGCTGTCTGATAGAAAAAACATTTGCCAGAAATCTATTGCAAGTGCAAGAATAGAATGTTCTAAAAAGCTTGCTGATGATAATTCCATTCATCCAGTTCATAAGGTAGACAAGAAGCAAAAGGAACAAATCATTCCTCAGAGAGACGTTCTGAACAGTGTAGATATGGAAGGTGACTCTGTGAAAAGTGAAGAGATTGCTACTGGTTACAAACCCTCTGTACCTGAAGAAGGTGAAAACCAGCGGAAGTTTGAATCCAAGGCTGTTCTAAAAGCCGAAAGAACTCAACATTTTTCAGAAAAAAAAGTAAGGCAGCAACAAGTTAATTCGAGCTTCCCACACCATAAGTTACCCTCAATTGTATCACATGTGGAAAAATGTTTAGAAGAATGGTTCACTATGGATACCATGTGCTTTTTGTTTGGGGAGACTGCTCTCAAAGATATGTTAGAACAAAAAGGAGAGAGTATCCAAGCTCATTATAATGCTCTTGGAACGGTCACATGGGATCAAGAAAAGCATGAACGTTTCCTTGCAATTTGTAAACGCTTAAGTCTATTGGACATTGAAGACAGCAATTTTGACAACCAAGTAAGTTTTCAAGTTGTTTGTAGTGTGTAGCTTAAATATTGAAATAATTAGTTTTGGAAAACTAGTAATGAAGGCCAATAACACAGGTACGGAATGAGGCTGAGAAGCGGAAGCCCTTGCCAGATTACAATGCTATAAAGAAAGAGGCTGAGACAATGGAACTGAAAATAAAGGCTTTTTATAGTGGAAATATGGAAATGGAAGAAAAGAAGGTATCATTTGCCAAGGATACTATTAGTGATGGCAATAATATTGATGAATGCCAATCTCAAATTCCTCTTGTACACATACATTCTCAAAGAGCATTAAGGAAAAAAATTGTTCTGAATGGCCTCAATAGAGTGTGAGTAAAGAAATATAGGTTGTAGTAGAAAATTTTCTACTATTGTTATCTGTTTTTGTATATTTGTTCTGAATTCTCTTAGGTTGCCAGACTTCTTGCGTACTTTTGGCTTGAGGCCAAGTGAAATGACAGCATCAATTCGTGGTCTTGTTGGCACATTTGCTTTATCTTCCACAAATATAACTTTCAAACCTCAGGAGTGGAGTCTTCTTGGACTCATTGTAATTAAGTTGTGAGTAAATCAACAAATTTATTATTATTTGAAACAGTGGTAAACTTGAATGTTGCTAACTGATGTTTTAATGCTAGGTTGGCCCTGCGAGAACCTGAACTGAAACATTGTTTGCAACTTGAGCAATCAAACACTTACCTAACATTAATGCTTATGAGCTACAAGCAAGAGCCTGGATATCTTGAACATCTTCTGTCATGGCTCACTGACATTGACAAGCTACTTGCTCGCCCAAAGGTTCCAGAAGAACAGATTTAGGTGATAGTTAACGTTATGTATAGCATTTTAATAGGGTGACTGTTGATATTTTGTAAATAAAAATCAGAAAATATGAGAATTCACTTTATTCTCTTCCTCCACATTATCAGATGTAACCCAGTTCAGATAATTTTCTGACTCTCTGTAGAACGTCCCAACACGTTAACATACAGACATCACATTTACAACAAGTAACTTAGATATATGGCCATTGGAATACAACACATTCAGTCAACAAAATATAACAATATGTATTTCACCATCTATCACGCATTTTCAGCAGAATATTCTGATCTGGAAGTAGCACACAGTTGAAGTGAAGGGCGGGGTATGATTTTTTAACACACTTTTGAGGCCATACAAAACTCAAGTTCTGATGATGAAAGCACAAAAGTAATAGACGTCAGTATGATGATACTTGACAAGGCAAAATCCTTACAATGCCTACCCTCCTTCTGTTCTCTAGCTATGGCTAAATATATTTTGAAAAGTGTATTAACATTAAATCACCTGACTTTGTACAACAAATCTTAAAACCATTGTAGTTTATAAATATTTCAAACTTACAACTTATATGTGAAGTTATGTACAGATATAACATGACATTTGCACCATCTCCAGATAGATAAGATAATTCACTATTTTTTTTTAAATTTATTTAACAGATTAGCACAATGGTGCATCATAAAAATAAGCAGCCCAGCTAGCTGGGTTGCAGAAGCAATCTGTGCCTCTCAGTCTTTCATTGATCCCTCCTTCATCCGTTCTTTTCTCTCATAGCCCTAATTATTTGTTTTACACCATTACAAGTGACAGCACAAGCACATAAAGAAAAGAAACAGCAACAAGTACTACATTCAAAGGCCCTGAGACAAGACCATATGACAACATTTTAGCGGCTGCTTTTCTTAATGACTGGCTGCTGCAAAGAAAAAATGCAACTGATAGGAGATTTCTAGAATTAATTTCGATTCTTACATAATATTCCAAGCGGCTTCTTCATTCTAGTAGACTATAATTAAAAAATTACAAATAATATGTTACATTTAAAAGCTTCCAAAAAGAACAGCTCTAGTAATCTGGCTAATACAGACCACTCAAAAATAGCACCTATTTGATTCATTTTGGGTCTATGAACCAATGATTTGCAACATTAAAATTGAACCAACAACTTAATTCTCATTTATAAAAAGTTCATAAATGTTTTGCTTGCATTCACAACTGGGCAACTAAAGCAGTTCAATAAAACCAAGATGTAAAAGTGGGTCTGCCAGTGGCCTTTGCATGAGATATTAAAATATGTTCATTGTCCAGTATAAACTGCCAATTCCTAAAAGAACTGAACCCAAAAGTTAAGAATCAAGATAAGATGCAAATTTTTCTGCAATTGTTTAAAACATAACATGGTATCAGATACATAATTCTGTCCAGAAGCACTATTATAAGATTAACTTCAGTCTGTTAGATTGACCGGCCACTTATCTCCAAACTAACCATCTAATGCAAATTTTGGTCCGAATAGAGAGCTGAGTATGATCAAAATATTAAGAGAAAATGAGTCTCATAGAGAAAACAGAGACACACACACACACAGAACTCAACTTCCTCTGATGAGAGCACATTGAAATCAATCTGAGACAAGTTTCACAGAGATGTATCATTCACAAGATTCACGTGTAATGAGGGAACTTTTTAAAGTAGGATATGTTTTAGAATGTTCTCTCTTTTGTTTTGTCGCATTAAAATTTAGTGTTCCTTTACAACAAATAAGGATTAATGGCTATAAATTAAAACAAGACCCCTTGTTAATGATTGACAATATTTTTATCTCATATTGATGATTAAAACACAACAGGCTCTTAGACAATATCTGTTACCATAACAAAAGAGAAGAGTTTTCTTAAACACAATTCATTAGGTGATTGGTAATAAAATAGACAAATTTAACAGATATTTGTATCCCACGCTTATGAAACCCAGACTAGAGACAGACATCAAATAAAAATATTTCAAAATGCAAAACAAGAGTGTGCCCCCTTCCATGCGATAGAAAATTTGGGGAAGGAGGGTAGAGCCATGCACAAAGAACCAAAGTTTCATTAACGCTCACATCACAGCACTCCTGCTTGCATATAAGAACAACATTACAGTAGTTACTTCAATATACTAGATTCACTTCATTGACCTTATAATTTAAACTTGTCAAAACCACAGTCATTAGGCAAATGGTGCACTCATTTATCAAATAATATCCACCTTGGCGGTTTCAGGTTTTCAAATGTAGCTGCCACTTAATACATTACCATTGTGACAAAGTGGCCAGGTAATATCAGCCCTCTTCGGGCGGGTTATTAGTTGTAACTTTTGTGGGTGTTGGAGGGGATTGAGTAGCATCAGGAATTTGCTCTGGCTGATCTACTATGACTTGTAAGTTTTGAATTGTAGAAACATCCCTAGCCAGCAAAGACATGCCCTCTGATGAACTCAAGGATTCAGAGAGAGGTGAGCTTGAATGAGGCAGTCTGTCATCACTGCACACACTATCAGGGCTCTTTGGATGCACATGAGATGAGCTGCCAGAAGCGGCTGGTTGAGACGCGGAGGGTTCTCTTCCTTCTCGTTTCCGCTTGCTTTTGAACTCCGCAATTATTTTAAGAAGTTCCAGATTATTCTCTTGAAGTCTTTGGTTTATCTTCTTTTGAGCTTGATATTTACTCTCTGTAGCCTGCAAAGAACAAAACAATCACAGTAAAAATTGATTTTTCATTTAAAAAAACCAAACAGAAAATAAACAAAAAAATACACACACACGCACACACAAAAAAAACATACCTGGAGTTGATCATTGTACTCATCTTTGACTACCTTAAGCTGCCGCTTCTTTTCATTCATTTGGTGGGCGACAGTCGTAGCATTGGACTCCAGCTCTGCTACGCGTGCCTTAGCAGCTTCTAGAGAGGAATTTTTAGAATCCAGCACTTGACGCAGACCTATAAATCAAATCAAAAGATTAAAAATTCAGAAATTAAGAGAAATTCTTGAGGTTGTAAGGTTTATAATTCTGTATAAAACTCACTGTTAAGTTCTTCATGATAAGCTTCTTTAATGCTGGTATATTCCTCTGGTCGGTTGTAATTAAGCGTCATGTACTGAATTTTTTCGTACATTCGCTGCTGCTGTTCTCCAGCCAAGAACAATTCACGTTGAAGCTGTTGCACATCTGTTCTTAAGCGTTCAGCTGCAGCAGCGCTCATTTCCGCCTGTCTTTTTTCATTGCTTATGTCCAACAGTTTGCCTTGGGCTTTTTGGTATTCCTAGAAATAAATTTATTCCAGACATATTACATAACACAGATTTACTTAGAGGGAGGTTGGGTTGTATATGGGAGGAGGTGATACTCACTTTTTGTACCATAGCTGTGGATTTTTGTTCAAGAAGGTACTTTTGCTCAATTTCCTCAAATTTCAGTTTCCACTCATGCAAATCAGCTTGTGCCTGTACACACTAGAGCAGGGCCAAAAAAATATCTCAGTACATACACAACAACAGAGACAAACAATCAAGAAGTAAGGCCATCTTATTCACCTGATCTTCCCAATATTTGACAGAGGATTGCTCTTGCTGGATTCTTTTGACCAACTCTTCTCTTTGTTTGGTTCCCTCTTTCCGTACCGAATCTAATTCATGCTGTAATAGGCTCAATTGTTCCTTCTGTCAAGGGAGGATGTAACAAGAAAATTAATTTAAGGCAACTGAGAAATAATTTAAGGACATTGATCATGAAAATAACTTACTAGAGCTGTTTTAACTTCTTCCAGAGCTCTGTTGTCACGAGATCTTCCAAGCAAGCGTCTATTTCTTTCTGCATAAACTTCTCTGCGTTGTCGTTCAAATTGTAATTGTATTTTCAACAACTCTATTTGCTCCCTCTGCTCTCGTAGTAAACGGCTATCTGCATCTAAGCTTGTACTTTTAGGTCGGTTTTCAATAATATTCCACAAAAATTGATCCAACTGAGCTTGAGGACTAACGTTTTCAAACTGTAAAATAAATGAAAATAGCCAAGGTGACAGATGAAAATAAATATTCAATTTTGTTAGTGCAATCAGCTAGGTTCAATCAGTATTATGCTAAAAATATAAATTGAGTAGTACCTTTGGTTGAAGCATGTTTGGGGCTGGGCTGGGAGTTTGGCTATAGTGAGGTTCCATAGGTGGAAATACAGACATGAATAAATGTTCATAAGGGGCGGGAGTAAATTCAATGGTTTGCGTGCTCTCAGAAACCATTTCTGGTTTGCACTGGATGTGGTTGCAACCATTCACCATTGCCTCATCACCAATTGAATTTTGAGGGGTCGTTGCATCTTCAATTATCATGCAATCCTCTGACTCTTCTCTTTCTTCAACAGTGAAATCCACTTTCAAATCAGCTCCTAAACAAAAAACAAATATGGATCACAAATGTGCATGAAGTTCCAAGCTCTCAGATTTATTAATTAATGCAGACTGATGATGATGATGGTTTCATACCTTGAGTCTTTTCCATTTCAGGACACGAATTAGTTCGACGTACTTTCCCACTTGGAAAAGGTGCTCCATTTCCCGGACTACTGCCAGTGCTTCCAATGTTAGTATCCGAGAGAACCGGGTGGTGGTGAACAGATGGCAAACACTGACTATGATAGCGCATGCGACGGGCCCTCCGAGTGATGTCCATGACAGAAGTCGGCATGTGCAAACCTCCTGATGCACATGGTGACCCTGACTGCTCTTGAAGACATTCCTCACCATCTATTTCACAATCCTGGTCATGACTTTGGCTTGCAGGGATGTCCTGAAGAACTGAATCACATTGTCGACTGGCAGAGTGAGGAGTATTCTGTAATGGTTACAACCGAAATTAGGACAAAAGATCAGTCAAAATAGTGGTTTTATTTCTTTTCAATTAAAAGAAGCGCAAATTGAGAAATGTGTACACACCATATTAATGGGATGCGACTCATTGCGGAACTGTTCTCCTTGTTTTACAATTTCAACAATTTCTTGATCCTCTTGGGTTGAATCACTTTGATGGAACAAAGAGCCAGATGGCACTTGTGAAGCATGCCTTTCAGCTAAATGAAATCCATTCTTTTCTGGTGTGGGTCTGAGCATGAGAAAAAATCATGATATAAGAGAAGAACCAAGCACATTATTTGAGAAGTACTAGTACAAGATAAAATACCTAGTGATAGGCCAATCCCTGGAGCCTGGCACTGGGGCAGTTGGTTCAATTGGTACAGGACTTTCCGGAGGTACTCCAGAAGAGCCTATGACTCGCAGAGGGCTTGATGGTAATCTTGTTGCCGAGGACGTGTTGGTAGAAACAGAACCACTTTTGATCCTCATTCCAGCCATGTTAGCCGATTGCTTGTCTGAATATGTTTCTGTGGATATCTGCAAACAGAAAAGCCAATTTTTAAAAAATAAACCAGAAACAAATGAATGTTAAAAGTAAAATTTTCAACACCAACAAAGTAAATAAAAATTAATAAAATAAAAAGCCAAAGGGTTTCCAACCAACCTGTTTTCGATCTTGGAGTAAATTTGCTACCCTTCGAGACATTGAAGTAGATTCTACAAGGGGTGGTTGGTCCATCATCAAATGTCCCCCAAGAGGAAGAGAATCACGTCGAGGTTGCTGAAACGCCGACATTGAAGGAGCTGCCTCTGAAGGGAATGTTGGCTGGGACAGAGAGATAATCAATTTAACAAATGAAAAAAAAAGGCAGTCCATGCAAGTCAATCTTATTTGAAAATTTGCTTACAGGTGGGGTAGCTGTCATCTGTTGATTGATTCCTGAATACCTGAATGGGGAGGGCTCTTTCTTCATGGGTGATGAGGGTTGAGAGTACGAAGTGCTCACCGACAACCCTCCAGGCCACTTTTGCGGCAGAGTCCCTCCTCCTGAGCTGAGAGAGTGGTTCAGAGCTCGGACAACACTTGATGGAGCAAGAGGTTGACGAGACAGCAGACGCAAATCCTGAATACAAACATCAAATTTGTATTAGAAAGTTACACATAAGTGCTGAAAGCAGAAGAATGGACATCTTGCCTTTATTGGTGTGGTTTCTGGAGTAGCCTCAATCGCTGCTTCTGGTGGAGATGTTCCTTCTTGATGTGGAAATGAGGAGCTAACGACATAATTCTAATTGAGAGAACAAAGATATATTAATTTTAACTCACTACAAAACACAGAATTTCACAAGTTATTAGATGCACACCTGTTGTATGGGTGTATGTGGAATTGATGTTGGGGTTGACTCAGGAGGAGGTGGTGTGTTGAGACCACACCGAGAACTGGGACTCCATTCTACGTCATTAGCCCCATAGGGCAATGATAAATCTGATGCCATGCATCTTCCGCCAGATTGTTGTGATTTCTCTAAAAAGACGCACAATGCAAATTTATACAACGTGAAACATTATTAGAAAGAAGAGTGGTAAGTTAAAACAAGGTAGTGTACCTAGAGCAGTGGCAAGCTCCGTCTGTACTGTTGAATGAGGCCGTGTGACACTGTTTGCTATTGGAACTAGTTCATCTCGGCCTGTGTCTAATACATACTTTGCACATTCAACTATTACATCATGATCCTCCATTTTCTTCCACCTTGAATACAAGTAAATTGGTAAAGGTACCAGTATTAAAAGATTGTGGAACTCAATTATAAAAAGACATGTAAAAGGTAATGGCAATACCTGCTAGCAGCAGTTTCAGCATCTTTGGATGTTGTCACCAGTTGAGGATGCATCCTTACGGAGAACACCATAGGCTAGACAATAATAGAAAACGTGTATTAAATTTACGTCAAGGACAATCACGCATGACCAAATTATCTTTTGATATTTATTGAAAAATACATTAACTAACCTTTATAGTGTGACTGAATACATCCAAGTTCTCTCGAAGAGAATACTGGTGTCGTAGGTAGTATAAAAAGTTACATGGGTACATGCCATACAGCCTATTGAATAGCTCAAAAAGGCCTACTTGAAGGTGTAGCAGGTTTTGTTCTGGCACTTTGTTTGGGTTGTTAGTATTCCATGCAGCCAGTCGACTAGAAACATAAAAAAGATGAGGACAAGTCAAAATTAAAAAGGTATTGAGGTGACAAGTGTACTTCAATCCAACTTAAAAACAGACCTGAAAACATCAAAAATCTCATTGAGGTGTGGTGATATCAGAGATGGAATCATAGGTAACAAAACTATGACCACTAAAAGTGCACTCATAAGAAGCAATATATCTGTTTCCATCTGCCAAAATGAAAGGAGAATACTTTTTACAATTATACATACAAATGAATATTGATGAATCAAATTCATAGGCAGACACATAATACATACTTTAAGTATTTTCAACAAATCACTCAAAACTGAATGTTTTGTAATCTTTATTAGCCATGTAGGTCTTCTTCGGACAACATGACCTAACAATGTTAAGGCTTGAAGTTTACATTGACCCTTCAGTGTTTCTGATAGCCTAAAAGAAAGCAACCAAATAACGATTCAAAATGTTAGACAGCGTAATGTTAATCTCACTTTAGCCACAGTCTAAATGGCAAATAACAATAATACTTATTATTATCTTTCACAGCGAACTAATACTTACTTGTTGAAGAGATGAACATCGTGGGGTTCTCTGACTCCAACAAGTATCTCCACAAGTCGTAAGCTGCTGGTCTGAAGGTAACAATCGAAAATACCATTGAGCAGCCATGAATCTTTTGCTGGAAAAAAATGAATTTTTGTCAGTCATTAATAAATATACATGGATTACTGTAGGTGTTTTGACTGGAGCACACAAGCTATCCTCAATGATTCATGCTTTGAGAACTTACTAGAGTTGAATTGTTCATAGAACTTCTTCTTCAGATCCTCTATTTGAGAGGGGGTGTTTGACTGGATCAAGGTCTGAATATCTTCCCCGTCCATCTTTGCTTTGATAAGTGTCAACCATTAAATCTTAGGATTTCTTGCATGTTGCATTCTAAAATAAGGAAAACAAGAAACAATCAGTAATCACCAAAGGGAATGGTGTCTGAAATGAATGGAAGACGCACATCAATGGGCAGTAATTGAAAGAAAAGAAAAGAAACATGAAGCTCTTTGTTTTAAAATAAAAACAAACAGAGAATCAGCATTTGTTCCTTGTTTTTAAATCAAAACATCTTTGATAAAAATGAGATAAGACATACATGGCATGAAGAACTATGACCATAAAAGTGTTACTAGACTTAATCAGATGGTGAACAAAGGAAACAAAAGACAGAAAATACAAGCTGAGAAAACTAATCAATAACAGCACATTTCGACATTGTCAGAGTGAAATATGTCACAAATAAAACGGTTAGTTGGGATTGATTAAATTGTTTACAATCAGAATCCTCATATGTGACAAGTACAAAATTGATTCCTTGCAGGTTTGTTGGTTATAATCCAGTTCTCATGTCACACATAAGACCAAGGAAAAAAATGATTTTGATGAGCTGCTTGAATTAAAACCGTCTTAAGTCAACCGCATGAAAACATGAGGAAACAATAATAATTTCCTTTCTTTTAGTGTGCCGAATGTCTGCAATGGACAGCGGTGAGGGGTCGAAGCTGATACAGAACGGTCCACTAATGAAATAGAATAAGAGGCCAGTCTATAGGTTGCGAGATCCTCACCCTTGTCATCAGACTGATTTTAGACATTGTCAGGGCTTGGAATCACTTTAAATAACTGCAATTTCAGACAATTTTTAGGGGTAATTCTCATATGCACCTACCTGGGGATCCATCTTGCATAAACCCACAGCCTTCTACTGCTGCTGGAAAAGCTGGTCGGTCGGCGAACGACCGGATGTGACTAGGACTTGGTGTGTGGTGTGTTGTTCTGCCTGCGGCATTTTCAAACCCCACCGCTCTAACGGCACTCCTCGCCTCGCGAATGCGACATTGGTGTTTTCATGCCACACTCTTCATTTATGATGGGATTAGGCCAGAAAAGTTTGTCTCGCAAATCCGTTTTCATTTTTTCAAAAACATCTTTGTTGGGTGGTGTCTGGTGGTATTGATACAGCAACAATCTTCTTAAAAACATATATGTATTTCAACTTTCTGTACAGTTCTAGATGCGTTAAGAATCTTTTAAATTTACGACTTCTTTCCGGCATGGCACTCCCTCATGAACGGTGTGTGTTTTCAGGGTAATAAAAACAACAAAAACATTCCATGGGTTTGATCATTCACAAGCCTTTTATTTCCTGTCGTAATTTATTTTTATTGAAGGAGAGGTAGTAAACAGCAGAGATGTATAAGCTTTACAAAATTACTTAAGTACATTACATTCGCAAGCAAACTAAATCATTTTGTTTCTAGTTGTGTTTATCCCAATAAAATATGAAATGGAAATGAAGGATTTTAGCACAGCTTTATTTAAATTTGGAAAAATAGAAAATGTGTACAACAGGTTTTTTCTAATGGTACTTTGATTCGTTCCTTTCCAATCGACAGCACATTCAGACACAAGCCATCATCTTTCACCAAAATATTTGTGGATAGTGAGAATTCAGCTACATCAATAGAAGTATAAGTACTTTAAAAATATATGTATTGTTCCCTGATTCCAATAATACCTCATATTGATCCATAGAAACTTTACATGTAATAGCAGAAAAAGGTCCAATCATTTTACAGAACTATTATTATAAACACTACATCCCTCTAAATAGTTTAGAATAAATATTGATTTCAGGCACACAGCGCCAATCACTTTACAAAAAATGCGAATGTTTCATTCACCTGAAATGGATCAAACGAACAAGGACGTGAGGGCCTCCCCTATCCAAAAATAGTAGGTTCAACTTTTTTTTATTGTCTTAAAAAGCGGTACGTATCGGCACGACATTCATCACATATGTTTAATTTAATTTAAGGATGGTGTTCAGGGAAGGCCGATATCGCCGTCATACCCCAAGACAATAATGATTTCGCGCATCTACAAAGCCATCACATTGCTCTATCTTAGTACAAAAATTACGAAATTGGGCTCTTTTACAAATAACTTACTCTAACTTAAACCTGACGCTTTTTGATTGCAGTCTGGAGATGACACAGAGGGCGCTAATATTGTCCGATTGTGTCACAAACTGAGCAGAGTCTGGGTGAGCTCTACACGACACTGAGGGGGGAGGCGAGTCTTCTGGAACTACTAGTAGGCTAACATCTACCAGGAAACCGAGTTTCTCTGCCTCTCCCGTTGGCACTGGCAGTGCGGCATGAAGCGGTGTCATTTGGAAGCAGTTTCGACGTCGGTGCGACGAGAGGAGGGCGACGGCTGCCCCTTCCGCGCCGCCACGGTGGCGCCCCACGGGGTGCGGACGGGCCGGCGGTGGGGTGCACTTTGGGGTGGACTTTGGGGCGCCTCGGCGCGGGCACTGGGTGTCTCGGGTGCACTTTGGGTGTCACTTGGGGTGCCGCGTGGGAGCCACTTGACTGGGGTGCGGTGCCACTGGGTGTCACTGGGTGCCACTGGGTGCCACTGGGTGTCACTGAGTGCCGCTGGGTGCCACTGGGTGCCTCTGGGCGGTGCCTCTGGGCGGTGCGCTGGGCGCTGTGGGGGTGGAGGTGATAGAGCGGTGCGACAAGGGCCTTACAGCCACTTGTTGCGCGCGCCGCTCATCCTCCGCCCCCACATAAGGTTATATCATACAATAGTGCCTTGTAAGTTCTGCGGGTCGCCCACGGGGGAGGAGGGGGCGTTGGAGGGGGAGGGCGGCGAGTGCGCGTGGCTGCCCATGGCGGACAGCCCCATGGCCATGCCGCTGGACATGCCGCTGCTGGACATGCCGCCCTGGTCCTGGTCGGGAGGCGTCACCTCCAGGCCGATGCTGCCGTTCAGGGCGATCTTGATGGGGTTGACGGGCACGGCGGGCTGCTGGTGCACCGGCCGGCCGGGCGGCAAGGCGGCGCCGGGGCTGTGCAGACCGTGGAGGCCGGGCAGACCCGGAAGGCCCGGGAGTGCCGGCTCGGCGTGCTGGTGCGGGGAGGCGTGGTGCTGGAAGCCGTGCTGGAGGCCGATGTCCTCCAGGCTGCTCTTGCGCCGACCACCGCCACTCAGACCCTGCCTCAGCGAGTTGGACCGCCTGTGGGGACAGCACACATCAGCAACAAGCACCGAGGCGGAGGCGGGCGGACAGACGGACAGACAGACAGACAACAAGACAGAAGACAGACAGACTTATAGGTAGACAGACGGGTGGAAAGACGGACGGATGGACAGGACGAGAGAGGGATCAGAGTTTTACCAACAAAAAAATCAAAGAAAACAAAGTTCAAAGCTCCCAAAGTTCTGTTCTGGCGGCATGTGCACCTGCAGCGGGATTATTCCAAAGCCTGTAAGGGCTGCAAAGATGACACGTCAGACTCTCGCAGCACGCGGCGCGACGCGGCGTGATCGGCATCTTTATTCAGTCCCCGTTTCTAGCAAGGTCTACAGAGGTCTGTGAACTGCCGAGGAGCATGCGCAGGAGGGGTTTGCGTTATGTACAGTGTCGTCGAGGCTGCAGGGCTGCAGAGCACTGCGGGGCGAAGGGCGAAGGGCGCAGCCAGGGCGCAGCGAAGGGAGAAGGAGCGACAGCAACATAGCAGACAGACAGAGAGAGAAGACCGTGTGTTGTGTGCTGTGGTGTCTCTAAGGGCTTTTGAGGTGAGGCATGGCTTCGTGTTCCCAGTCTTCCCTACGACCCGTGGGTCTGGAGGCCCGAAGGCTCGCCCGAAGGCCTACGCGCCTTGGAGATGGCCTGCCTCTTCCCTTCGTGGCTCGCAGACTCGCAGAGGTGAGGTTCTCAGGAAATGAAAAGCTTGGCAGGCATTCTTTGAATCTTTTTAATATGAACCACAAACGCATTACATTTCAACAGTGATCTGATGTCAGAGTGGCTGTGTACCAAACAGCTGCGGGAGGGCTTGCTTAGGTTCGCGTCTTTCTGGACAACGAGTCCGGGGAGCTGGAGCCAGGCCTTCCCTGAGTGTGTGGCCAACGATTTGGGCAGGAAGAGCCCCGGGCCTGTGCCGCCGGTGATGGAGGAGCCTCGGGCTGCCTCAGGCCAAGGTGGCACATCGACAAGTTTCATTTTTTTGTGTCTTTTTCTTTTTTTGGCTTCGGTAAAAAATTAAACCCCGCTCGAGTTTACCTAAACTATTGCAGACTTTATGATGCGGGTTTTCCCAGGAAATGGAGAAGTTGAGTGAGATGCATATGGATTGATTCAGAAACATGTGGGTGAAGGAGACTGAAGAAGAGCAGAAAACTATATCCAAGAGAGATTTTAGTAGAATAATGGACAGCACGAAGCTATCTCAGTCTCTTTTGCTTGAGTTTTTGGAAACCAGCGTTTGGGACACAGCCGCAAGTTTACAAGTAGCTATTATTGGAATCATAGGTCACATCTATTTTAGTTCAGCATTCAACAGGTGCAGGGAAACGCACCTTGAGGCACTCAGTGAACGGGGTCACTCTATAAACGGGTGAATAGTTCTACTAGTGGATTTCTAAAACAAAATGTAGTCAACGGTTGTGAAATGAACGACAGAACTTACGATGAGAAAATAAATTCGTGTTTATCGAGTGACCCCGTGAAATGCACACTGCACTGACACATTCTCACATTCTCGCACACATGCACAGACACACTCACACATTCATTGGTCAGGATAGGGTTTCTCGTAGCACAAACAAGCACCGAGTTACATTTAAGACTAAATATCTTTTAAAATTAGAAATGTTTCTATACTCCCGAACCCTTGGTAACGCAACTTTTTTGCCCCGTAATTATTTACACAATGTTCCGAAAAAAAAGGAAGTTGGACACGGTGCATTATATGTTTGTACGGTTGTGCTCCGTAAGGAAATTGTCCACAAATCACACCACAATTGACTTTCAAAAAAATAAGAGCATCGGCCCGGCTTGCCGTGCTCGTGGGGACTGCCCATCCTTTTGAACTGGGTCTTCTTCTTGCGAGTGCAAGTTCCAAATAATGTTTTTAGGGGCAGAAAACAAGCGTTAGCTACTTAGCGACGGGATATGTCGGAGAAGAGAAAATTGAACGGTAGAAAAGTTTAAGCGCTATCTAGATAATGACAATCTCGAGAAAATTAACAACAATTATTATTGCGTCAAAAATATATGTATAAACGTCAGAATCTTCAACATTTCAACTGAAAATAGAATTTGCTACTATGCAACGAAAGGGGAGTGGGGATGGGAAGGGGGTGGGAAGGAGGGGTGAAGGAAGAGGGCAGAGGGGGTGGGGACTGAACAATATACAAGAGAGGCAATCTAGCATGCATCACAGACACTACGACAGGAGGTTCTACTGCCCGTGCACTCTAACAACACAGTGCTCTCGCCTACCAAGGCGAGGGATGAAACAAGCCGTGTCACAAGGTGGAGGCCGTGGGCCAGGCCGGCCGCCGCGGCTTGGGGCTCCGCGCAACGCGTCCGCGAGCCTGGCCTTGCGGCCTCGTGGACTACGCGGGGACCGTGTCGACGGTGAGGCCTGAGTGCCCACAGCACAGGGCGTAGGGCGTGGCAGGGCGTGGCGGGGCGTGGCGGGGCGGGGCGCCGCGCCACGCAGAGACAGAGGCATGCTCTCCGACGAGGGCCCTGCCGCTCCCGTCGTCGTCCGGGGCCCCGCCTAGACCGCCGAGTCCACCTAGACCGCCGCGCGCGCCCGCACCCTGCGCTGCAGGCCCGGGCCTGGGGGCCGTGGGACCCGCGAGGGCGACGGGGCGGGGGCGGGGCGGTGGGGGGTGTTGGGTCAAAAGGACTGGCGACTACGTGCGCACCTCAGCAGGATGTCGTCGGCCACCCGCAGCGAGTTGGAGCGGCCCCGGAAGTGGCCCTGCACGGTGGGGCTGTCGGGCAGCGACAGCGAGTTGGCCTTGGTGGTGGCGAGCGGCGGCCGCGGCGACGGGAAGGGCTGCGGCCCCGTGGACAGCCCCAGCGAGGAGCCGCGCCGCGACCCCGTCGCCGAGCCGCCCGCCTGCTGGGAGCAGAAGCTGATGTTGGACTTGCGCCGCGAGTTGTGGCGCTCGAACGTCTTCTGCGCGGAGAACGGGCTGGGCCGCACCAGGTAGCTGCAACCAACACAGTCAAGACCTTGGTCAAGACAGCCAAGACCCGGCGGTCCACCCCCGCCGACCCCGCCACTCACATGATGTCCCCCTCCTCCAGCTTGAGGTCGCAGCTGGGGTTGATGATGACGTAGCTGAGGTGGTTCCGCTTGTCGCCCACGTCGTCGTAGTCCGTGTAGGGCAGGTTGAGGCTCTCCATGCGCGAGCGCACCAGGTTGGCGATCTCGGCGCGCTCGATCTGGTTGGTGTGGTTGTCGCGCGCCTCGTCCGCCAGGTTGAGCGAGAACTGCAAAGCAAGGCGGGGGTCAGGACTCGCAGCCGCTCAAGACGTCAGCCGAAACGAGAGAAAGCAAGACGAGCAATGGTCTTGCCCCGCCAAACGACTCCGAAACATTGGGTTATTTCAAAGGGAGCAAAAACACTTTCCGCGCATACCACGTGGTACATGGTTTTCGTAAGTTTTGCGAAATTTCTGACCGAAAATTTCTGTTATTTTCAAGACAGCTTAGATGGACGTTTGGTCCGAAAGTTGCTGTTTTGCCTCGATTCGGAGTCGTGAGTCACAATGCGTGGTTTGCTCCCATTTGTGGATGGGTACATGCGGGCCCGGCACAGGCCTCGGGGGGCTGCCGCGCCTACCCCTGGCCTACCCCACAGGGCCACTACTGGGCAGGGCAGCCCCCACATCGTGGCCGTTCCGAATCAGACATTAAAAATCGAAGGTACGGCTTGCACAGTACCAATCACAAAACGGTGTTGAAGGTTGCAAAGTGTGCAGAGATACGAGTGTTGCATCATGCCTCATGCCTCGTGGGTGGTCGATGTCTGACGGTGTGCGTGCGTGCGTGCAGTGCGGAACATGCGGCCATGCACTCACTGGCTCGCCGAAGAGGGAGGAAGCCAAGCGGGTGGTGGAGTTGTCGGACAGGAGTAACAAAGTAACAAAAGACAAAGTGTCTGCGTGGGCAAGCGCACGATATGGCGAGGCGCAGCAGCTAGGTGATGAAATGGCCCCAAAAAGACGAAAAAGTCGAAAAAAATCCAACAAAACAAACAAAAATCGTGCAATAAAACGAAAAGAGGCGAGTGGCTCGGAGCGAGCCAAGAACACGCCGACCCGGCCCGACCAACGTTCGATATAGGAGCGCGTCACGCAACAACAGTAAAAAAACAAAAACAAAACAAAAAACAGCATGGCGTTATGTCGGTAAAGTTCCCTTCCACAAAATTGGGACAGCAGAAGTCTGAGCTGCTACTCTACAGCAAAAAGTTACTCGCTGCGCCGCGGCACACGCCACCGCAGTGCACTATCGGCAGCTGTCTACCGCCAGCCGTACCTCACCTGGTGTCCGCGACTACGTTACGTCTCCTACTTCAGTTCACATCTAGGACAAAGCCACTCTCATTTCGTCTACCGCGCCAATGGCTGTCTACCAAACACGCTACTCGTTCGCTGTCTCTAGAGGGCATGGCCAAAAAGCGCTCCCGGACTGCGCCGTCCAAGTTTCGGTCAAGCGCCGCCGCACTGGAGCATCGAACCGGCTGCTACCAACATTCCAAATGTAAACACAGCGCCGCCGCACTGCCGCCCCCGGGACGCCTCGTCGCCAAATCGGCAAAAGAGCGCGCGTGGCCGGTACTCGAACCCGGGACCGCGCCGAGGCGCTCGGGGGAGCAGTGGCGGCGGCGGCGGCAGCGGGGGCGGGGCGGGGTCGCGGCGGCTACAGCGGCCCTCGCTACGCGGATGGCTACGCGCAGGGCGTCAAGGACTACGCCAGGCTAGGCCGGGCTACGCACACTGTGCTCCGCCGTCAGGATGGGTTGGTAACTATCTGCCCGGCCGCGACGCCGCTTCTCGCGCCGGAAGGGGTTGGCCCAGCGCGGCCCCCAGCGGGGCGGGGACTCGGGGCGAGCCGACTCCTCGTCGGCCGCCTTGGCCGGCCGCCTACAGCAGCACGCGCAGCACGTCGGGCTCCGTTGGGACTGCTGGTCGGCGTCCTGGTCGGCGTGCTGGCCGCCCTGGCCGTCGCCCTGGCCGTCGCCCTGGGGCCCGCTACTCACCGCAGAGCTGTGGTGGTCGCACGCCACACACATCGAGGACCGGCCCTTCTTGGGCTTGTATGTAACACCCACGCCGTCGTCCTCGTCCAGCTTGTGGAGAAGAGGCAAGTGAGAGAGAGAGCCGCGGAGTGGAGGGAGAAGGAAGGGCGGAGGACAGACGGGCAGAGAGATAGAGAGAGAAAGGAGGAGAGAAAGAGTACCTGTTATTACACTGTCCTTGTGTGTGGTGTGTCAGAGAGTTTCTTTCTTTCTTATTCACAGCAAGAGTTGCTTTGGCGCGGATTTGGTTCATCAAGAATACGAGGTGCTAGTATATTTGTTCAATGATCTAGGTAATATATGTAAATAACAAGCAGATCTGTGTTCTACTGTAATAAATACATTCTAATCGATTGTACTGTCAAGAGAGTGTTACGTCAAAAATGCCTGCTCGCTGAATGCTTGGGCAAGGCATTCGATCTGCCCAAGCCATTCGCTGTACAGGGTTGGATATAAATAGAAAGAGGCTATCGGAGTAAATAAGGAAATATTCAATCTCTGACCTACAGAAGTAAGGCGAGGCGCAAGTCATCTACTTACTTGTGACGGTTCCGTCAAGGACGTCTCCTGCGTGCGGTAGATACCGATCGGTATTTCGCACGTCGTAGAGCACAGCTTTTGGTACAGGCGGCCGTAGGTTCGAATCCACATGTCGTCTTTTGTAATCTTCATCTGCGCGAAAAAAAAACCAACATTTTCGAAAAAACAGGCCACGAAGTGCTGGTCGAGCTAAACGGCAAACGACGTACCGAAGTGAGGAAGCCTGAGCCAGGGGCTTGGTCCACGCCGAGGAGCAGTCTGACGAAGGTGATGACGTAGTCCTTGACGAAGGCCTGGTACAGCAGCGTGTCCAGCATGGAGGCGGAGAAGACCGTCCCGGCGGCGAAGGGCAGCCGGAACATGTACGATATGTGCGAGCCTCGTTCCTTCTCGCGCTGTGGAAGGCAAAGTGAAAGGCAGGGTGAGAGAGAGACGCCTAGGGCAGCGCGGCAGAGCCACTGTCCCGAGGCCGCGACGGAGGGGTTATCAAATCTGCCGAGTGAGAGGACGAAAACTGTCGAAAGAATCAAGCAAAGCGCTGAGCTCGAACCAGGCCCATGTTTCGTATCTAGGAAGGGCGGAACGTCTAAGGCAACCTCTTGTAAGCAAGTGCGAACACCAAGAAGGTTGCCGAGAGTGCCGAAGTTATTCCCTAGGTTTCCTCTCTCTCTCGTGAGATCCCACTTCTCGCTTGCACATCCCTGGTGCTCCGGACGTCCAAGCGGGTGGTGCCAATGGAAAAGAATGAGATAGAAATAAATCCATCAAACTACGGTCAAGACCACGATAAGCGAGGCATGCGTGCAGAGTGCCGTAACACGTATCGCATTGTGGGGCGCGGTGAGCTGCCATGCATCGAACTAAAGAAGTGTCCAGAACCACAATGGATGAAAAAGGAATGACATCTAAATGAAAAACGTTCACACCCGGGGGTCGAACCTCCAAACTAAGTGTCTCAAATATGGCGCTGTACGTCCTCTTAGTACCGGCTCCTCGCGAAAAGTATCCAGACGATATGAGATAGAACCCTAATCCTCGTGTGGCTCGCTACTCTAAAGTGAGTATGTACAGTCCGCAGCAAAAGGAAAATGGAGAGTGAGTCTATTCCAGCCTAGGTTTTGGCTCGGAGGCATTCAACCAATACTTTGGCGACAACATCGCCACTCACTACGGCAGAAGTGTGAAAATGAGAAAAAGTAAACTCTATGTACATACATGTGTCTCACTGTGGCTGTCGCTCGGCGCGCCGCTCATGCCCCGTCGCTTTTGACTCGCAGGGCTCCCAAAATTCATTGGGGATATGAAATTCTTGCGTAAAGTGAAACAATGGTGGATTTCACAAACTCGATAAATAAAAAAACAAAAGTTATAAGGCATACGACATGATCCCCGCATCCCGTTTTGCTGCAGACAAGGCCATTGTCCTGTGTGTCTCCTCTAGTCCTGGCTAGCGCGGCGCTGGGGGCGTGGGGGCGTCGGGGCGCTGGGCGGCGGGGCGCAGGCGGCGCAGGCCGCGCGGCCCAGAATGAATGATCAATGGGACGGATGCATGCATGTCAACACAAAGTCCAGCCACACTCAAAGCCTCAAGGGGTGTGATGGGGTGACGCGTGGCGCCAGCTTGACTCGAATCCGGTGCAAGGTTCTGCATTTCGATAGTATTATTTTGGAAGGCTTGTAAAAGACAGAGACTCTGTTCCAGCTCCATCAGAACAAATGAGGATGCAGAGAAAAACACGACTAAAGGGCCCCAACAGAAATGCAGCGCCTAAGTAAGCTATGGTCGTTTTGACAGCTACGCCCAAGGCTACGCCAAACCCAGGAACCCAGGTCGGACGGCGCCCGGAAGGTCGCGCCGCCCAAAGGCCGCCAACACACACACACATGCAGCAGGGGTGCAGGCGGGCACGTACCTTCTCCATCTTGGAGAGGTGCAGCGCGTACTTGTCCTGCGCGCGGAACTGCATGAACCTCATGTTGGACGACTGCGACAGCTCCGTGATGCTCTTGATGCTGGGGAAGTACTTGAACATGGTCTGCACGGCCACGATGGTGTTGCAGTCGGCCAGCGTGTCCTCCTCGGCCGAGTTGGACAGCTCCTTGTTGACGACCACCACGTTCTCGGCCAGCGTGATGCCGGCGCGCAGCAGGTCGTCCGTGCTGCAGCAGGGCGAGCAACAGGTTAGCGCCTGCGGTGGGGAGGGCGGGCCGCGCGCCGCGCCGAGGTGCTCTGCGGGTCTGCCTACCCGGCGACTCGCGGGCGCTCGGCACTCACCAGTCGATGGAGCCCAGCATCCAGTACACCAGGGGGAAGTAGGCCAGCGCGTCCAGGAACACCAGGTCGGGTCGCCGCTCCAGCAGCAGGATGATGGGGTGCAGCGAGTTCTTGGAGCGGAAGTGCGCGCGCAGCGGGATGATGAAGTTGTAGATGCCGTTGGAGGCGTAGTCCGCCGCCAGGATGATGGTCTTGTTCTGCCAGTTGTACTCGCGCGCGTTGCGGTACGAGCAGTGTTCACAGACCTGGGCCAAGCACACACGTTCCGTTTACAATTCCCATGTCAACGCAATCACCACGCGATTTCAACGCTTGATTCACCTGAGCGAGCTGAAGACAACAGAGCGGCTTCTTCTCCTTGAGCAGGTAGCACAGCGTGGGGGTCACCCCGATGTAGGGAGAGACCGGTGGGAAGCCCTTGACAATTCTGCAGCGGAAACGAGAAACAGAACGTCAGGCCGTGGAGCAGGTGGCATGCAGGCGTTAAGTAATGCAAAATACACGTTACGTTTAGTTTGAAAGAGTCTATCCTTCCAGAGAGACGCTAAATATAACAGAGGAGCTACGTCAGTTCAATAGTTCCGATCGAAACAGCTTCTTTTACCTTGTTTTGTTTAAGCGCTACCGGACTCGGATTTTCTAAAAGCAGTCTACGCTGGTTTGGAGTTGAGTTTTCTCTAAAAGCTCTAGGGCAACATTCTACCAAGGCGGTCCGTGCTGCGCAGGACGAAAAGACGAGAGACAAGGAAAGAGAGACTTACCCGGACACTTCTATTTGCCAGGCAGACTTAGACAAATGCCCGTCTTCCACTGTGCTAGAGCTTGATACCAATCTGAAGGCATACGGACGGGCAAAGGCCAAGTCAAGGACCGGTAAAGGAATTGCTCTGTCTGCTTGCAAAGTGTCTAGAGGAAAACTATCGAGAACGGCTAAGGAAAACACTATCGTGAGATCGGAGAAGGTAAACCCTACAGTGAGGAAAACAGTGAGAAGTAGTTGAGACACCGAGGCAGACAGAGCTCCAAGAGGGTGATTCATTCACAGGTTTGTCCAGGTTCATTCAACAGACAAGGAGAGAAGTGGAGATGAGGCGGACGTCGCATGGAAGCGTGAAGCGAGGTGGTGGACATGACACAAGCGGGTATGTACAGAGGGCCGCCCGGAGTGCAGAGTGCACCCGGCGCACCCGGGGCCAGCCAGGCTTGCAGCCAGGGGCCACACGATGCAAGGATGCAGTTGGTTGCGCAACGTGCTCGTGTGGAAAAGTAGAATGGAAAATGGAGACCGACGGAGGATCCAAGTGACTGCACTCACGCTATCTTTTCGGACGGCGACCTCCACGGGACGTCGTCGTCCACCTCGTCCTCGCTCTCGTCGCCCTCGTCGTCCACGTTGTCCGTGGAGACGTTGAGCGCCGAGCTGGTGAACATGTCCGGCACCGGCAGGATGCTCGGCCTGCGGCTTCCTGCGGGCAGAGACGGGACGGCGTCAACGTGGGGCCCGCCTGTGTTGGCGACAGTCGTCCTTGCTCAGCGACGGCCCGCCCACCCACCTCTCCGCTGGTTCAGGATCTCCGGGCTGAGCAGGTTGGGGTTGTCGCCGGGCCGGGGGACGTCCAGGTGGTTGCCTGTGGTGGCCGCTTCGGGGGCGGCGGGGGAGGGCGGCGCGGCGCGCACATCAGTCTCAATGGGTACTGCGACACACAACACAGTTAGCAGTCAGTGGCGGCAATGGCTGCGGCGCCGTCTCCGGACTCAAAATTCACACAAAATTAGTACCTGTGCAGTCTTTTGGCTTCTCCTTGTGCCCTTGCGAGGCGTTGGCCTCGGGCGGGGGCTGCTGGTTGGCCACCACGAAGGCCGAGTTCTCCTCCTTGGTGATGCTCATGTAATAGCACGTGTCCGAGGCCTTCATGATGTGCCGGGGCCCCGGGTTCAGGAGGATGGTCTCCTCGTAGAACTCGGGCAGCTCGGCCGGCCGCACCGCCACCAGCGCCACGCCGTACCTGCGAGGGTTGGAATTTAGTCTTTAGCAAGGCGTGGCTTTGTGGGCTTTGTCCCCGATCAGCACTTTGCGAGTTGCCTAAGTAGTTGCGGCTCGGCCGGCCCTATATCAACCCCGCACTCTCAACTTGGCGAAGCAGGGCGCGGGGCGCAGGGCGCGGCCACCGCGGAGTGAGGCAGCAAGCCGCACGCCCTGATTGGCCATCGTTAGCGGCAAGCTTCGCCGAGCAGCCGCACAAGTTTGCCCTCGTCCTCGTCGTTTTTAACAAGATGCAAAGGAGCGGCTTACTTTCTGTGCGAGTGGAAGCTGGCGTAGGTGAAGCTCTTGCCCTCGTACTCGCCGAAGAACCGGCTGTCCTGCAGCACGATGTGGTAGATCTCGTTGCCGGAGCAGCGGCCGTACAGGCGGTGCCAGTCCTCGGAGGAGGTCTGGCCTTCCCTGCGGACGGACGCAAAGCTTTACGATTGCGCACTAAAAAGAACGGAAACGCAACGAGGAAGCTAAATTGTACTGACTGTCCCCTGGACGTGTGCAGCAGCAGCGTGACGAGGGTCGACGTGCCCGGGCACGTGCAGTTGTTGGCCAGCAGCGCGTACTTGAGCTCGTCCTCGCACACCACGTGCTCGGCGAACTTGACGTGCAGCTTGTTCTCGGGCCGGAAGATCTGCACGTACTGGGGCACGTTGGGCGCGAAGTCCTTGACGGCCCAGGACCGCAGGATGGTGTGCTCGTCCTGCAACAGAGGCACGCGTCAATGGCGGGGAGGTGGCGGCGTGGCCGTCATGGAGGCCGTTAGGGAGGCCGTCGAGGACGCCGTCGAGGACGCCGTCGAAGGCCACCATGCCCTACTCACCGCGGCCGTCTTGTCGGCGTAGTTCCTCGCGGCCAGCACGAAGCACGCCTCGGCCTCGTTCATGCGCGCGCGCGCCAGGTCCGCGTCCTTGAGGCACGAGCCCTGGATGTAGATGACGCGCTGCGCCCAGATGGGCACCTGCAGGATCATGCGCATCGTCGTGTCCAGCTCCATCGGGGACAGCAGCACCACGTAGAAGTCCTGCGCAAGAGAGGCGGTCAGTAAGGGGCTGCTGTTAGCGTACTGCTTGGCGGCCCCAATCAAACTCGACGCCTACCTGCAGCAGCGGGTGCGCGTAGAACTCGTTGAGGAAGTCCATGATGGTGTCGGCGTGCAGCGTGGTGGAGCACACCACGACGTGCTGCTCGCTCTGCGCGCGGTGCGACGAGTACGAGCCGCCCAGCTTCTGGCGCTCCATCCACGTGAAGGCCAGCTGCTCCAGCTGCGTGGGCAGCACGATGAGCGCCACGCAGATCATGATGACCATGTAGAGCTGCGAGGGCCAGATGTCGGGCACGAAGTCGCCGTAGCCCACGGTGGAGAAGGTGACCACCACGTAGTACGTGGCCTGGAACAGGTTGAGGTGGCGGTGCCCGGCGCGCTGGAAGTGCTGGATGCCGCACACACTGCCACAGCAACAACGGCCACAATTAGACCAAAAAAACCTCACCTCGTGTTTTGCTGCGGAAAAAGAAAAGGGGGAAAGTGCCGACCTTGTGAAGACGAGGCAGAGAAGCGTGGCGGACAGAATCATGAGCTGCTGCGACAGCGCGGACTGGGACTTCTGCATGGCGCGGTGAAGGTCGTTCTGCGAGGGAAAGGAAGGGAGGCTCGGATGACACGCACGGAACAGCACGCACACTGGCAGTAGCACAGACAGTGGCGCAGACAGTCGCGCAGCGCCGCGTAGGGCGAATCGGTACTCACGAACATATTCTGCAGGGACTGTTTGGCGAGCCAGCAGTTGAGGAACACGGGGATGAAGAGGTGGCGCAGCGGGGAGTACAGCAGCTGTCCAAGGCCGAGCTCATTAGTCGCGCCACTCGAAAAAAAAGGAGTGAAAAGGAATCCAAACAGAAAGGGCCTGCCGCGTGGCCGCGTACTCACGGTGAACATGAACGGGATGGTGTTGACGAGCTCCAGGACGAAGTGGAACGAGAGCAGCTGCTGCCAGATGTTGCCCTGGAAGGAGGGGAGTCGCCGTGAACGGGGGCCGAATCGAGTGTGGCAGGGCATTGGCTGCGCTGTCTCCCTCGCACTCGAGGGCCGTCGCGTATAGGTGCGAGGGAGACAGCGCAACTACACAGGCCGAGCAGCGCGGACAATGAAACAGTAAGGGCTTTCCTACACTGCGATACCTGCAAGGCATGGAAGCCGCGCCATCGATTCATCCTCCGCGCTGCGGACAGCGAGAATTTCTTTTTTGCTCTGCGAGTGGCGGGGCGGCAGAGCGGTAGTGGCACCACGGTGGCACCACTGCCACCCCTGCCATGCCCAGGCAGCCAAGCGAGCAGCCTCACACACCAGAGGAGCGCGGTCGGCCAGGTCGGCCTTGGCCGTCGCCGCAGACACTGTACCTTGTAGCCCAGGTAGGCCAGCAGCAGGGCCTCGGTCAGGCTGATCATGGCCAGCACCACCTGCACCGTCCACAGGTACACGGGCCGGTTCACCCACGTGATGGCGTCCCAGTTGATGATGGGGTTCTCCTGGAACATCTCCTCCGTCAGGTTCTTGGACTCGATGAACTGCATCTTGTCCGCCGCCGTCACCGTGCAGCCGTAACTGGAAGCAGAGGCAGTCGTGAGCAAGGCCGCGGCCACACCGACGCACGCACACTCACACACACACAGCTCACCATGACGCGTAGATGGGGTCCAGGTCGGTGACGACCCTCAGAATGTACAGGACACATGTTAGCAGCTTGAGGACCAAGTCGACGATGCGTATCCGAAGACCTGCGCACACAGAGACGCGACCGGGATTAGGCACTCCACGACACTCAGTGAGCCGTCTGTCTGGTCGGTCTGGTCCAGTGGAGCGTGAGGCGCCCCAAACGCACTCCTGGACGCCCTGGCCACCTCAAAGAAGACCGCCGGCCAGGCTGGTCTCGGGGGGCGAAGGGTCAGCGTGGGGTGACCTTGGGCTGGCCACTGTGCAGACGACAGTCCGGCCGGGCAGTATACCGCCCCAGCCAGCCAGCCAGCCAGCCAGCCAGCCAGCCAGCTGGATGTAGCTGCATGCTGCTGAAGGGTTGAATAATGCAGCTGAGTGCGCCAAGCCGCAAAGGGCGCTCAGGGCGCACGGCGCGCACGGCGCACGGTGTAGAGGCGGCCCGGTCGGCCCGGCGCACCGATCCTCCAGCCTGCTTTGATCAGAACCAACCTACCAACCGCACAAAGCGAAAACGAACGGGGAAAAATTAATGAAGGGAGAGGAACGCAGCAGCCGGGGATCCTGGATGAGCCCCGCAAGGCCAGGGGGCAGCAAGGCGGCAGGCCGAAAGGTGAAACAGCTCGGCATTTATACCGAGCGCCTCACCGGACAGGGGCGGGGCGGGGCGGGGCGGGGCGGGGTCAGTCCACGCGCCGCAACCAGGCCCGCCCCGCCCCGCCCCGGCTTTGTGAGAGAAATTAAAATTTAACGCGCGCCATTGCACCAAAGCGCGACGCGGCGCAACGCCACCCGGGCAGCCTTGATGTAGCCCACACGCAGTGCGACCCGCGGGCTGTTGTCAGAGCCCTTCCGTTTCCGCGTTCGCGCTTCACGCCGCTTGCAAATTCGTCCACGTTTTGTTTGCACTTCCTAGAATAGTTTTGGTTGATACATGATGCAGGTGGTTTGTTCCGTGTTTTTCCCCCAAGGCTCGCCCTGTAAGAGCCGGCGTGGACTGGAAACTACCCCCTCCCCTCCCCCTTCCCCCTCCAGGACACAATGCGGCGGCACGGCCCGAGCATTAACTTTGCTCGCGTCCTTGCAGCGTGAACACGGCGTGCGAACGCGGCGGGCCTACACTGCGTGCTGCGTGCGTGCTGCGTGCGTGGTGCGTATCACGGGGCTGCCTGGCCTCGGCTGCCTCGGCCCGGCCTGAATAATGGACCGCTAGTTATTGTAGTTGGCTCTGGCGGGCTCATTCCGAACACGACTTTCGTCACGCCGTCTCTCTCGCACTCTTGGGGGCGCCTCGTAGGGGTGCGAGAGCGACAGGATATCTAGCCTCGTCTCGGCGCAAACGCGGCGCTTTTGTCGCGAGGAACACCGGTGAGGCATTGCGGGATGGTCTACACCCGCACCTGCTTTTCAAATAAAATAATTGCGGCAGGAAACGCGGAGCGGAGGGACTGACTCATTGCGTGAACAGTACGAAGGCGGCCCCGCCCCGCCCCGCCCCATGCTCAAGCGGAAGGTGTGCAGACCGCACACGCAAACTTGCCGTGCCTAGCCCCGGCCCTCACCGAGGCCCTCACCGAGGCAAAGCTTCTCTCTGCTTTGCGCTTTGCACGGAAACGCCGTCGCGACGCGGAACGAACCAGGAACGACGCCGACCCAGGAAAGTCGAGGGAAGCGGGACGGGAGTTTGCTTTTGGCAGTCGAAGCTGGCTGACGTGCCGCGGCGCCGCCTTGCCGTCTCCTAAAGTAAATAGTGGACTCACTTGACCGCTGGTTTTTGATGAAGTACAGCTGCAGGCGCTCCTTGAAGGTGTTCTCGTTGACGTAGTACTCGACGCGCACCCTGCAACACACAAAGCAGGCCGGGGATGAAGCCCTCTGCTCCTCCACGACGTATTTTTGCAAGCTGACGCCGTCCTGGCGCGCGGCCCGGGCTGGGCCGGGCGCTGATTTAGTTGCCGCGCTGGAGGAGAAGACCCCCCGGGCGGCGGAGAGGAGGCGAGCAGGAGACTGGCAGTTTCTTTTGGCCGCCGGGAAGGAATTTCTATTGCGTAGCGCCCGCCTCCTGTAATTTTGAGGCTCAGGGAGGAAGACTTAGAGAGATGGTCTCTGCCGCTGCATGGGGCACAGCCGAGGGCACAGCGCCGAAGCCGAGGGCGGTCCGGCCAGGGCGTCCGGAGGGGGGGGGGGGCAGCGCGGCCCGGGACTGCGGCAGACACGCCTCGCGGAAAATGAGCCAATAGAGAGACAGGGAGCGACAGAGAGGGTCGGGGCCTCCATCATCGAGGGTCCGACAAGTCTTCCGGGTGACAGGCCCGCTCGCAGAGAACCTTTCATTGCCATCCTTCCCTTTCTGTTTCTTTTTTCTCTTTCGCATTTCCTGCTAACGAGAGTCTTTTTCCGCCGTGCCGCCCGTCCCACTTGCCGTGAATATTGGCTGGCTTGCCGCGCCACTGGGAAGCGCGCCAGCCGGAGTGACACACACACACACACACACGCACGCACACACGCACACGAGAGGCCAGGCAAACGGGCTCGTGAAATACGAGCGGCCCTCGCTGCCGAGGCGGCCAGGCCCCGTGCCGTACGGCAGCCGGGCGCAGCCAAGGGTAGAAACAGGACGGGGCACACGCGCTGCCGCCAGCCCGCCAGCCCGCCAGCCCGCCCCGGAGGGCTTAGAGGGACAAACCAGGCGAGGGCCCCGCCCGGCCCCGCCCGGCCCCGCCGCCTCTAGCCTCGCGCCGAGTCCACCCATCATGGTTAGCGGCAAGGCAGTTCATTATCGGCACAATGAGCTGCGGCCCCGTCGCTCTGTCTCTCTCGCACTCGTTCCGTTCGCACCACGAGTGTGAGAGTGAGTGAGAGAGAGAGAGGGCCAATCAGCGGCCGGGGTCGCCGCACTTGGCCGATGAGGCCCCGAGGGGCACTTGGCTCCGGCGAGGCGTTCCCAGCAGGTGAAATATCTCCCACTTTTCTTTGTTGACGGTGTGTGAGACAAGGGGATCAGTGTAGTGGCCCGGCAGCTCGGCAGCGCGGCAGCTACAGCGCGGCGAGGTCTCCGCCGCCTGCGGTAGGGTCTCACGCCCCCTCCGCCCCCCCCCCCCCCCCCCCCCCCCGGCCACCCCGCAGGCTGTCGCCCAGAGCGCCGACAGCTTGACAAGCCGCGCGCCGCGTCGCCTGGGCCCGGGCGTCGCCTCCGCGCCAAAGGCAGGCAGGCCAAATCTGCGTGGTGTGTTGGCAGTGTGTTGGTGCGCAGTGGTGTGTGCGGAGGCCCCCGCGGCCCGCAGTGCCCGCTGTGCCCGCGGGGGGCCGCCCTGTCACCCCGCTGCTGCCAGGCTAGGCTGCCGCCGCCTCGACGGACGGAGGACGGAGCAAGTGTTGCTGGGGTTGCTGGGCGCGCTCGGCAAGGCAAGGCACTACAAAACAACGCGTGAAATCCGATTGGACGTGAATACCTCAACGGCTATTCACCTCCACACACTGGACGTGAGGACTGTGTGGTCGAGAGCGTAGAGGCGTCAAGTTTCCATCCTGTAGGACGGAGGATCGACACCCAACAGGAGTAAATTATTTTCCTTTTCGTTCGAGCTGACTGTTGCTTTCACTTCCTCCTCAGGATGAAACTCCGCGTCGCAGAGTGCGATTCTGCAACCGCGCTGGTGCTAACGATGGCACGGCGCCACGGCCCGTCTCGTCCATTCGGGCGTCCATATTGAAACGCGGCAACGCGGCCGCGACTTCAAAGAGTCGCCGATGGCTGGCAGAAAAGTGGAGCGGCGGGGCGGCGTGTGGAACTTGTTGAAAACTCGCCCTTTGCGACCCCGTCCCGGCCCGGCCCGTCCGCCTGGTCCGCCTCGCTTCGACTCGGGGAAGGGGAGGGGGAGGGGAGGGGGAAGGCGGCCGCTCCATGTTCCATTTGGCGCACCGTCTCCCTCCTATGACTTTGCATACCGCCCCTAATTCGATCAGGTTCCCGATGCAGAATGGCAGAGGCAGCCAGAGGCTCCGGGTCACTCCCTCGAGGCCGGGCCGTCCCTCTCCCTGTCCCCCCCCCCCCCCACCCCTCGCCTCCGCCAGGCCGCCCGGAGCTGTCCCGGAAAATAAAACATGAATCGCGTTGCCCTCGTCCTCCGCGGCACTTCCACGCGCTTTTACGCGCCCAGGACGGCCAGGACGCCACAAAGCCCGGCGGGGAGCCCGGCGGGGAGGACGGCGACGAGGCGCAAAAAGCCAAAAGGAAAAAGCGCGCCGGAAAAAGTGGCCCGAGTGTCTGCACCACTGTAGCGTGGCGAATGCAGGGCGACGCTTGCCGCCGCGGCTTGCCGCCGCTCGGGTGGCTGCCGTTTTCAGAGAGTCGGCAGCGGGCGCGTCGTGAAGCACGGAGCGCGGCGAGGCCCCCCCGCACGAGGCTATCACTAATTTGCATGTGTGCGGTGATGATGACCTTGCAGTGGGGGCGGCGAGGCAGTCAGTGTCCCGGGGCCGTTCTGGGCACGCCCTTGTCACACGGGCCGCCCCGCACCGGGTACCTCCACCGCCGTCACGGCCGCCTACACGTCCTCCTCCAGCGTCCTCGACAAGGTCCTCGAGGTACCCCGGGCCCTTCAAGGGCCGCCGGCCGCCCGGGGCAATCAGAGAGGCGGCAGGCGGTCTGGCGTGGTCTGGCGTGGGAGGGCGGCCCGCCAACCCAGCCAACCACGTGGCGGCGCCGGGGATGATGACGCCGGGCTAAAGTTACAAAATCTCGAAATCGAGTTTCAATATATTGAAACGATCGGCGTGAATGACGAAATATTTTTCTTAATTTCGATTCCCTGCACCGCGACGCTTGAAACATTTTACTCTGTCGGGTTAGCGGCTTTCCGTCACGCTGACCTTTGAGCTTTTGAACTCACTGGGTGGTGGCGGTGACTGATGGACCACGCCGCCCCTCACTCACAGATGAGGTCCACGCGGTTTGCCCCCGAAATTGGCGATGGAGCGGCGGCCCGATTCATTTGCGGTTCCGCGAAAGAGAGGCTGGCGGGCTGCACGCGGTGGTTCCCCTACACTAGCCGACCAGGCCGCGGGCACCTCCCCGCATTTAAGCATGGTCACGTTCCAGGGATATTCGCTCATTCGCGCATATTTATATTCGCATTCTTGACAATCCTGCTAGAATCTGACACCTTAAAATATTGAACAATATTCATGGCAGTCACATTCAACATTCTTGACGACTGATGTACACCCCTCCGCTCAGCCCAAACTCGGCTCCGCTCCGCTCCACATCAACCCGCCACATCCGCGCCACCCGAACGCCGCGCCGCGTAGCACGCCAAGTCTGCCAACATGCCGCTGCGCTGGCTGCGCTGCCGGGAACAGGGCGAGCTGCTGTCTCACATAATTGGCCCGCTTGTCCCGGAATTGTATTGTTCATATTCCCCAGCGCGTGTGTGCGCGCGTGTGTGTGCGTGTGCAGCACGACACACCACGCTAATAATTATCCGTCCCGATATACTACTCCCCAATTACCAGCAAGCTTGGCTGCCTGTCTGCCTGTCTGTCTGCCTCACGCACGGTCGGGTCGCCGCCGAGAGCGACGGAGACGGAGAGAGGGCGCGGCGGTGCGGCCAGGGTCACCGGGGGAGTGCCAGCCTTGATGATGTCTTGGAGGACGCGCCGCACAGCGCGCTCAAGGAGATCCAGCAGCGCAAACGAACGGGGAGAGAGAGAGAGAGAGCAAGAGCTGGGAGGACTGAGGGGGGGGGGGAGACACGGCGTCCTCGTCGTCCGGACACCTCGGGCTGCGTGCTGCCCCGCGCAGAAGACCGATATTCCGAATGTCGTTTTCGTCGCTCTGTCTCCGTCGCACCCATACGGGACGCCGCGTGAGTGCGAGAGAGACAGAGCGACGAAAACGACTCTCGGAACAGGTCTGCTGGCGGACGGAAGAAACGCCGCACTCGCCCCGCCGCACTTTGGACTCGAGTTCGCAAAGAGCGACGCCACGAGCCGCGCCGCCGCCCTGAGGACCCCGGGCCCGGCCGCCGCCCCGCGCGCCTCCGAACGTCGTGCCGTCTCTCTCGCTCTCACGGGGCGGGGCGGGCGGGCGGGGCGGGGCGGGCGGGGCGGGGCGGGGCGGGCGGGGCGGGGCGGAGCGAGAGAGACGCAACGGCCCACCTTGGCCCGGCCGGTGAGGCTGCGGCTTCGCCTCAATTATCGAACTTTGTTTGTGCGGGCCGTCACGGCACCCGAAAAAGGAAGTAAGGCGAAATAATTTAAAATGGGAACCTTTTTCCCGCCCCGGGTCTCCTGCAGTCCCGCCGTAGTGGAAGGGGCACAGCGTCAATTAATTAAGCAAAAAGGGAATATGAGAAAAGTAATTTATTTTCGGCAGTGTGCCGCCGCCACACCTGCACGTTGCACGCAGAGAAAACCATTATCCAGAAACACGTTTGTCTTGGCGGCGCGGCGGCGCGGTTGGGGAACAAGAAGACAAAATGAGTGTGACACCCGTCACAACGTCGCAGCGCGCATACAGACGACGGAGCGGGGCGGAGCGGGAGGAAGTAGGGCGAAGCGGGGCGAAGTTGGGAGGGAGGAAGCAGTGGCTGCGGCACTGCCGTGCGCGCGACGCGCGATGCGCGTGATGCGCGTGACGCGCACGGGACGCCGCGCCGTGCCGAGCCAAGTCGTGATGTTGCATCGACCACAGGGCCACAGGCAGCCACAGGCAAACAGCCATCGGGGAATGAGGCCGGGCCGGGCTGGGCCGGGATCGGAGCGCGCCCCACCAGGCCGCCCGCTCGGATGAGTGGCGAGCACGGCATGGGCACAACGACGGCGGCGTGGCGTCCGGGA